ACAAAGTGCGCAACTGCATGGCCAATATACCATTCCATGCTGACTTCCTTCCCTTTAATGGAAGGAAGTTGCGGAAGTTTGAAGTAAAAGAGTCTCTGCTGCATTGGCTGTGGAATTGTCTATTTTGTTGGCAGTGGTGTGCTACAGAAACATTTTGAAAAATCTTCCCTGACACCGCTGCATGAAAATTTACAATTCGTATCAGAATTAGAACTCTAAACCTTTGATAATGACTGTGGCAGGTTCTTTGTTTTCTAAGTTCTTCTTAAATAGGTATATTTTATGAACTTGACATGCCTTGTGGGACTTTGCCTATTATCATATTGAACCAGAGATGGTTATAATACAACAGTATGAATCCAGTAGAAATGTAGATTTAACAGTTTATTGCTACAAACAAGAAAATTCCCACAAGAATCAAGTGTACCAGATTATACGTTAAAGGTGCCAATTCCGTTAACACCGAAACCAGTAACCACAGTGAATTAATTCCATTTCTATGCAGTCAAAGTGCAGATTAATTATTGATAAGTGATTTAGATTTCTGTCTATTATCCTCCTTGTTTTGTTCTCCTCATTTTAGCTTAACCATCACAAGCATACTTTTTTTTTTATTATAAAATACGGCAACAGATAATATAATTAAACTCTTATGAATCCCATCTGACTATAGTATAAAAACACCCGCAAGCACAATACGATTTCTATCCTACACTCGGGTGTAAGTCGTATAACCGTTTAATTTTACACCCTCTCATATCTACAATCACATCCAAAACTAGCTCATTTGAAGCAAACTACAAAATTAATACTAACCCATTAACGACCCAACTCCCCTTATAAGCAATTAGCCTGGATTTAAATCTACTCGGATTGTCGCCTTGTCGGACCATTTTTTCCAAGTATTTTTTACATCATATTTCCTCAATAAGAACATAATTCAACCATCACAAAAATGTAAGCTATGATTCCACAATGTTAAAATGACAAACACACAATTTGCAATAGCAATAATACTAACATATACACTATAACAGCACCATTTGCAAGAGTATTTGACAGTAATTTAAAACTTGTATCATTAGAAGCAATAAATTCAAAAAAAAAAAAAATCACCTGACATGGTGGTGGGAATCTATCGAGTGTTGAATAAATAGGAAATGAAAATCACGAAACTAATTCTGAAGATTAATTCTTCGTTTAATTGAATTTATTAAGGTTTTCAATCGCGATTGAAAATTTTGATGAGATGAGGAAGAAGAGAAGCTGGTGGAAGAAAGTGGAGAAAAGAGGAGAGAGAATATTTGAGTTGGTGGAGCTTTCTGTGTAAAGTGCACAAATGCGATATCTAAATGGTTAAGACCGGAAGAATTCTAGGACTCTAACAAGGGGCATAACCGCATAATCGTCCATTTATTTTTACGGTATTTGAAAAAATTAATGTCATAACATATGTTGATATTTCATTGTATTTTAGATAATATCACCACGATATCAACAACCTTATTCAATGATACCAACGAACATAAAATTATTTTGTTGGTATTGATATAATTTGTTGTCGTGTGCTGTTAGAGTCATTTCTAACAATTAGAGTCCAAGAATTCCTCGACCGGCCGAGGCGTCGTAAGTTCACTTTATTTTTACAAGTTTTATCTAATTTGATCTGATATAATGTAGTCGAATTGCCTAATTTGATCAAAATTTACGTTAATTTATTTAAAAATACTACGTATATCAAATGAGATCTTATTAGATTTGTAATAATTGTAATTTTCATAAATATTTTCGCAAATAGAATGATAAAGAGTAGCAAAACCTATTTTTCTTTTTTTTTCTTTTTTTTTTTAAAAAAAAAAAAAAATAGTGTTTCAGGCTCACTTCTATAACTCTTATATACTAATCTTCTTTATAGCTTTTCAAACATGTTGAAGACTACACCTTCTATTGAATTCTATAAGTACATTTTTTTTTAATTTAGTTAGGTCTTGTATGGTATTATATGAAAATTCTTGATTGTTCTTTTTTTTGAAGAAATTCTTAATTGTTCCTTTACTTGAGTAATTTTATTAGTAGTATTTAATTGATTTGACACCGAAATAATTTAAACATGCAGATTAACAAGTAATAATAATGAATTTATATTTAGTCAAAAAAAAGTGGTAAAGTCAAATTGAGGCATTTATATTTAAACATAAGGATTAACAAGTAGAAACCATATTCTAATGGATTTAACTTATACTTGTAGTTGGTATATCATATTATCAAGGGTATATTGAAATGTAGTTCTATGATTTGCACCATAGACGGCAAAAATATTAGTTGATTAAAACCAACCTTGCACAGTATTAAAGCTACTACAAATCAATTGCATTAAAAAAGTAGTACCGAGTAACATCCATAGAGATAACTAAAGGACTCGCACATGAGAAAATTCTACCATCACGAAGTAATATATCATCAATTAATCAATCAAAGCCTCAATCTCATAAGTAGGATCGGCTACATGAACAAAATTTGATTATTTCGTGTGGAGAAGTAATATATCTCATCCATTACACAAAATAAGATAAAGTCTAGAAGCGTTCTAAGCCTTCATATTTGTCACAACTAATGAGGATCAATAGCTTAAGACGATTTCTCACCCGAGTTGCTTATGAAATCCATTGAGTCTCCCACACTTCATAAGCAAAATTATCCATGCTTGAGTGGAAGGAGTCGGCCTCTCCTCAACATACTTACCATTCAACTTACTATAAGAATCAAAGGAACCACAACCACATCATCACAACTGACCTTGGTAGCATCACATACCTCTTCCCATTAATCTTCTCTATATCCAAAGCAATAAAGGAATCTTTACCTGAGTAAGTTGTTTTGAGACCATTATATGTTCTAATTTTTTGTAGGTTAAACAACTTCGGTGTCCACAACAGCAAAAGTGTATTAGCTGAGTATCCTAACATGGAGCATTTCATGCCTTGAACTTGCTTCTACTGATAGACCACTACTTGACTGCAAGTTACACAAGTCTGCTTAGGCAATTCCTACTTAATACACACCTGTAAGGAAGTAGCAATATCTAATTAAATCGAGAGTAAGTAGGCAGCCTGCAAGCCACGAAGTGAGAGCAGCTACAAATTATACCCAAACAGACATCAATGTTATTGACAACAAGGTCAAGAGTCTAGCATTTTACAACTTGGCTCCATACCAAAAAAAAAAAAAAAAAAAAAAAAAAAAAAAGGTCCCATGGAGACAGTTATATGATTTAACGATAAAATTGAAGATTTAATTCATGGAAAAATTAGTTCTCCCTTGGAAGAAGAAAGTTGCCAGGATTGCGACTCGCAATCTACCCCATATGCATTTAACATAATTTTCAAACACATTTAGAAGATTAGCTTCAAGGAAGTAGCAAATAACAGCATAATTTACTTCGTTTTCAATATCTTCAACCTCAACTTAAGCTAAATTATCGTATCCTGTGTTCTCAGAAATTTTATGCAAATTGCAAATTAACATCTAAATTCATATTACCACAAAAAATTTCAAATCAGCAAAAACAGGAGAAACAGAGTCGTTACCCATATTATGATCCATCTTCTCAACCTATCAATGAACTGATTCCATCATCTCTATCTGGCTGGGATATCCATTAAGGCAGAATATTCCACCAATTCAACAGCAAGCCATAGTCAAAATCATATGTCATAGCTCCCTCACAATCATAAGAGAATCAATTTGCACAATAGTCACTTGGGACAAATAACAATCCCAAGATAAACTCTGCAATCAATAGAACTATATAGTATCTATACGTTACCAAGGACCAACATTGATTTTAAGCCTTCAAAAGCCTACTTATAATGACTGAGGTGCTGCTACGGTGCTACCAGAAACTCTAAGACATAGATAAGGAAATAAAACAGAATTGGTCAAAAAATCATTATGCACAAGAAGACACCGTACTGCAGCCTTCCATGTTTTCCATTTCTCAAAACTACTAAATTAGTTCTGCTACTACACAGAGTTTCAATATTAGCAGGAAGCCAAAGGTGTTGCCACTAGAAAAAAGAACAGAAGCAGTCTAGGCTTTGCAAGTTGATTATTACCATGGTCAGCAATTTCAAGATTAGCTAACCTTACTTTCATAAACTGAATTGCATTTGAACAGCACAAAAGCATAAAGAAGAAAACTACTCTTTCTTGTAACATCACAGCACTGTAACTAGTGCAAAGCTTTTCGCTATAAGTTATAATACTAGTAGTAGGGAAAATAGAGCAGTGAATGAGAGATACGTACCTCATCTTAATTATAAATCGACACTAACTTCCACCAAAAAATGTCCATCACTCCATCACAGTCCATAGAACATAGTAATAATTTACTGTTAAAATATAGAACCTATTTACATAGGTAATGATCTCAAAGGTTTTGCATAAAGGGGATTCATATGGGAAAAACCAATTACAAAGAATTCCTTAAGTCCAAACCTTTAAGAACAAAAATCTCTAAGAAAGCCATTTAATACTTCCTTTGTTCTTTTACAGTTGACACGTGTTGAATTTTAACACCATTTACAAACTCTACTTAAACTAACAATAGTTATGTGGGGTCTTGTTATAACCATCTCAATGTTTGTCTTTATAATATCAACTTTTAAAAAAATTTATTAGTTGATAGTTAGAGATATTAATCATTGAAATTGTACATTGGCAAACATGAATGAACAAACAGTCAACTTAAAAAGAAAGAAGGTAGTATAAAAATATGGAGATTAAATTTAACTTCTACTCATTGCAAAGCAACTAAAATATGGCATTGCAAACCTTCACAATTACAATGGTTTACAACCTTTCCTGGTTCATTCCCAACAGGTATGAAGGCCACTCAGGACAAGGAAATGATATCGCAAGAATATTAATAACGAAGTTAACATTGCCTGATACCTTATGCACTGACTAACATCAAGCAGCATTCGAACATGTAGAACTCTTTAAGATTGGCTTTTGCATCTTCCTACATTGAGTGACTCCACTGTAGAACCTGTCAGTTGAGCATAAACTTGATGGACTTCCTCAAATGGAAGAACAAACCTTTTCAAGAACACAGACTCAGTCAAGGAAATAGTAGAAGAAAGATGATAATCCATCCTTAAAAGCCCTTTCTCCTTCAAAATCTGTAAGACTCGATGTCTTGGCAATAATCTCTTCTCCAAGCTACATATGAATAATTTAGTCTGCGTTGCTAAATAATAAGGCTTGTAACTCATTTGGTTCATCAGAAAGCCTAGTCTTTCCTTGATTCTGGCCTTTGAACTAGTGAAACACATAGGATTTTGCCGGATCAATTTCATAACATCAGATTGAGTCCATCCAAAACTCATAAATACTTTGCATTTATCCTTGATATTCTTCTCACCATAGAAAAGCAGAATATTGACGCCATACAAGAACATTGGAAAGTCTCGAGGAATCCCTAGTTTTAGTTCAACCTTAATTAAAGTATCTCGAAGCACATCAGTTTTCACTGTAAAAATATTAGGCCGCCGAAGAAGAAGAAGAAGAAGAAGTTGAAGTTGAGTAAAACAATTGAGCATAAACATCATGGACTTCCTCAAATGGCAGAACAAACCTTTTCAAGAACACAGCCTCAGACAAAGCAACAGCAGAAGTAAGAAAACCAGTAAATAAACACCATACAAGAACATCGAAGAATCTCGAGGAATCCCTAACTGTAGTTCAACCTTAATTAAGATATCTCGAAGCACATCAGTTTTCACTGTAAAAATATTAGGCTGCCGAAAAATGTGTTTCTGGATTGTGTCCCTAGAAATGCCACAATACTTTTGCAATAGCTCAACATTGGGAATCAAATAATTAGCAACGCCATGAAAGTTGAACCAACCTGATCGCTTGAGAAATGTGACAACATTCTCATCACTACCCAAAACAGTCTTAAGAGCATGAATTGTTGGACCCAAACGTTGCTGCAATATCTTAGGATTTCTACTAACTGTTTGAACAACATCAGACTCAGACATACCCAGATCATTAAAGAGCTGAATTTTGGGTTTTAGGGTTTTGTGAACCCTAGAAACTAAAAACCGTGGATCATAAATAATGATTTTCTGAATATGAGATTGCTGAAACCCAAGTTGTTTGAAAAATTGAACAACAGAATCAGCATTTTCAAAGAAATGGAATTCAGTAGTATCTCCCACTTTCCATAATTTAGTGAACTTAGCGGAAAGGGAGAGAGATCGTTGATTGGAGATACCCAGATTATCAACTAAGAAATTAGCTAATGAGGTAGAGAATGAAGAAGAAGAAGAAGGAGGGTTACCTTGGTTGGTTAGAGAAGTTGATGTTGAGTACAACAATGGAAGGCGCAAGTAGATGCTTCGGACGCCATAAGAGCAGCTCCCAAGCTTCAACATTGGCACATCTTTCGCTTGGGCAGCCTCTCCTCAACGCCTCAAGGGACTAACGGTCTAACGGGGCGTTTGAATTGTGGGAATGGGAGTTTAGGAATTAAAAGCTGAGAATGGGATTGAAAATTAATTGATAGGAAATATGAAGATATGTCAATATCTTATTTAGATAGTGGGTGAGTATATAAGGGAATAATTAACAATTTTACAAAAATACCCTTATTAAGATTATTACTACCTCTGGTCCAAATTACTTCGCAAATTAGGAATATTTCTTTCTTTTCATTAATGGCAAAAATGTCATTTTTTCCTATTCTCGTTCCCATCCATTTATTACCTACTCTCTCTAGTAAACCTGGGCACGGGCCGGGTTGGCCCGCGTGCCGCCCGGCACGGCCCGCCGTTCGGAGCAGCCCGGCACGGCCCGAAGTCAAGCACGGCACGGCACGAACGTCGAATTCCGTGCCACGGGCCGTGCCACGGACACGGTGGAGAATTCCCAGGCACGGCCCGGCACGAGCACGAGCAAGGCCCGCCGTGCTGGCCCGCAGGCACGGCCCGAAGGCACGGCCCGCAGGCACGGCCCGCAAGCACGGCCCGCGGGCCAACGGCTAGTTCAACGGCTAATTAACGGCTAGTTTTTTGCCAAAAATTCTATAAATACTCACCTCCATTTCATTCCCAAATCACAAAATCACAATCTCTTCTTCTTATCTCTTATATTCTCTAAATCTCTAATAATCCTTATTTTCTTAAATTCTCTAATTATTCTCTTAAATTCTCTAATTATTTTCCTAATATCGGAAAAAATTAAAAAGTTCGTAATCGTAATTAGTGGAGCGTTGAAGCACGGTTGTAAGATCTAAACTAATCTTAAATTTATTATTGTTTTATTGTTATTATTAGAATAATCTTGTTTAATTATTATTGTTGTTAATTGTTATTGTTGTTGTTATAATTGTTGTTATTAATTATTATTATTGTTACAATTGTTGTTATTATTTATTTTTGTTGTTATTGTTATTGTTATAGTTGTTGTTATTAATTATTATTATTGATATTTTTATTGTTAAAATTGTTGTTATTAATTATTATTATTATAGTTAACCACTTTTTATTAAAAAATTAATTGTTAATTATGGCATCGAACAACCCATCATCTAGGTCTAGGGGGAAAGGCCGACTTATCCGTAGTAGTAGTTCTAGGGAACCACCAAATACAACGAGCCCCCAAATTACGAGTCAAACCAATGACCCCATTTACTTCCCCCCGGGCTATGAGCCATATAATACGTCGGGATTTCCAGCACCACCACTAAACCAATTTCCACAACCACCATACCAATTTCCACCTAATTATATCGGTAATCAACAAAACTATTGTTCTAGCCAAGGTAGCCAAGAAAGTACCCGAATTCCCTCCGGTTCTACTACCCCTTCTACTGCCACTCCCACTAGTCCCCCTACTAACCAATACACACATCATGAATGGTTAACCGAAACTGAGATGCTACTTTTGAAAAACCGAAGGAGTGAGGTATGGCGTTATTTTGTCCTAAGTAAAGATGGTGAACAATGGGCAAAATGTAAAACATGTAATAGTGTATTCACGGCAGTTACCAAAAACGGGACGGGACACTTATCTAGACACATGAAAGCTTGTGCAAAACCAGCTAGTGATCCAACCCAGCCCAAAATTTCCCAATTCCATCCATACGGCTTTACATACAACTATGAGAGGGATAGGGATGAACTAGGAAAAATGATAGTACACGCTGAACAACCTTTTCTTTTCTCGGAAAGTGACGCATTCAACACCTACATTAACAAAGCACTACAACCCCAACATAAAAGAATCTCTAGGAAAACCGTTCGTTCCGCAGCAATGAAAAATTTCCTAGAGTACAAAGTCCGGTTACAAGCCGAATTGAGTAACCTTAACTGTAGAGTATCTTTAACAGCCGATTCTTGGGATAGTGGTTATAAATATCACTATTTATGTGTGACTTGCCATTGGGTAGATGATCAATGGATGTTACAAAAAAGAATAATACATTTCAAAATGCTGGAATACCCACACACCGGCATTAACATTGCTCACCATTTAATGCAAGCAATAGACGAATACAACCTTCGAGATAAAATGATGTCTATGACTTTTGATAATGCAACCTCTATGACATACACAGCTAATCTTATCAAACAAAACTTAACCGATGTACTATTAGACGGTGAAGCTCTTCATACTAGATGTGTTTGCCATGTACTTAACTTATGTGTACAGGATGGAGTTCGGGCAATTGGCCCATACTACAGCAAAATCAGAGATGCTATTATGTCTATTAATAGCTCTAACATGAGATACCAAGAATGGAAGAGTTTTCTAAAACAACAAAAGATAAGGGTAATAAAAATTAGAACCGATTGCCCAACTAGGTGGAATTCCACCTATGACATGTTAACAAAGGCAATTGAGTACAAGGGCCCGTTAACATTATTTTACAACCAAAAATTTCCACAAAATGCTTTGTATGATGATGATTGGAATAACTGTGAAAGATATATGCAATTTTTACAGTTATTATATAACATGACGTATTGTTTTTCTACTGTTTACAATCCTTGTGCTCAAAACTTTCTTTCTAATGCATGCTTACTCGCCCAACTTTTCGCTGATCATCGCGATCAAAGTGATTATGATCAGTATCTTCCAGCAATGGAAAAAAAGTGGCGTAAATATTATAGTCAGATTCCTTTGATTTATATTTTTGCTTCCATATTAGATCCTAGGCAAAAGTATGAAAACACATTTATGTTAGTTGACATTTACTTTCAATGCATGTTTCTTGACGATGATGTAGAAAACTATAAGACTAATGTGAAGGATCAGTTTTTTGCTTTATATAGAGTCTATGAAGCCAAATATGGCACCGTTCCTCGCTCAGGGCCTTCCCAACCATCTAAAAACGTAAGTAAGAAGGCCAAACATTTATTTTCACAAGCTACTAACTTGATTTCAAGGTTTTCAGGTGATTCATCAATCAGGAGAACGCAAAGCGACGTCTCGGAGTTGCAGATGTACCTGAGTTACGACTTCACCAAAGGCATGGACGACGATGAGATAAACAGCCTCGACCTCCTTGCATGGTGGAAACAACAAAGCTCGAAGCATCCAACTTTGGCGGCAATGGCACGAGACATTCTTGCTATCCAAGTTTCCTCCGTCGCCTCCGAACGAGCTTTCAGCGCATCCGGAAGGGTTTTAGACGATAGAAGAACAAGTCTAAAACCCGAAACACTAGAAATGTGCGTGTGTTTCAAAGATTGGTTGGATGCGGAAAATCGCTCACAAGACCGTTCTTACGACCACAACGACAACGAAGAAGGAACCTCCGCTTCCGGTTCGGGTTCGGCTAGTTCCCAATCTATGCAACTAGCCGATGACCTTGAAGGCGAAGGCGAAGACGAAGACGAAGACGAAGACGAAGACGAAGACGAGCAAGAAGAAGGAGAAGAAGAATAGACAATTATTGTATATTGTACGATTTTAAAAATATCAATTTTATCATTTTCCAATTTTTGTTTAATACCATCATTGTATGATTTTTATCATTGTTATCATTGTACAATTTTCTCAACTCAAGTAATAATAATATAAAGTACGCATTATTCACATCCAAAGTCCAATTTGCCTTTTTTTCCCCGTTTTGTTACAATTTGTAAATTCATATTAAAAAAAAATAAAATTATACCAATTACTAATAAATCATAAACATTAAATTTTAAAGTAATAGTATAAAGTAAATATATAAATATAAATATTGAATATACAAATTATAAAACATAAATATTCAACTTATAATTATAAAATTCATAACTTAATAACTTATAACTTATAAGTTATAAACTTATAAGTTACCTTATAAAACTTATAATTATAATTTTATAACTTATATACATTATAAACTTATTAATTAATAATGTTGTCATTAAAAAAAAAAAAAAAAAAAAAAAAAAAAAAAAAAAAAAAAAAAAAAAAAAAAAAAAATTGGAAACTGCACCAGCCCGCGCGGGCCAGCCCGCAGCCCGGCACGTGGCCGGCACGGCACGAGCCCGCCAGGCACGAGGGCCGTGCCGTGCCGTGGGCTGGCTTGTGAAAATGGCCGGCACGGCACGGCACGAAATCCTGGGCCCGCCGGCACGACCGGCACGGCACGAACCAGCCCGCGGCCCGCCAGGCACGGCCCGCGGCGGCCCGGCACGGCACGGTGCCCAGGATTACTCTCTAGGTAATAAAATGGTGAAAATTCACCCATAAATAATCTCATTCCCAAACCCCTTTTTATTCTCATCCCCACCAAACAAACAAGACTTGTTTTTTCAATTGGGATTAAAATTCCCAATCTCACCCTCAATTTTCACTTGCGAAACACTCCCTAAAGGAGCAAGGGTGAGTAGATACTATACAGGTCTGTTCACTTCAGCTTAATTTCAATTCAGTTCTTAATTTCTTTCTCTCTTAAAATATTCATTTCAGCTCTTTTCGGTCCAGTTAAGTTCCAATCAGTTCAATTCAATTTAATAAATGTGAACAGGCTCGAAGTATGTATATTTAGGAAGAAAAACGAGTAAAAGTTTTCATAGGAGGTTGTAGGTGTAAATATAAATATAAATATAAATATAAATAAATAAAAAAACACTAAAAATGAATGATACTCCTTATTGAGAATTGGGATTTTGGAAAGCTATGGCTAAATGACTTTGCAATTATATAAAAGAATTATTATGCCAGCCAAATCAATGCACTTAGAAGAGAGTATAGTTTAGTAGAAGTTTAAATACGTGTAATTACCGCCTATAAACAACCTAAGTTCAAACAATTTAACATAATGCATGAGTATCCAAAATTTTAAATTATATCTTATTATTGGTTAGCATAAAAACAGGTACATATCATAGCAGACTATCAGCTCTCCAAGGTTATAACTTATAAGCTACATTTTTGCCCTTTAGACATGTGTTATGGTAATGCATGTGGTGGTATTCTTAACTTGGTTAAATCAACCTATGAATTACATTGAAGTTTGGAACACATTTCTAATACGAAAGGTAGAGGTAGAGGTGGAGGTAGAGATAGAGTACTTACTAAAAATTCAAACACAAATGTTACACAAACAACCTATGTTCAAAAATAACCCTAGCCTCCATTGTTGAATTTTATAGGGGCTTTCATTGGTTTAACTGGTGAAAAGCCCCAATTCTTGTTTCTTCAAAGTTTTTTTAGGTTTATTATAATGCTTCCTGGAACTTTCTCCCTCGAAATAAAGGGTTTCCAATCTCCTTCGAAAGAAAAGGGTTTTTCGACCTCCTTCGAAAGACAAGATTTATCTCCTCTTTTCGGGGAGAAATTTATTAGTTTTGAATCCATGATATTAGATTTAATGGATTGTCGTGAAATTATTTCTTTGGTGAAAAAGTTATCAAGTTTTCGAATACAAACAGATGAATTAGAGGGAAAACATCATCACGACTAAAAAGGATCGTTAGATTGTCTCTCCAACAAGGCTGTATTTTCCAGTGATATAAGCGGGAGATGTTTAACAGTACAAGATCTACTCGACGATCGTAATTTTTATAAAGGAAAAATTTATTTGATTCAATTTCAATATTTTATGTATTTGTTAATGTCGATCTCTATTGTAGATGTCGTATGACTTTTAATTAATGAAATGTTTTTGCTATTCAAAAAAAAAAAAAAAAAGTTCAATATTTAACATAATGCATCATTAACAAAATTTGTAATTTAAGAAGCTTAATAGAGCTAGCCTAGAACCAGATTAGAGAAATTAATACATATCATAGCAAATCTCCAAGGTTATAAGGCCATATCATTTCCCTTTGAGACATATGTTAAGGTGATGCATGACATTCTCGACTCGATTAATGTCAACCTTTGCATATAAACACATCTCTAATCATATCCCTAAATCTTATCTTTAAAATACTTGTATATTATTACAACGGCCTTCTCAAATCTCATGCACTTGGTAAATGATTAATGTCAACCTTTGCATAAATTTTTACGAAGTATGTATTGCGCAAAAACTTTATACCCTTGGTAAAATACTTGCTTGCCCCAATTTTTTTTCTTCATGAATTTTTATAATCATCCATTACCACCTTGAGTGTTTATATTAGTGATTATAAACGTTTATCAAGAAATCACAATTTTGCAAAATAAGATCACAAAGACTTGTGTGGACCTGTTATTGTGGACCCGATATTTATATACACGCAACTAACATTATATTGAACATAGTGACCCTTAGTCTTGACATAGTAACCTTAATTTTAACTTAGTAACCTTATTAAAATTAATATAACGTTTAATATTATTGTGAACTTAAAGCACAACGTTATGATCCTAATGTTAACATATTGACCTTTATTATTCATATTAACCAGTATATAAAATATTTCGTTAAAAAATTAACCTCTTATAGTTTACTTCCTCTGTTCTTTTTTACTTGACCTGTTTCTTTTATCACGCTTGCCAATACAAAACTTTAACGGTTAATAACTTTAATTCTCCATAATTAAAAAATATAAAAGTTATATATTATGATAGTTCTTATTGAGACGAATTCAAAATGATTTACATAAATATGTTTTTCCTTACATATTATTCACAAAACACGGTCAAAGGAGAGGTGGTGAATAGTGTAAAAGTCAAAGCGGGTCAAGTAAAAAAGAACGGAGGAAGTATATATATTACCAAAATGACTTTTATTTCAACATAGAGACCTTTTTTCAATTATAGTGACCTTTTTATTTTAACTAATAAAAAAAATATAGTTTCTCAAATATTAGTGGTCCACAATAAATTAGTGTGAACCAGGTCCATTTAAGAATTTGTACACACGAAAATAGTTAAAATATAGACTATAAAATGTAAGAATGATAAAATATACTCTAATCAAAATAGCCTAAAATATGTGTTTTTAGAGTTGATTTTTACTGAATTGAAATTAAATTTACTAAACTGACTAAAAAAAATGGATGCAAATGAAAGGCACTCGAAATTAATTTATTGCTACTAATTTTCTACTCCGTATTTTAATTCTTTTTAAAGTTGATTTTTATCGATTTGAAATTATTTTTACTGAGTTGAACTGAAATTGTTGTTATTGTTATTTTTTTTAATGGTTAATTAAACAGGGCCTGAAATTAAATTAGTCCTTGAAACTATAAAATATTACAGTAAAATTTTTAGTACAAGAATTTGATTGTATTCTCATTAAAACTAATTTACAACACTAAAATATATTTTTAGAAAATATTAAATTTAAGGGAAATTCTACATGGTGGCCTCAAGGTTTTAGTTTTTCTACGTGGAAGACGAAGTTTTTTCCAACTCTCTTAAGTGGCCCCAAGGTTTTGAAGAATTATGCATAGTGCCCATTTTTTGATTTTTTGGCTAACCTTTACAATTAACCCAGAAGAGAGTGACAATGCTAGCAGCCTAAACCTTATCAAACTCGGCTAGACACCTTTCCCACCAATCAGCAACTCAGTCTGTTCGTGATTAGACAACTTGGGCAAATCTGCTCCTACTCCAGACTTCCTTTGCGAGCTTACAGTAATACAGTATTACAGTCCCTGAGAGCGTGGATAGTAGTTTGAAAATCCCTTTGACAGATGCAACAATCCGGATCATACTCTCTGACTCGATATTGTAAATTATGTCGAGTTGGAAGGGCGTTCTGCAGAGCTCTCCAGGCGAATATTTTTTACTCGGAGTAGAACTTGAAGCTGCCTAATTCTTTTCCAGATCGAGCAAGAAGCAGACGGGGCAGTACCACTATTAGTAACAAGCTTTCGGAGAGCAACCCTGATAAACACCAGTAGAAATGACCAATACAAAGCTTTCTTCTACTGCTAAGCACCAACAGAGTTAAGAGTCAGAGTTACTTTTTTCTAGTTAAATCACCCCATAATCCATAACATGTAAATTGGTCATTAAACACACCTCTGGCTCAAAACAATAAAGCTTATAAAGTCATCCACTTCAACTGTGCATCTGTATCAACTTCAAATGCTTGCTTCGGCTCAGAAAAAAAGAAAATATCACACAATCGAGATTAGAGGCCTTTGTGGATGTGATGGAAATCAGAATAGCTGCAGAACCAAATCTGTCTTTAAAACTAAGGCAAACAAGCAGGCCCACCTTCATAAAACGATACTCAAGTTGGTGAGCTCAGCCCCAGTCCACAATTAAGCACACCTCTGCTCCCAAGCTTATGATAGAAATTCTGCAGATAGGAATTAGGAACCGTAAAAGTCTTGAGCTGACATTGGTATGATAGTCATCAAGCAGAAAATATGCGGATTGCTGACCTGACATCAATGTTTTGCTAAACAATAGTACTACAGAAACATACATCTAAGAAAACAATGTTAAATTTCTATCCCCTAACAATACATCACTGACATGATCAAGAATCAAGAGTTGCAACAAACTTAACTCCCAACCTCCTCTCCCCCCCCCCCCCCACGGCCCCACCCAAAAGAAGCAATTAAAGTTTTGCCATACATTTCAAAATTTACAAAGATTCACCAATTATCAGAAATATTCCAGAATCTCACAGAATGAAGATATAAAACAAAATGATTCCAAATTTTGAATTGGACTCAAATCACACAAAAGTATCTAGAAGAAAGCTATGTTACTCTTTCTTGTAACATCATAACACTGCAACTATTGCAAAGTTTTTCGATAAAAGGTATATACTAGTAGGGAAAAGAGAACTGAATATAAGAAATATCAAATATGTAACTCGTATTAATAATAAATCGACACTAACTTCCACCAAGAAATACCCATCACAGTCAACATATCATGATTTCAAAGAAATTGCATATAGGGGATACATATGGGAATACCAAATACAAAGAATTCTGTAGTCCAAACCTTCAAAAAATAATCACTGAATCAAACCCTGTTTTTTTAAAAACTTGAAACTTTACTTCTACTCGATGCAAAGCAACAAAGTATTGAAAGTAACAGCATTGCAATCAAACCTTCCCAATCACAATGGCCAACAACCTTTCCTAGTTCGTTTCCAAAAGGTATTACATTTACTTCAAACAAGGAAATGATTTTGCGAGTATATTGAAAGTTGTTTTGATGAACATAACAAAATTCACATTGCCTAATACCTTATGCACTGACTAACATCAAGCAGCATTCGAATTTGGTGACACCTTTAAGATTGGCTTTTGGATCTTCCTACATTGAGCGAGTCCAATGTAGAACCTATCAGTTGGGCATAAACATCATGGACTTCCTCAAATGGCAGAACAAACCTTTTCAAGAACACAGACTCAGAGCAGGAAACAGCAGAAGAAAGAAGATAATCCATCCTTATAAGACCTTTCTCCTTCAAAATCTCTAAGACTCGATGTCTTGGCAATAATCTCTTCTCTATGCGACACATGAATAATATAGGCTGCATTGCTAAATAGTTTGGCTTGTAACCCATTTGGTTCATCAGATAGCCTAGTCTTTCCTTGATCCTCGACTCTGAACTAGTGAAACACATAGGATTTAGCCTGATCAATTTCATGATATCAGACTGAGTCCATCCAAAACTCTTAAATACTTCGCATTTATCCTTTATATTCTTCTCACCAAAGCGAAGAAAATTGACACCATACAAGAACATTGGAGAGTGTCCAGGAATCCCTAACTTAAGTTCAACCTTAATTAAGGCATCTCGAAGCAAATCAGTTTTCAATATAAAAGAATTAGGATGCCGAACAATGTGTTTCTGGATCGTTTCACTGGAAATGCCACAATACTTTTGCAATAATTCAACATTGGGAATAACATAATTAGCAGCGCAATTAAATTTGTAGCGACCTGGTTTCTTGAGGATTTTAACAACATTCTCATCACTACCCAAAGCAGTCTTAAGAGCATGAATTGCAGGACCCAAACGTTGGCGCAATATCATAGGATTTCTAACAATAGTTTGAATTACATCAGACTCAGACATACCCAGATCATTAAAAACCTGAATTTTAGGTTTTAGGGTTTTATGAACCCTAGAAACTAAAAACAGGGGTTCATGACAAATTAGAGAGAAGAGATAATGAATAGCTTTTGTATTGCTTGATTATTATTCATCAATAGGTTGAGTAGGAAGTAATCTTCCCAAAAGATATACCATATATCCTAATGATATATTCACTAAATAATATCTTAACATAAAATAAACCTAAATATATTATTCTCTTAAATGATATTCACGGAAAATATATCACACATATATTTTCCGATATCTCATATGTCTAACACCCTCCCGCAATCGTAACAGCAGTAACGCGAACGTTGCGATTGGAAATTCTTCACTTTGTTGAAGCCGAGATGCACACTCTTGTGATGTCGCCTTCAATTTTTTTTTGTTTCTTCTTTTTCAACGATGAGAACGTTCATCTTTTTGAACTCATCAGTCATCAATCAAACAGGAACGCCATTCTTTTCGAACCTGTAAATATAACAATTTTTGGTTTTTCTAGAGCAAAACCGAGCTCCAATCAAATATTGGTTTTTCAGAGTAAACCACACTCTAATCTTTTAGAGGTCTTTCAGAGTAAACCACACTCAAATATTTTACTGGTCTTTCAGAGTAAACCACACTCAAATCTCTTGGTGTTTTAAGAGTAAACCAAACTCATATCAAAAGGAGCAAAATCATGCTCGAATCAACTCACAAACCTTGTCTCACGGCACAAGGAGAACCAAATATATCTTGTCTCACGACACAAGAGAGCCGATTTGTTTTCATAGGTCCAAGCTTAGACCCTCAATCACCTCGTCAACTCCACAGACTCACAAAAAATCTCATGATTAATTTGAGCAAGCAACACAAACCACAAACTAGTCTTAATAGAACAAAAGTCACGCATGATCAATTTATCAAGATTCATGCATTAAACAAGATCCTTTAATATTTGGGGGGGGGGGAATAATTATTGTTGGATAATAGTTCATCCCACCGGTGGGTTTAATATTCTAACCCATCGGCAGGGGGGAAAATTGTGTGAACACTCTCAAGATCTAACCCGTTTTTGATACCATGACAAATTAGGGAGAAGAGATAATGAATAGCTTTTGTATTGCTTGATTATTATTCATTAATAGATTGAGTATTTATACAAAACTTATGCTCATAAGATATGAAACAGTCTTCCCAAAAGATATACCATATATCCTAATGATATATTCACTAAATAATATCTTAACATAAAATAAACCTAAATATATTATTCTCTTAAATGATAATTACGGAAAATATATCACACATATATTTTCCGATATCTCATATGTCTAACAGTTCACGACCAATGATTTTCTGAATATGAGATTGCTGAAACCCAAGTTGTTTGAAAAATTGAACAACAGAATCAGCCTTTTCAAAGAATTTGAATTCAGTATTATCTCCCAATTTCCATGATTTAGTGAAGTCAGCGGAAATGGAGAGAGATTGTTGATAGGAGAAACCCAGATTATTAACTAAGAATTTAGCTAATGAGGTAGAGAATGAAGAAGAAGGAATAGGGTTACTATAAACGGTTAGAGAAGTTGATGTTGAGTACAACAATGGATGGCGCAGGAAGAAGCAGAAGCTTCGGACGCCATAGGAGCAGCTCCCAAGCTTCAACATTTGCAATGTGTTTGGTTAAGCAGCCCCTCAAATTCTAATACAGTAATACGGATGTATTTTTCACTAAAAAAAAAATACGGAGTATTGGGGTAAGGCCATAAGTGTGTTTTTCTCGATTTATTATGCCAGTCAAAGAAGTGCACTTAAAAAAATTCAAAAAATCAAGAATGTCGGTCAAAGAAGTGCACTTAAAAAAAAGTTTAAAAATCATGTAGAATATTACTATCTCCGTTTTTAAATACTTGTTCCTAGGGGTGTACACCGGTCCAAAACCGGACCGGACCTGGACCGGACCTGTTTGGACCGGGGACCTGAATTGGGTAATTATGAGGACCGGGGACCGGACCTGAATTAACAGGTCCGGTTCCGGGCTAGACCTGAAAAATCAGGTCCGGTCCAGGTTTGGACCTGAATGGACCTATTTTGTGATTTTTAGACCTGTTGCATAATTTAATAATTACATACAAACCAAAATTATTAATCACAAAAGTACAAAACTACATAAAGTCTATAAAAGTATAAAGTCCCAATTCTCAAACACCAAAAATACAAATGAGTCCACCGAAAGTACAAATGAGTCCACGAAAACTCATAACATTACATAAATTCTCTTAAGTCTCAAGTATTAGAAATACATAAATTCTCCAACGAGTTGTTTTCCCTTTGATCGCGTGATTCACACTAATGAGTCCACGAAAACAACTTCATCGTCTACATCGTTAGATTCACCACGTTGCACCTCTAAATAAAATACAATATAGAATATGTTAGAATATATTAATGATTGATAACAATGAAATAATAAATTTGGTGTAACAAAATTTCAAGTACATAAAATCATTACTACCTTTCTCTATTTCCTCTAGCTCTTTCAAATTTTCTTCCACATCAACAATTGGCACTTCCTTAGCTCTAAGCCAATCTTGTGTGCAAAGTAGCGCTTGAACCATCTTCAATACAAAAATATTACACAAATATGTATAAACAAAGTCATATTAAGATATAAACAAACTTGATTTTATAAAATAAAAAGATAACGATGCATTACCTTAGGAGTTAAAGAACTCCGAAATGGATCTAGAGTACGACCTCCCGTACTAAAAGCAGATTCCGATGCAACGGTCGATAATGGGATGGCTAGTATGTCACGTGCCATGCGATTAAGAATCACATAACGCTGACCATTCTTACCCCACCATGTCAATGCATCTTGTTCTTCCTCCTCCGGCCCTAATTGATCATTTAAGTACCTATCCAACTCACTTATCGCATACCCACTTGTCCCCTTCAATCGTTTTGCTCTTTCTTTTAGTTTCCTCACATAATCGGAACCCACTCCTTTATTATTATCAATATCCATTGGCATATTATCTCCACAATCTGGAATATTAGAAGTAGCATACATTTTTCTATATTCCTCAAATAAAGAGTAAGCGAACTCCTTCACATCATTAGCAAGTTTTGTACCCTTTTCTGGTCCATGCATGTCCGTTAGTGTCAATTCAACAATGACCATCTTAGAGTGAGGGTCGAGAAGAAGAGCAACATAAATGAATTTATTCATCTTATCCACATCCCCCCAATACTTATCAAACTTTTTTTTCATTGCAATGGCCATAGCTTGAAAATTCAAGTCCTCACTTTGTTCCCAATTATTCAACATATCATACATAGAAGCAATTTCTCCTAAACCTTTATTAGCTGTCACATAATGGGAACCAGAAATTCGTTTAGTCAACAGATAAAACCCCTCTAGAAACAAAACTAACCTCTCCACTTTTTCCCAATCTTCGGGTTCGGGAGGCCTTTCATTGTCATTCAAATCCTCTCCATCAGGAAGAGATAACCCACTAAAAACACGTCGAAACTTCAAAGTCGTTTCCAACATTATGTATGTGGAGTTCCAACGAGTGGGGACATCAAAGGATAAAGAAGATTTTGAATCTATGTTTGCTTTTTGCACAAGATCTTTGAATCTAAGTATTCTTGCAGGGGAGTTCTTAACATATTTCACAGCATTTCTAACTCTATCAATGCACACACCATGTTCTTTAATACCATCCCACACAATTAAATTAATGATATGAGCAATGCATCTAACATGAAGATTTTTTCCATCATTAATACATCCTGTTCTTCTAACCATTCTACTCAAGTGTGCACAAGCAACATCATTTGAAGAAGCATTATCAACAGTGACAGTAAAAAGTTTATCATCAATACCCCAATACTCTAAACATGCCTCAACTGCTTTTCCAATAGCCTCTCCTTTATGACTAGAAATTGGACAAAAATTTATGATCTTTTTATTTAATTTCCAGTCATTATCAATGAAATGAGCTGTAAGACACATATAATTAATTCTTTGTATTGAAGTCCAAGTATCAGTGGTCACAGAAATTCTTTGACATGTCTTAAACATTTCTCTCAATTTCTCTTTTTCACTATAATACAACTTTAAACAATCACGAGCAATGGTAACACGAGATGGAATGTGAAATTGTGGACATGCAACTTGCACAAAGTGCCTAAAACCGGGTTTTTCCACATGCTTAAATGGTAACTCATCAACAATAATCATGTGAACCAATGCCTCTCTAACATCATTCAAGTTAATAATCCTACTCCCACACTTTAATTCACCACTCTCATGTTCTTGATCAAAATACAATTTAGTTTGCTTTTCTTTGCCCTTTTCTTTTTCTATATTAATAGGATTACCGAGACATGATTCTGCATGATTTTTAACATTTTTGGAACCATTAAGATTACCATCAGCAGCAAAAGTTTTAGGACAAAACTTACATTCAGCTCGTAGTTTTCCATTCTCGACGTACTCTAAGTAATATTTCCAATACTCAGCTTTCCTCTTACTTTTTCTGTTCCATATATACTCCCGCCCCGCTTTTAGCTTCTTATCAGGAGGCAAAGTAGATTGCAATTCTTCCATATCCTTTTCAGAAAGTGGCTGTGACGTTTGTTCAGAAAAAGAAGCAGACCGTTTGGATTGAGAGCTCTCCATCTACAATATAATTATAGACAATATAAGTAATTTTAAAGTAACAATTATATACACATACCATTTTATAAAAAAATTTAAGAGCAACTTACATTGCAAGAATAAGAATCCGTGGTTCCTCCACTCCCTTGTTAGTCCTAGGCAAGTCTGCAAGAATAAGAACAAGAATAAGAACCCCTGAACTGCATACAAGTATACAACTATGTTTTATGATCTTATCAATTTTAAACAAGTTAGCCAACTCAAATCTGAATTCTGAACTGCATACAACCATGTCTTATCAATTTTGATACAAGTTAGCCAACTTATTTAATCATCTGAGTCTCTTACAAATCATGCACTACGTTTATTTATTTATTTATTTAAATTTGGCCTATCAGAGATTCAAAGGCTGTGAATCTGTGATAGTGTGATCAATTCTAAAACCTAAACCCTAAACTAAAAAAAAAACATAAATTCGAAGATAAACCATACTTGTTATCAATTCTAAACATTAAACCCTAAAACCCTAAACTTTAAACTAAAAAAAACCAAAAAAAAAACATAAATTTGAAAGAAATTCGAAAATAAACCAAAAAAGAAAAACATAAATTCGAAAACATTGAAGTAAAAAAAAGAAATTCAACATGCAAACATCAAATAATCATTATAAGCAATTGAAACATGAATAAACATATAAATTCTAACACTTAATTCATTATTTCGAATACAAAATACCCAAACATAATTAGATAATTTAGATTTACATTAAAAAAAAAATAACTTACCGAAGAAATGGAAAATCGCGCAGTAGCTGTCTCATGCGGTGGCCGGAGGGCGCCTGGGCTTCGCCTGAGAGAGTGAGGAAGGCAGGAGGTGTCGGCGGTGGGCGTTGCCGCGTTGGGCTGAGACTCGAGACAGTGAGCGTGAGGGAGAGGGGGAGACAGCCAGGGAGTTTGGAGATTGGAGTCTTGGAGAATGGAGATAGTCAGATAGCTGTTTGTTAGGGTTAGAATGAAATGAAAGAGAACTGAAGCGTCACTCAAGCAGCTTGCAGCGTTATTTTGATTTTTGAATTTTTTTTTTTTAAAAAAAAAAATACAATTTTTCCGGGTTTCAGGTCCGGACCTGAAAACCCCGGGTTTAGACCGGGTCCGGACCGGAACCGAGAACCTTGATTTTTAAGGACCGGGATCGGACCTGAATCAACAGGTCCAGGTCAGGTCCGGTCCGGATCAGGTCGGTTCAGGTCCGGTTTCAGGTCCGGTCCAGTTTTTGTACACCCCTACTTGTTCCATTTCTATATGCGCGTAGTTTTAGGAGAAATTGGAGAAAGTAATAAAATATAGAGGTAGTGGGGGTAGTTGAGAGAATAAAAAATTGTAAAAAACACAAGTAGTGGAAATGTAGAAGGAGAAAGAGTATTATGTTGGGTCCACTAGGTGTGAGAAATAAATTAATTATTGTAAAAGCTTTTCAAAAAAAGAAATTGAGCAAGTATTTAAAAACGGCCGGAAAAAAAAAAGTTGGACAAATATTTAAAAACGGAGGAAGTTCATATTTACGTATAAGTTCAAACTCAAATACTATACCAACAAGCTAAACTTGTAATTTAAGAAGTTTAATAGAGCTTTGACTAGAAGTATATTAGAGGAAATCTATACATATCATAGCATCTCTCCAAGATTATAAGGCCATATATTTGCCCACATACCTTAAGTTAAGGTAATGCAGTAATGCATGACATTCTCAACTCGGTTAAAGTAAACCTTTGCATTAAAACATATTTCTAATTCAAATTATCATTTCAAAAGGGATTGATTACTATTCTCCTCTCAAATCTCGTGCATTTGAGAAGTGGGTAATGAGAATAAATTTATACGAAATCTGTAAATTTGTAAGGAATATACTTTGTATTATGTAAACACTTTATTTGGCAATACCTGCTAACCCTCCCTTTTTTCTATCAATGAATTTTTATAATCATCCATCTCCGCTTTAGCTTTTTATATTGGTGAATATGAACATTTATCAAGAATTCACAAGTTTTAGAGAAGATTACATTTTCATAATTGTGATGATATTTAGAAAAAATCACACTCGAAATTATACTTATAAGTTACAATTGCTATTATTATGTCCTATCAAATGGGTTAAATGTCTTTCTCAAAAATGAAGTATTGGAAATAACCTAAAGTCTAGGGGAAAAATTAGAAATAATAATCCCAACTTTGTCTAATTTATATAGAATAATCCCAACTTTCGTTAATATTGGAATAATCCGAACTTTAGGGGGTCTTCTTTTTCTTCAATCCCAAATATTGGTTACCGGTTGAATGGGTTAATTATTATTTTTTGATTAAAAATGACACGTGTCACAAATTAATTGGTTTAAAAAATTTAAAAAAAAAAAACAAAATTTAAAAAAAAAGCCACCCAAAAAAAACCAGAATATCACCCAACTCTCCACCCCTGCTCATCGGAACCCCCCTGACCACCCACTTCCCTCTCCCTCTGTCGCCGGGAAACTGAGCAGCCCAACCGCATTACCACCGCCGCCACACACAACACCACTCTTTGCGGTGCAATTGCAACAATAAACCCCAAAACTACAATTCCCCCTCACTCGACCCGAATCCAACCCATACCCAACCACCTTCGTCCAAGCCATACCCAATCACCTTCGGCGTAGGAGGAGGGAAATCATCGGCGCTAGGGGAGGAGGTATTAGCGGCACAAGGAGGGGGAATTAGAGGCGTAAATTGCTTGATTTTTGGGGTGGAATTGGGTTTTATTGGTGGTTGGGTGGAAGTTTCGGGGAAGGGGGATGGGGGTTTAGATGGTAGGCCGGAGCGACGACTATGGTGGTGGTTTCGTGGGGGTCCGACGAGGGTTGTGGTTGGGCTGGCGGCGACTAGGGTGGTGGTTGTGTGGGGGTTTGACGAGGTTGGGCTGGTGATTTAAGTACAGTTTGATTATGACTATGGTGGTGGTTTCGTGGGGGTCCGATGAGGGTTGTGGCTGGGCTAGCGGCGACTAGGGTGGTGGTTGTGTGGGGGTTTGACGAGGTTGGGCTGGTGATTTAAGTACTGTTTGATTATGACTATGGTGGTGGTTTCGTGGGGGTCCGATGAGGGTTGTGGTTGGGCTGGCGGTGACTATGGTGGTGGTAACGTGGGGGTCCGACGAGGGTTGTGGCTGGGCTGGCGGCGACTAGGGTGGTGGTTGTGTGGTGGTCCAACGAGGTTGGCCTGCTGATTTTTTTAATAAATTTTGGTTTTTTTTTTAAATCGGACCAATCAGAACTTGACACGTGTCAAGTGACCTGATATAATAGGTCATTGACTTTTGTTGACCGGTTAAGGATTGAAGAAAAAAAAACCCCTAAAGTTCGGATTATTCCAGTATTAACAAAAGTTGGGATTATTCTACATAAATTAGACAAAGTTGGGATTATTATTTCTAATTTTTCCAAGTCTAGGAAGGTCATTTGTCTTCATGCCTTTGGGCACACTTCAGTACTAGGAAGTCTCTCCTTAGAGCATTCCCAACAATGAGCAAAAAAATGCTCATGAGCAAAACTTTGGGTGAAAGTAAAACAAAAATGACTTACATCAATGAGCAAAAGTAAAAATGCTCATGAACAAAATGAAAATTGCTCATAGGATGAGCATTTTTTAAGATGAATAGTAATCATGTGGGGTCCACAATGCAAGTAAAAAAAGAATTAAAAATAATATAGTAGAGAGAAATATAAGAGGGTATTAGTAAAAGTAAGAGAGAAGATGTAGTAGAGAGAGAAAATAGGGAAACATATTTTTAAGAATCATTGGTGGAATAAAAATATGATCACAAAAATACTCATGAATTGAAAGAGAGAGAAAGTGGGTAGAGAGAGAATGAGGAAACCAATTTTTGCTCATTGTTAGGATAAACATAATCTGTAACGGAGGTAGTATTTTTTCAAAATAAATTGGGGTACAATTAGACCTATCAATTCAAGTCAACAGGTCGAGTTTGGTCAAATTTTGGATTGTTTGTAATTATTTATCTTTACAAATTATGATATATTGGTCAAATTGAGTTAATTTTGGGTCACTTGTATCGAATCGGGTTGGTTTAAGTTCTCTTTGTAAAGTCGATTAAAAATTGACAAGTTTAGGTCAATATAACTTTTTACAGTGTTGTTAATTATAGATATTAATTTAATTATTAAAATTGTGCAATGGCCACCATAATAAAACAAATATGTTAACTAAAAACATCGAGAAAGTATATAACAAGACTTTATTGATTCATTTAAGAACAAAATAAAACATATGATAGGTTTTTTTTTTTTTTTTTTTCAATTAAAAAGGACAAGGATTATTATTACTTATATAAATATAAATGCTCTAGATTTAGTGCTTTGTCATACAACCACCGTCATTGTAATCATCACAGCATTTCTTTTGAGTGTTATAACATGTGAATTCAAGATGGCTCGCAAATGTTAAGCTCTACTTTTATAGATCCATTTCCATTGTCAAAATTATTCAACATATCCTTGAGTGATAACTTCAAATTGTCTTCACCGCCATAAATAGTACCACCTACACATTATTGAAAGAAAAAAATTATTTATACGCTAAGACGATTGAATCTATATTATAAATTTTAATGGCATATTTCTACTATGGAGTACTGAAATTTATGGAAATTTAATTGGTTTTAATTTGCTTCGAAATAACTTGACCCAGGTTGAATTTTGGGTCAATAGCAGATCAAGTTGAATTCGGGTTTCGTAGAGTTAACTCAGGAATGTGTTTTTCTTATGTTGAGTGTGTACATTTTTTTTATATGCGAATGTTGAGTGTGTGCTTGATATAGGTACTCGTAACTAAATCTTAAGTCAATTCGCATGTCACGTGATTTTGGTCGAATCAAGTCATTTTTTTTGTTGGCCGAGAAGAGCCCTATCGGGCCGGAACCTCTCATAAGTTCTCTCAGCCCGAGTTAACAGACTAGGCACTTTAAAAGTAACGGGAAAAGGGTAAGGGCTAGACACTTTGAAAGACTATTTGGTCTATTGGTAACCATTTTCATTAGATTTATTATTATTTTTTTTTTTTTTGAAAGACATTAGGTTGGTTTTAATCTGGAGTCAATTAAAACCAACCATTCACAGTATTAAGCCTAAAACAAATCAGTGGCATTGAAAAACTATTAACATCCATTGAAAGAACAAAAGGATTCGAGCATTAGAAAATTTAACATCATGATAACCAAATTAGAATACGCCACCCACTACAAACAATAACATAAAGACTAGAAGCATTCTGCGCCTTCACCTTTGTGATAGTTTACGAGGACCAAAAGCTTAAGAAAAATCTCTTATTACGCAAGTAGGCTGAGTAAAAGCCATTGAGCCTCTAGCATTTCATACACAAATATTTTACGTGCTAAGCGGGAGGAGTCGGCCTCTCCTCAACATACTTAACATTTACCTCACTATAAGAACCAAAAGAAACCATGTCCGCGTCATCATGAATTCACGAGTGACCTTAGTAGCATCACATACATCGTCCCCCCAGTCTAATCTCATCATCCAGAGCAATAAAGGAATTTGTTACATGAATAAGTTGTTCTGAGACTATTATCTGCTATAATTCTTAGTAGGTTAAAAGCCTTCCTTTTTTACTACAGCAACAATATATTGCTTAGGCCTAAAGAATCCTAAATACAAGTACCTTTTTTAAGGAGCTCAATAATTATCAGCTGAGTATCCTATATTATAGAGCAGTTCATGCCTTTGACCGACTTCAATGATAGACCGCTAATTGACTGCAAATTACACAATATATCTGTTCAGACACTGCTTACACAATATATTACAAGGCAGTAGCAATATTTAACCGTAACCGTTCAGGGACTCCCACCAAGCAAAACTTGATCTAGTGGTTGTGAGATGTCAAGCTTTCCCACTAGAAACACTTTGGAGTAGGAATTCCCTTACCCTTCCACCCCCCCCCCCCCCACCACTTCCAAAGTGCCTAGCCCGCTAAACCAGGCTGGGAGAACCTGTGAGAGGTTATGGCCTGTTAGGGCCATTCTCCTTACCAACATACAAAAAAAAAAAAAAAAAAAAAAAAAAAGTTCACCAGCACCCCTCACAATCTTAAGTCTAGGATCACTGCCCCTGCTCCCTAGCATCGAAAATTAAGGTTAGGTAATTATACTCCAACAGGCACAAAACAAACATCAAGGCTATTGATATCAAAGTCGATAGTCTAGCGTTTTACAACTTGGCTCCATAAATTTATAAAATAAGAAAAAAAAATATTTAAGAGAAGGAAAAAAAAAATATTTACGAGAAGGAAAAAAAAAAAAAGGTCCCATTGACAGTTTTATCTCTGTTTTCACAATCAATTGGATGATTAGCCCCAAGGACATAACAAATAGCAGAGAGCAAGAAATTAACTTCCTTTTCAATATCCTCAACCTCAACTTTGGCTAAATCATCTAACCATGTATTTTTGTTATCATAAATTTTATACAAGTTAACAATCTACATTCATATTACCACATCAAATTTCAAACCAGAAAAAACAGGGAATCAGAGTTGTTACCCATCTCGTGATCCATCTTTTCGCCTCATCAATGAACTGATTCCACCATCTTTGTCTGGGAAAGCCATTCAGGCAGCATATTCCACCAATTAGATGGCAAACCATAGTCAAATCATATTGCATAGCTCCCTCATTACCATGAGAGAATCAATTTGCACAATAGTCACTTGGGACGATCACAAGATCAACACTGCAATCAAAAGGGTTATATAGTATCTATATGGAACTAACATAGATCTTAAGCCTTCAAAAGCCTAAATGTAAAGACTGAGCTACTGCTACCAGAAGCCCTAAGACATGTAGCAAATAAAACAGAGTTTTTCACGTCATTATGTAATGTAAAGAAGACACCATGTTTTGTGTTTTTCAAAACTAATAAACTAATTTTGTTACGTCACAGAGTTTCAATATTAACAAGTCAAAGGTACTGCCACTGGAAAAAGAACAGAAGCAGTATAGGTTTCACAAGTTAATAAATGTCACTGCCAGCAACTTCAAGATTTGCTAAGCCAATACTTTAAAATTGCATCTAAATCACACAAAAGCTAGAAGTAACATAATAGCACTGCAAGTAGTGCCTAATTTTCCCTAAAAGGTATAATACTAGTAGGGAAAAGAAAACAGTGAATAAGAGATATATGTACCTCATATGAATAATAAATCAACACCAACTTCCATCAAGAATCACAGTCCACAAACCATAATAATTATTTGTTGTTTATACTTAGAACCAATTGCTTGGAGTTCCTAAGTCCAAACCTTACAGAAAAAATCTATAATCAAGCTTTTAATTTAAAGCAATACAGCATACATTACACTTAACTTCTACTCAGCAAAACAACAAAAAATGGCATTGCAATGAAACCTTCACAAATATAATGGTTTACAGCCTTTCCTAGTTCATTTCCAACAGATAGTTATGAAGGCTACTCAGAACAAGGAAACGATATTGCGAGAAGATTGAAAGTTAATCTGATAAAAATAACAAGGTTATCATTGCCTGATGCCATATGCACTGACTAACATACAGTAGCACTAGAATTTGATGACACTTTTAAGATTAGCTTTTACATGTTACCACATTGAGCGACCCTACTGTAGAGCTTGTCAGCTGAGCATAAACTTCATTGACTTCCTCAAATAGAAGAACAAGCCTTTTCAAAAACACAGACTCATTCAAGATGGCAGCACTTGGAAGAGAGTAATTCATTTGTATAAGACCTTTCTGTAGTCTGAAGATTACTGAAGTCAATACTCTTTCTTATAATCAAGAGTTGTAACATCAGAGCAATGCAATCAGTTCAGTTCCAGCAAGAATGCGTGGTAAATATATCAAAAATAAATATCACCTAATACATTGCACTCTTATCTAGAAGCAATGGGATTTCATGTCATCTTTGGAAATCCTCTTCCAGTGAGTGACCCTACTGTAGAACCTGTCATCAGAGCGTAAACTTCATGCACTTCCTCAAATGGAATAACAAGCCTTTTCAAGAACAGAGGCTCATTCAATTTGGCAGCACTTGCAAGAGAGTAATTCATTTGTATAAGACCTTTTTCCTTCAAAACCTGTAAGACTCTATGCCTAGGCAATAACCTCTTCTCAATGCTACAAGTGAATAAACAGATATTGGATACCAGAAATTCGGGCTTAAAACCCAGCTGGTTCATCAAAAAATCCAATCTTGCCTTGATCTTTGCCTCAGCCGCTGTCAAGCACATAGGATTTCGTCTTATCAATGTATTAACATCAGATTGAGTCCATCCAAAGCTCTTAAATATTTCACATTTATCCTCAATTCTCTTCACTTAAGCCACTTATCAATTGAAGGCCATAATTGAACATCGAAGAGTCTCGAGAAATCCCAATTTTTTCAACCCGACTCAAGTTATCTTGAAACAATTCAGTCCTCATTAAATAAGGTTTAGGGTGACGACAAATTTCTTTCCGGATTTTGTCAATAGGAATGCTGCAATAATTTTGCAACAATTCAATATTGAGAATCAAATACTTAGCAGAGATTCCAATATAGATTGCATTTAAGCGCTTGAGCATAGTAATTACATTATCATCACTACCCAGAACAGTCCTAAAAGCATGAATTGCAGGACCAACCTGTGTATTCAAAATTGATGGGTTCATAACAACAGTTTGAACAAGATCAGACCCAGAAATACCAAATTCATTAAGAAGCTTAACTTTGGGAATTAGGGTTTTCCCAACCCTAGCAACTAAAATCCGCGGAAATCGACAAACAATTTTCCTAATATCAGATTGTTGAAACCCAAGTTGATTAAAGAACTGAATTACAGAAATAGCATTTTCAACAGTATCAAATTCACTCACCCTCGTCGCCCCTACAGCTTGCCGCGTCACTGCGAGCTTAGCGGAAGTAGAGTGAGATTGTTGGGAAGAAAAACCCAGAGAATTGACCAATAAATTGGGCAAAGTAGAAGAGAGAGAATGCTTACCTTCCTTGGTTGATGTTGAGTACAACAATGGAAGGCGCCAAAAACCAGGCAGATAGGAGTACAACCCTCGGACGCCATTGTTGATGCTTCTGCAACTGCACCCAATTTTTATCATTTTAGGAGTATTTTGTGGGAATTTGCTTTGAAATACTTTGTACTTCGTATGTTATTGTGTGGGTCAATAGCAAATGGAGTCAAATTCGGGTTTCATAGGGTTTAATTAGGATCGTCTTTCTCATGTAAGTGTGAAGTATGTGTTCGAAAATCGATATACGTAGTAAGTAGGGGTGTCAATTCGAATGATCGGATCGGGCCTGATATAGTCGGGTCGGGTCGGGTCAATTTTTATAATAAAGTCATACTAATTTTTTATGTCTACGCAAGTCTAAATCTGAGTCGGATATTTTTCGGATCGGGTCAGGTGCGCTTTTTACACCTCTAGTAGTAAATACTTGGGTGATGTGTCAAAAAATAAAAATATAAATAAAAGGGTACTTGGGTGTTGAAACACGTTTGTGTACCTCATACGTAATTGCTAGTTTCCGTAGATTTGATGTGGCATTTTTCTCTAATTTTATCGAGTATTTGTTAGCAATTTATATTCTACACTAGTTTAATCTTATACCCTTTTACATTCTCCTTATTATACACTTTATTCTATTTGTTAGATGTGTGATGCATTGATAGTGTTACTAATATAGCCATATAAACACCTTGTGGATACTTGATAGTGATACAGAGTTAGTTATGTAAACACCTTGTGGGATGAGATATAATTACCAGAATCAAAAACTTTATTTTGGCATCATATCAGAAAGCTTGTGCTTTCGTATGCAAGTAATGATCCTCCGTTATATGTTCAAGTTATTATGTTGTGAGTGAAATGTGGGATAATAAATTAGGGTGGAAGCTTAACCTGTTCACGGATCCAAGCAATGATCATACGATTTAGCAACTTTAATTGAGGTGTTTTGGAATGGCTCCTTATCTGATATTTTCACGATTAGATCAGTCATTGCGACAATTCAAAGTGAGGATGGAACATCTCTTGAGGTCGCTTGAGAATGAAATGATTTGTGGATTGTGGAGGATGCTTGTTCCACAAAGAATATGATTCTTTTTGCTGGCGATTAAAGCTTAATGAAAATAGTTATGTTTGCTCTCTTGCAATGATCCAAGATGCTTAATATGTGAAGAGGCTGAGGAAATTGTCGAGCATGTATGTACTAAGAGTGTCCCAATTGTATGCATTGTGGCAAAAGCTAGGTCTAGCTTCTAGTCAACTCGTGAGCCTTATATTGTTTACAGACTGGATACATTTGAATATTAATGAGTTATAGCCCACGATGATGGGCACGAGTGTTTATTGTTCTCAACTTTGGAGATGGCGGAATGAGCGTTGCTTCAGTATAAATTAGGAAATGCTGATTGATCAAGTGAGCTTTATTTTTGCTCGTGTTGAAACTATTATTAAATAAAATAAGTAACATCCAACTTCTTCAATATCTTTAGTGTGTAAAATAACTTTATTGAACCGTAAAAATGTTCAGTCTGTGTTTTATTGCATAAAACTAATAATGGCTTTGAGTCGTGTCGTGACTTGGCCCACAAGATTTAAATTATGATTGTTTAGGCATAGGTCACGGACTAGCCCACTTATAATGGGTCAGGCTCATTTTGAAAAATAAGTTCCAAGCATGTTCAAGTATATGGGTATAAGGGGATAAGTTGGCCTAACATATGTGCTAGCCCACCCCCTAAGGTGATCCATGAATTGGCCCACAATTTTCTATGGAAAAAGGTTAATATATTAGTGTTTTTTCAGTTTTGTGGTATCCAATTTGTTGATTTATCAAGCTTTGGTCTAGTGGTAACAATTAACTAGTAAGGTTTGCATCTCACAACTCTGAGGTTGTGGGATCAAAACTAGAGACACTTTGGGATAAGGATTCACTCCCCCTCCCTACCACTTCCCAAGGGCCTAGCCCAAAAACTCGGGTTGGGTGGACTTGTGAAAGGTTCTAAATATCTAAAGCATTTCTTTATACCTAAGAGGCTAAGACCAATAAAATATCCATGTCAACAATCACTAACAAATCTATAAGTACACAAGGCGAAAGCTAGGTTGAGCTTAGGGTTTATGGCATGTAGACTAGCCAACTTGATGTGCTAGCTCATGGGCCAATATTGTGCTCAAATAAAACTAAAAAAGGGGTAGAAGGCTAGCCACACCACAAAAAACAGGGATCCTTAGGGGCTGCATGCACAACCCTAGTGATATTGGGCTTGGTTGGAAGCGGGGTGGCTTAGCCCAACCCAAAATCGTCTTTCATATAAAACCATGTCAATGCTATTTAGTAATTTCATATATGAAAAGGGACGCATCAAATGATGCTTACTTTACTTACTAATGTTCATATTTATAATTGTTATGACTTTCCATATATATCCATATTTAATTCGTAACTATTTCTCATTCTCAACAAAGTTGCCACCACCTCATCTCTCGGGCAACCACTAGATCAACCACCACCAACCGAATAATGAAACAACGTTTCTATTTATAATTGTTATGACTTTTCATACCCATGTTTATTGAACTCAAGACCAACAATAATAAGTTACACTTAAGTCTTACCACCTTAGCTATCATTTATTGTGTTTTTTTATCCAACAAAATTATAGTTAAATTGGATAAAATGATTAATCTTTAATTGTAGTATTTGTTCCTATTATGCAATGATCATACGATTTAGAAACTTTAATTTTTAAGTTTTGAAAACTTCATATTGTTTTTCGACTTGATGAAGAAAAAAAAATTATATTTATGTTAAATAATCAATAGTTGTTGAATATATTTAAATCATAACGTACGAAATATTGATGAAGACGATTCTCCTAATACAAATATGTTTCAAATTATAAAATTTTTAGATGATTATTAAACATTAAGGTTAAAAAAAAACAAAAAGATTATCAAATTGAACAAGTACAACCTAGCAACCTGGGGCATTATTAAATATAATTAGCACAATTTTTTTTCTTCTTATGATTACATTTGGTTTGACCTAATCAACCATTAATAATAATGTTGAAATCTGCTCTGCTCGGCTCTGTTCGGCTAAAATTTAATCTGCTCTGCTCTGTTGACCCCTGCTCTGCCCAGAAGCTCAAAAGAACAGGGCCTAATTGTCGAATTCATAACCTTTTATATGTGAGTTCAAGACAAACTTGTGAATCTTACGATACCTATGAAGCGACTATTTCCATAATCTCATTAAATCTTTCCAAAGAGTTATCAAACTCGTCATAAAGGAATTCGAGTTAAGTCATTAATGCCCATGTTCATCGCCATCTCTTAGGCCGTATGCTTGATTTATATGCTAGTCTTCAGATTGTTCCTGCAATCCAAGATTTGAAGAAGATTATGGGGTGTGATTACGATGTCATTGAAATTTTGAAGAAATCGCAAAAAAAAAAAAAAAAAAAAAAAAGACTTCATTGTATTTCCAAATTTGGTGCCAAATGTAGCTTTGTTGCAAAATTATGGGATCAAAATTCATAGTGAGCACATGATTGGAAGTTCTATGACTTTTATCAGAATGCTTGTTCTGTCTCCTCCTTTTGTTTGGATGTTTAATTTGTGAGTTCACAAAAATGTTTGTTTATTTGGTGATATAGTTCTATAATAGCTTGTTCTTTGTTGTTCAGCCTTTTGTTATTCTTTTATTTTTGTCTCCCCTTTTCCTCCCACACCTTATGGTCCTAATGTGACTATTTCGCAAAGTAATTGGAGAGATCACCAAGGCTTTATGTGATATGCAGCATTATTCTATCAGCTATATTATCGTGTTCGATTGCATCCTAACTCTTATTTACAACGTACTATCTATTTGTGAGCAGCTTTTTTTTTTTTCAACATAGAAGAACACAAAATGAAAAACAGAAAGAGAGAAGGGGCTACGGCCCTTTTCTAGCTTCGACTGCTAACTTGCTTAGGAGTGAGCTTTCTCAACTCTTTCTCTACTAACTTTCCTAAAAGTACAAGAGGCTAGATTATAGGCTAATTGCTGTAAATTAGCAATGATTGTTTTACACTCCGGTGGTGCATCATTTTCTTCTCATAGCATCTATCTGGATTAGGTTGCTGGAATCCGTCTCCATCACTGCTCTGCTGATAGATCCTCAATGCTTTTGATTGCGTGGAGGGCTGCTATAGCTTCTGCTGGTTTGTATGGAGGAAATTGCACAAACCTTGTTAGAGCGTTGTGATAAAATCTGATCCCCTATGAACCTGCTTCCCATTCCCCGTGTTTGTTTCCCTTCAGGCTTTTCCATGCTCCATCTATTATGGCAAGGATTAAGGACCAACCCTGTTCTTTAGTACTTAAGGATAAACTTCTTTCTGCTTACTGTTGCTCTCAATTATAGTAGTCCTTAGGATAGTGTTTATACTGCTGTGAATCCTCCTATCTTGCGACCCGGACATAATCCATCAGATAACAAGAGAAATATAAAAAACTGTCCCAAAATTCTATAATCAAGACTGTATTTTAATCAGTGCATTTGACAAAATACAGGAAAGTAGTACTACAAGGCATATAAAGCATCAAATCCAACATGTAGTTTCAATTTCTATTAGCAGGTAAGAAAAGCTACACTTTATCCTAATTTGAAATATTTTGAAAATGTTTCTCAATAACAAATTGATCAGAATAGTGAAAATCTTCAGGTAAGACTACTTATTAGAACAAGCATACTACAGGTTGCAAAAAAGCAAACATAAAACAGGTTGCAAAAAAGCAAACATAAAACAGGTTGCAAAAAAACAGACATAAAACAGGTTGCAAATATTTGCCTGCAAATAAAATAAGGATTGTATACTTATTTAACACTTTGTTTGGATAGGAAGAAATGGAAGGAAAAGAAAAGAAGAGAAATAGAGGGGGACAAAATCTCTTGTTTGGGTAAAAGATTGGGGGAAGGAAGGGGAAGGAGAGGGAGGGATCCATTTTCCCTTTCTCTATAATAACCATAATCTCTCCAAAATTGGAGAGATTTGGAGGGAAAATGGAGCTCACCTCCCCCTCCCTTTCTTTTCCCTTCCCTTCCTCCATTTTCCCTCCCCTTCTTTTCCTTCCTTCCTTCTTTTCCTTCCTCTCTGTTCTGATCACTTACGCTTTGTTTGGATAGCAAAGAAGGAAGGAAAAGAAGGGGAGGGAAAATGGAGGAAGGGAAGGGAAAAGAAAGGGAGGGGGAGGTGAGCTCCATTTTCCCTCCAAATCTCTCCAATTTTGGAGAGATTATGGTTATTATAGAGAAAGGGAAAATGGATCCCTCCCTCTCCTTCCCCTTCCTTCCCCCAATCTTTTACCCAAACAAGAGATTTTGTCCCCCTCTATTTCTCTTCTTTTCTTTTCCTTCCATTTCTTCCTATCCAAACAAAGTGTTAAGGAGAGAACTCACCTACAAGCAAAGAAATTATTTTATTGTACATATATGAGCATAAAGAACTGCAGAGGGCAGAAACAACCCGCAGTCCCGCACTATTGTCCCTATAAGCAAAAGCCTCTAAACGGAGGATTTTTTTTAATGCATTAGTCTAAGCAGCATATATTTCAGTTCATTTAAAATTAACAATGTAAGTAACTGATGCCTCATGATAAAATCGTTTCATCAGGGCAACAGTTAAGGTAATCCGTAAATATATGATTTCAACTAGCTGACTGGCAACAAAAGCATTGTGCAGTTACCCATCATCCAGTAGCATCGGAACCCTGGTTCATATGTTGAAAAATATGAAATTCAACTAGTTGACAACAAAAGCATTGTGCACTTACCCATCATCCACTATCATCGGAATCCTGGTTCATATGTTGAAATGGGGATTAGCTTTTCCTTGAGTTAGCAGCTTTGCATTAACACCAACATGGTTTGCATAAATTTCATGAACCTCCACATATGGTAGTACTAAGTTATTCACAAACTTCAACTCATTCATCCATATAATAGAATAAAAACAGTAATTCTTCTTGATCAAACCTTTCTCCTTTAAGACCAGCACGACTTGATGTCTCGGTTTTACTCTCTTCTCCAAACTACAAGTCATGAAAGCACTTCTCGACATCAGGTAAGCAGGCTGATAACCTAGCTCACACATGAAAAAACTCAATTTCATCTTAGTCATTGCTTCAGAATATCCTAGGCAACTAGGAATTCTCCTTATTAGCTCAAAGAAATCAGATTGTGTCCATCCAAAGCTCTTATAAACTTGAAATTTAGACTCAATATTCTTCTCACTAAGGCGCCTTAGGATTCGGACCACATACAAGAACATGGTCGAGTCTCGAGAAATCCGAAACTTCTGTTCAGCCTTAATCAAATCATCCTTAAACAATAGAGGACTTACAACAAAGGATTCAGGGTCCTGCATAACATGTTTCTGGATTATATTATATGGGATGCCATAGTTTTTCAACAATTCAGCATTCGAAAGCAAATGTTTATGATAAGTCCCCAAGGTTCCTCGGCGACAGTAAATAGACGATGAGCTAAGAGCCTTACACACATTCTCATCACTACCCAAAACTTGCCTCAAAGTTTGGATTACAGGATTCAAGCGCATACATAGTAATGTAGGATTTAGGGCTATAATCCTAGATAAAACAGACCCAGAAATTCCAATTCCTCGAAGAAACTCAAATTTGGGTTTTAGGGTTTTATCAACATTAGACAATAAGATTCGAGGTTGAACTAAGATGATCTTTCTAATCTGGGATTCATCAAACCCATTTTGTTTGAAGAAATTAGTGATTAAATTAGCATTACTAGCCTTATTACACAAATCAGTACTTACATTCGTTGCTTTCGCTGATTTCGGACGCTGAGCAAGCTTGGTAGAAGTGGAGAGAGATTGTTGGGAGGAAAACCCTAGAACTTCAACCAAGTAATTCGTTAAAGAAGAAGATGGATTAGCTTCAGTTGAGGAAGAACATGATGTTGAATAGCGTAGGCGATGAAAACCATGGATGAAGTTGAGAGCTTGGACGCCATTGAAGAAGTTGCTCCCACATTTCAGTTTCATCATCTTCAATGTGTAAGAATAACTTTGTTGATGTGTTTATGAATAGCCGAAAATCAAGGTATTGGATTAGAAATTTCTTAATTAGGAATCGCTGAAACTTGTGGGGATGAGCAGGTACCTTAAAGCGAAACTATAATTCATTATGAATCACAGGTTACGGTCGAAATTCTGGGTACGTAGTATATTTGAGAACTTGTTGCTACAGGTTCCGATTTTAGTTTCGATTTCCATTTTTCAGGAACATGTTGAAGAGGTTCCGATTTTCATTATGAGAAACTTGTTGCAACAAGTTTCGACTTTGGTTCCAAAAAAAATTTAAGGCTTATTCCTAGTTAATTTATCTAAACCAACTTAAAGTAGCATTTTTACTAAAATAAAATGCAATTATTTACAATTTTGCCATTTACTACGTACTAAGAAACAAATTCTCTAAAAGATTGTACTTTTTTCACTTTTTCTATTTTCCCAGATTCATTTGAAGTTTGGCTAACAAAGTAGAATTTTCCCTGTGCTTCAAGCTGAATTCATCTCCATTGGTGTAAATAAATTTGTGAGCTGTGTAATTTTATATTCGAGCAGCCAAATTCAAAATACATGTAGGAAACATAATTGTATATAAATGTAACTAAGACTGCAGATAATATCATGGACTATACTTATCTACACACTGATGTCTAACTACTGAGTTTGTCGAAAAGGTTTATTGTTATAAGATAATAATGGTGTTGTCACAACTCACAAAGATGTTGGGATGGCGCGCGGATGGATTGCTGAGTTCCCACTGCCTCCTATAGCCATAGTCCCTTGGTGGTTTCACAGATTCAACTCTTCGCTCACCTTCTTCCCCTTTGGAGAAAGGAGACGTAATTTCCTTACATTGAAAATTTTGAATTATGAAGTTCAATAATTAATCCCTTGAAAAATCTCCCAGTGATAGTGATATTAGCCAGTCAAAGGATATAAGATACCAAGTATATAGTTCGGGATAGGCTCCAAACACTCGAGTTCTAATCGATAACAACCCAACGCTTGTTCTAGACATGTAAGGGCTGTTGATACCATTCTAAAGTGTGAACCTTCTGTAGTTCGGGTCACTTATGGCCTCGTAAGGCACTTAATAAAGATTCTTATCCAATCATTCCCTGCTCTTCTAAAAAATATTCCCAAGTTTAGACTACATCCTACATCCAAACAGCCTACATACAGCATCAAAGACGGAATAATAATTATTTTAAAATATTTAAAAAAAAAAAAAAAAAAAAAAACAGTTATCATATTTCCTTCAAGATATTACTATACAGCTGCAGATCAAATAGACCATAGTTCATCTATTGGACATTATTCTAACAATCACGATGCTACCTTTTTACGCTTTTTGGCAGTCTTGGCAAGGGCATCACAGGTCTCCCTTCTTCGTTTTGAATTGTTATTATTAATACTATTGACATTATTGTTATTGTTTTCATTGTTGTCGTTATTGTTGTTGCCACCCAAGCTGTCTTGAGATTGCAGTGCATCTCTTACAAAGAATTTTAGCCTCCATAGTGTGGATTCACTCTGTGCAACCGAAAGCAATGTCAAAGGACAAATAAAAATAACATGATCTGACAAGATAATAGCCTATACGGCAGACAATATATCCTGACTAAACTGGATAAGGAAAAGAATACCTGAGCATCAATATCAAGGTCCACCTCCTCAGCATTTGCTAAAAACCCAGGATTGCTCTGGGAAACAATCTCTAGAGCTCTACTGAGATCATCAGTGGATAGCCTTGTGAGGGCTGTGCCAAGCAGCCTTTTTTCTTCGGTTGACATTTTCCTGAAATTTAGTGAATCAAATTCAGTTTCAAACATGCAGGGAGCACATAGTCCGGTGTTCAGCAAAAAAAAAAAAAAGAAAAGCCACAATCTGATTCGAGGTTGCTAGCAAGTATGGCAACTATAATCTGTACATAAGACAATCATCATTTACCTGCACTTTAGAACCAGCTGTTCCCTAAGATCATCAAGGTGAATGTCTGCCTCGAAAAGCTGATAATTTAGTTCAAGGAAATATATTATGGTCAAGTACGAATTTAGGTGTGATAATTCAATGAATAGCATTGCATAATGAATTAAAGCATATGCATAAACATTGCCTGAAGGGGGAAATTGTCATGATATAAAAGCCAGTTACCCTGATAAACTTTCTATGAAAAACAAATTTGTAAATCTCTACTTGACAATAAACCAAACACCTGTTAGTCTACTCCACAAAAGAACAGCATGAGAGTAATGCAGAGTACTATTATTATTATTAGACACTGAAAGTAAATATGGAGCTTTAAAAATAGGTAGTCGTGTAACCATCAAAAAAGTGGTTGTGGAATTTATTTAGCAGCATCAAGTTTATCAAATTTGGAGTATTTTACTTGTGATTTCAGAAGTATTTTGTTTAAAAAAAAAAAAAGACTATACCTCAGTGAGCTCAATATCTCATAAATCACGTCTGACAGGAACGTTAATTACATGACTGCCAAAGATTAAAGTTTCAATGAAACAAAGCCCAATAACTCCAAAATAAACAAACCTCATTGCTGACATCCCTTGCCATTTTGGCATAAGTAGCCTCTCGAGCTAGCTGCAGACTAAGCTGTACATGAGCTTCCTCTTCTTCTCGCCTTTTTTCCTGGAACAGCAGCCTGCCTTTTTTAGAACCATGTGAAAAAAAGGATAAAATATGGCAAATCACATATAACAAAGAGCTAAGTAGCTAACTATTCACACAAAAACAGTGGCCTTTTTCACTGGAATCTCACCTCTTCTGCAACTTTAGGCAAAAATTGTAGCCACTTTTCTTTAAACTTTGCCAGCAAGGTTTTTGCCATGACATGGTATTCATTCTTTTCACCATTATATTTCATTGCATTCTTGAAAACCAACCTCACATCTGCACATATCTCCCGTACATGTTTATAGCCACTACCGTCCTTAACTTCCATTTGTTTCTTTATCGTACTGAAATCCATAGGTTTTTCAATAATCTGGTATAAGGAAAAAATGTTAAGTAATAACTCATAAGGCACACAAAATGACCAGCAAAAGAAGATAAAGCTTGAAACAAATCTAACAATAATATTCCAACAACTTCTAACAAATTATTGGTGAACAATATCAAACATTGACCACAAAAGATCAAAACGAAAGGTGATAGGATGGAGCAGAGTAGTGTTCACAAAACTCTTTTTTTTTTTTAAACAGTGCTAACAGAACAAAACGAAATTAAAGCAGTGAAAAAAATGAAATAAGGACTTTATGTTACCTCATAGTAATCATCCAAACCAAGGCCTTTAACATCTACAGGCTCCATAAAAGGCCATGCACACGGGTGTTTAGTGATCTAAAAAACAAAGGAATAAAGGGTAATATCAGGACAATTTAAATAACAACCCATAAATTTGCGGCAATTGATCAAGACCGTAAAAACAAGGAAAACAACAGTACAAATGTACAATTGTACAAAGCCATAGGCAGCTTTTGAGGATGTCCACAGATTAAAAGCACAGCAAACATTCAGAACTTTTCCTGAATCAGCATAAAATCAAGTAAAGATGTTTTAGGAGAGGCCTTATTCTTCTTTTATAACTCTAATCCTACAGCAGCCTACACCTTCTTAGCCACCTCAAAGGCATCAGCTTAATTAATTTTTCGATAAGATCATTTCAAAGGTTTAATCTGAAAGTGAGGTTGAAAAATGTTTGGCTGGGTCAAAGTAAAACTTCCCAGTTATCCAGCACTACAAGTTTAATCCATGTAACTGAGGACAAGTTGTCCACAAAACAGCCAAAAATAAAAAAATAAATAAGTATATCAAGCCAATTCTATCATATTTTGTCTTTTAACTAACATTGCTGCATTAATTTCAGGAAAAAAAAAAAAAAAAAGAGCACCTTAGCCGTTATCCTATGCTCCTATTCTGCTGAAAAATGTACCTAAAGCAGTTCCCTTGAGCATTCACCCATCCCGTTCAATGAAGACATCGAAACCCACAATGTGGACTTTTAGTAGTTTAATCTAGATTGCGGATCTTAGTCCATGAGTATAGACACCGGAACTAAAGTGAAATGAGTTAAATTAGATATGCACACAGCACACCCCTCCATTAATTGAAAATATCCCTCCACTTGTTGGTCATTACGCTCTTAATTACAAATTTTATAGCTATAGGAATCCCCCCACCCCCTCTCCAAAGGACAAAGAGGCTAGAATTGAGGGTGTTGATTTACGGGTTGAACCATTGAGCTGCCGTGCACTTTTACATCCCTCAGGCCTTAGCTAAACATATCTGTTAGAGTCTGCTAATTCCAAGTCATCATGCTCCAAAATTCTCACAAGACTAAATATAATCAATTAGTTCTGACTTCAATCAAGCACGGGAAGCAAAATCACAAAAGCTCTCCTGTTATAGATCTAATCTATCCCAATGAGCAGTCTATCGAACCGTTGCAATTGATGTTCGGTGCCGACGACAAGGAAGAGATTTGCAGAAAGTAGGTTTTTATGATCTGATAAACTTATTTAACTCAAGTTGAATAGCTCACACAAAAATCTTGCATTTCATCTATTGAGCAGTCTCAAATACCCTTTTGTCTCATTTATAATCGATTTGAAATCAGAATTCTGATCCAAAACCTAGTGTTACGATATGAACAATCTAAAAGGTACTTCTAATTTCCTTTAAAAGAAAAGAGAAGAGAAGAAAATGACCTCATGTAATATTTTGCCAAAATGACATATCAGCTCCTGCATTCTCTTTGTGGCATCTGTTTCCTTGCTTGTTGCATCCTGCTGCTGCTTTTTAGTGAGAGCAACATGTCTCTCTTTATCCTTGTCTTTGTCTCTGGAAGCCAAGCCACCTTTCGAGCTGTTTGCTTGCTTTTTACTGCTGTTAAAGTAGAATTGCTCAATCTCATGAACTTTTTGCTCTATCTGCATATATGTATATATTAAATGTTATTCTATCTCATACAAACAATAAAAACAAAAAGATAAATAAAAACAACACTCTTAGACTGGTCTAGATGACAGTCAACATCAGTAATACAGTTCTAGTGCGAAAATGACTTTCAACAAAGAAAGCATGCTTAAGTAAAATTTTTATGAGATAGATATATAACAGATAGAATCTTAATGAAACAATCTATAACTGCATGTTACCTCACTAGTTATCTATGTTACATTCAAAAGCCAAAACAAACCGTTTCCTGGTTTCACAGTTTATATCAGGAGTTCAGCATAGGACACATACTGCAAATTCAATTGATGTAAACAAAATCCTTACAAAAAAAAAAAAAAATGGATATTGATGCCAACAAAAATTAAAATGCAAGACGAAACAAGATGAAACATCACAATTTTGACTATTTTAGGAGGGCACCTGACCCATATATCAGTAATTTCAGTATCAATTATTTACAACCATTTTTTAGGACTGTAGCATTGTAGCAAGTATGAGGCACATCAATTTGTGCCAATCAATACACTTACAATCATGAACATATAGTTAGACATTTCAACAAAGATGGAGTATAAATCATGCAGCCATTCTTTTATTGAGACAATACCAACTTTAGACTTCAGATACAACTGAAGTCAAGCCACATATCAATCAACTAGAGGTTGGAATAGGTGTCATACAGAATTATTCAGTGCCTCCATTACATGAATTCATATTAAATCTGTGATTTGTTTAAGCACCATACCATTTCATCAGTTCATTGTCAATCACAAAACTCTCACTAGAAGCTGGAATGCTGAATAGGTGGTTCGATGTGTGCAACCTATATCATGGAACCACAAAAAGGCCTTCTAGCTTTACCTCGTGGCTTGTAAGGTATAAGAGAATAACTTAAACGAAAGTGTATACGAAACCAAGAATGATTTTACATAAATAATCCCATATGGATATTGAGGTGAGGGCATAAGCGCAACTTCATAGGACACATATGTATAATATCTTCATTAATATTCATTCACTACAAAATCATATGGCGTGCTGGTGCAAATGCAATGTAACAGATATTCACATGGGACATTGTGCGTCAAATTACACATGAATATATTCCTGCTTAATAGATTTACCTTATACCAAACCAATACTTAAAGTGAAATGAAACTACATTGAGCATGCTTTTAATGCTAACAATTCTTATTTTACTTTAAGAGACCAAAGCAATCATTATCGAATATCATATGAGCTTGCATAGTTGCATAATTGAAGGGATTTAGGCCTCTAAACTAGCAATCACCAAACAAATATAACCATTAAAATGAGCAATAATTAGGCAAGTAATCACCTAACTCCAAATTCAGAAGCAAACTCACCCTATTGACATGTGACAACACCACGTCGACACGATTTTTGTAATCTTCCATCCCACAATCGCCCATTTCCTGAATTGTCAATTCAATTCCCACCCTCCATCTGAAATAGCAATTGCAAACTGTTTAGCATAGGACTGATATATCCTCAACAACGAGAAGCATACATAAACGATTCAAAAAATCTAATTTGAACAAAAACCCTAAACAAATTCAAATGCTTTCCAAATATTTTGCAGATGATTTTACTAGCATAATCAAAATTTCAAAAATCAAACACAATTGCACTAATTGATTCATAATTTAAGACTAAAACAAACATAAGCACAAAGATATATATCTAAATTATGCGAAAAAACAATCACGAAAAAGCCAAATTCAACAAAATTTAGAGAGAATCAAAATGCATAAACAAATATATTAGAATAATTAAATATTCAATCAAATTACAGTAATAATGCTTGATTACATACCAAATTTCAAGTACTATATAATCAGAATAATTAAATTTGATTAATTAGCTTCGAATTGAAGAAAGCAGAGACAGAGCAAGAAGTGTGAGACTTGAGAGAGTGTTCGGCGAGAGCTCGGAAGTTCTTTTTTTTTCCCTCTATTCCATGGAAATATGGGATGTTGTTAAAGTATAATCTTCATGGAAAAATGGGCACGGGTCATATGTCCACATGTCGTGTTAGTGTCTCGTGCTTAAGTAAATTGTGTCTAAATAACAAGTTATAAATTTTTTGGTAAAAGAGAGAGAGAAAAGTGGGTCGATCCATCGCGCTGGTGACAGGATTATGCCATTATATGTGGTTTACCACACTGTGTGATAGGGGTTAATTGAGTTACTCGGTTAAGGGTTACTCGATCAGGGGTTACATGAGGAGTTCGGTTAGGGGTTACTTAGTCATGGGGAACTTGAGAGGTTTGGTCAAGAGTTACTTGGGAGGGGTTACTCAAGGGTTTACTCACTCAGGGGTTACTTATGCTCAAAATTTGCTGCTTTTTAAAACCGGGAGCTGCCAATGGAGCCTCATCATTAACAACATTCAGATTCTCGCCTATGTTGAGATATTGTTGTGTAATCACTTGCAATTTTTCTACATTCTTCCCAAGTTAAGACTCTGCATTTGGACTAAGTGAGAAAAATAGCTTCCGGTGCTGCACCTAGAGCCTAGAGGACCTTTGCGAACCGCTCTAGGATCATTATACCCTGGTAGTCTTGCATTGTTGTGGCCCTTGAGCTTGGACAACCACCCCTTCTCTTTCTCCCTCTCAAAAGCAGAGAATCGGGCATTTTTTTTTTTTTTGGTGAAGCACCAAACCATGGGTCGTATTCATATACTACCCTTTTCTCCAAGAGTTTCTTTTTCTACAAATTAAATTGACATTCAATGTATTGTTCGTGTGGTCCATTCGCTCACAATAGGGCAATAGTAACAAAAATTAGCAAGACATTCATATTGAATACTACACCATTTTGAGGGTTGTGAACATATGCAATTTTGATACCCGTACGTAGAGGTTTATTAATGTCAATCATAATTTTCACCCTCAAATATTTGTCCCAACCAAGAGGATTCAAGTCATCATACTCTAGCAACCCTCCTAAGTGTTCTATAGACTTGGTTGGAACTTATTAGATCTTATTTAACTTTTTTTTTTTTTAGACAAGGAGATCTTATTTAACTTATAGGAACTTATAAGACCTTATTAAATTTATTAGACCTTATTAAACTTATTAGATCTTATTGTAACTTATCTGAACTAATATGAATTTATTAGACCAAAAACTTATTTTTAATTATACGGTGGAGAGAACAAGCCTTAGGTGTCAATTAACAAGTTAGTAGTACTTTTGTACAATTTATTTTAAAATGGTTGCAATTGACATAATCAAAACTTTGAAAGACTGCAACTAGCAAAATTTTCTTTTCTTGATATAGTATTTCAATTCAATTTTTGCAATATTCAATTACACTATTTTAATGAGTGTCTAACCAATTTTTATTCTTAATACAATTACATGAGATCCAATGTAGTTGTGTAGTCATGTACCCCCATTTTTTTTTTTTAAATGCACCAGTCTAATAGGCACAGTTGTTGAGATGTATCTTTTGATTATTAATAGGAAAATTTATCATAAAAAACCTTTTAAAATAACTTTTTTATCTTGAAAAACCTTTTAAAAAATTTCTTGGCAAAATAAAACCTATTTGTAACTTCTTCTTTTTTTGTTGAAAACAACCAAACCTTTTTTTGCGGCGTTGACCCACCCATGTCCATGTCATGTGCTCTTTTATTTACTATTCTCATCCCCTTTCTTCTACTTTTCCTCTAATTCCCTACTTAACCCCTCTAATTTAAACCCTCCTCTCTCTCCTCTCTCTTTATACTTGGCCATGGTCAAAGTTCATTTAATGTGAAGAAGGTAGTTGCTTTGTTGCAATAGAAGGTTTTCCCAATTACCTTTGATTAAGGTAATTGCTTTAGTTCTTAAAAAAAAAAAAAGTAATTGCTTTAGTTATGCTTAATTTATCACTTTTTTTTATGTTTACCGAAGTTTTCAACAAATTAGGGTTTTTTGTTCCCTTTTTAATATTTACGCTAATTTCATAGGCAACTATGGTTTGGGACAATAATTACATTACAATGACTTATATGAATGTGCATTCCCTTACCTGGACTTTAATTAGACATATCAATATCTTAATTTAACAAGTACAATAAAATGAAATTGAGTTCAAGCAATTATCAACAACATTCGCTTAACAAATACACCAAAAGGAACTAACCTTAACAGTTGTTTTAAAGCATGCAACACATAATTTCTGGCCAAGTTCAAATAGAGAGAAAGGTTTAAATTAGAGAGGTTAAGGAGGGATTTGAAAAAGGGGGAGAAAATAGTAAAATAAAAAAAAATGGACACATGACATGCACATGATGGGTCAACACCGAAAAATGACGAGTTAAACGTGCAATTTTATTTTTGCTTATTTCTCTTGTTGTAGGGATCTTGATGTTTGCTCGAACAAGGTCTGCATCCAATTTAAGAATTACAAGCAATGTTACAAAGCATTAAAAAAATTGTGCTCCCATTCTATGAAGAACGTGAGTATTTCTTTTACAAAAGGGAATTTTTCTCTAAGTCTGTAACATAATGCATGGAAGTATGTGTAGACTTCTATAAATATTATTGATGCTTATATATGATTGTCATTAAACGTGTTGACTTTGATATGATGAACAGATTGGAAATCGATGGAAGTGTGGTTGATTATGAATTGATTTTGAAAGACAAGGTTTTGGTATCGAATGCCTTTGATGAAGTGCTCTCCTACAAAAACAATTACTACAACCAATTAGATACAATTCAAGCTCTCAACAACCGAGTAGCAAATGCTTGAGAAAGAATTCAGCATGATTATAGGTATAATGGAGGAATCCAAAATCTAAAATTAATACCATTTTAGGCAATATTTTAAATGTTTATCCAACGCCCCGAAGACGTTCGTTAGCAAGATCCTTATTATTATTATTATTATTATTATTATTATTATTATTATTATTATTATTATTATTATTATATCTCAAAAACAAAAAGTTATACAACCTACAATAAATTAGTGGGAAGCCGAGATACAATCTGGGCCCCCACTCCTCTAGCTATAGCAAAGCCTACCCTAGTAAAAATATGAGCTGCAGCACGTGCTCCAATGTCTTGCGTCGTCGAGAACCTCTGAATTCGCTTAAGTAACGCAACAGCCTCCTTCTCTAATTCACCAAACGAAGAAAAGGAGAAGGGAATGAACCCATATCCAATCGCCTGACAACGAGCCTCATACTTATCCCGCTTCCGCCGAGCTGCATCAGCCACAACCCGTCCAGGAATAAAGTCAGATAACCTTGACTGTGTCAAAGGAGAAGATCCTGTCAAATCAACACAGACATCGCGACCACGATCCCAAGAATAAAGTAACACATCAGCAGGTCTGAGGGCATCACCGTTCCCTCCAGACAACCCAATATCAACCTCTTTCCTTGTTGAAATCCCAGAACGATAGCAAACATCAACTAAGGTATCCCGAACAACATTATGTCTATGTTTAATACCCACGATACCAGCACACGACACCGCGTGATCGCCAAAAATATCCCCTGGAAAAACCCTCGAACAAGCAGAGCACGGTGTCGAGGCAGAGAACAACGGAACACCCAATCGGTAGCATAATACACATCGATAAGTCTTTGCATTCATAGTCTGACCCAATCCTGAAATAGGAACGGCCCGAAGCCAAGCAGACGTGTGATCTCCCTGCTGAGATTTCCACAATGCTGATAGACGAGGGGATAATGAAAAGGTGGATTCTGCAGAATCGGTAACCTTCGTGAAATATATATTTGCCAATTTCTTCATAAGTTTTGGGGCAGCGACCTCACTAGGATTACTTAAAAAATCAGACTCCACCACGCCATTAAACAAACCCAAGACATCTTCAAAAGCTCGACCATGACCAACAATGTCAGCATGTCGTAGAAGCTTTGTTTGCAACCCAGTAGACTGCAACCGAGAAGCAAGAAAAGCATAATGCCGAACATCACCTGCAGAATAAACACCAAGCCCTCCAAACGCAAATGGTAAAGTGGCAAGCCGCCACTGCCAATCGCCAAACCCAGGTCCTGAAGCAGTAACAATACGCTCCAAAGAAGATCGAAGAGCCTCGTCAAAAGTGCGTTGAGCCGCCTCAAAAGTACTAGGGGGACAAGTACGCAACGCAAAGTAGAGTTTAGAAACTCCAGTACAAGCCCTAAGTAACAATAGCTCACACTGAGGATCATCCAGCGTAGCAACCTTATCCATAAGCGCAATGGTCTTGGTCACCCTATGCATCACAAGCTCACTACTAACCAGAATCAGAACTAGCAGGACCACCAAGCAACTTAACACCACGCGAAGGTCGAGCAATGTTAGGTGGAAAGACACCCAAAAGCCTGCTTCGGGGGTCTTCTATAGGCCAGAAAACTTCAGTTTTGTCCACGTTAAGATGTAACCCAAAAAGAGGCCCTTTCTCCATAATCAGCTGCAAAATGTTCCCCACCACCAACGTGTCACCAATAATAGTGCCATCATCTAAATACCAAGCCTGAAGACATACATCAAAAGTATCTTTGATTTTACACACCAAGGGTTGTAAAACCAAAGCAAAAAGCAGAGGACCAAGGGGATCACCCTGCTGCACCCCCTGAGACGACCATAAGGTGTGGTCCCCATAATACAATCTAGCTGGATTAGAGTAGCAGAATTCAACCCACCGCGAAATACCCGGACAACGACGACGGACCTCACGTAACATGACCGCACGATCAACTAGATTGAAGGCATTACGAAAATCCACCAACAAAAGCATGTATAATTGTATATAGTGCATTGAATAGGAGCGAAAAATGAAGAAAGTATAACGCTAGATTTAATTCAGTTTATTTAAGTACCTTGTTCATCCCATCAAAAAAAAAAAGACCTTATTCATTATTATTTATGATTAAACTAGAAAGAAAAAAAAGTTTATAACTTTAGATACATTATCGTCGTAAGTATGATTTTATATTGTATAATATCTTTCACTTTGAAATGAAAAAAGTATGAATATTACAATTTTAAGGTTAACACCTGCGTTTAAAAACTTACAAGGGATAGACCTCAATGATGGACCTTGACTCTAATATAGGATAGATCTTATAGTCATTCAAACCAGCACTGATAAAAAGCTTTTTCCATTCCTCTTCATTTCTTTCCTTACCCCCAGTGGTAGCATTCATCATCAGCATGTCAAACACCAACTGGGAATTCAAGTAATTAGGTATGTTATTAGCATTCTCCACCACCATATCAATGATAATTATCTTGCCTCCTCCATCTTTGCTAGGAATTGCCTCTTTGCATCGCTCGAGTATTTTTATGCAATCTTCATCACTCCAAGTATGCAATATCCACTACAAAAGTTACTTCAGACATTCAGTTAGTGCATGGACACGGCAACGACTATATTACTCCCTCTATTTCTAAATGGTCGTACAAGTATAAGTATAACATATGACAAAGGTTAGTAAAATTAGATCATACAATACAAATATACAATACAAAAATAGATCATATAAGATGAAGTTGAGTACAAAACAAACTATTTAGCATATGATTAGTATAATGAGCTAGTTCTGAATTATCTAACAAATTAAGTAAAACTTGAAAAGGAATGACAATTAGAGATTTTTACCTTGAGTAAGACAACTTGAGCAGGAGGAACAGCCTCAAACATATCACCTCCAACATACATTAAGTTGCTGCCATACCCTGTGAATCCCTGAACTACATGTGGGAGATCAAACACAGTGCACCTTAACTCAGGGAAAAGCTTAGCAATGGCCTTAGCCATTGTTCCATTGCTGCCACCAACATCAACTAACTATTCTACCCTCTCGAGTAATCCCTTGAACTCAATATCAGACATCAACAAGCTCACAACAAATTGAGTATCACTTGACATAGCGTTGTTGAAAAGCTTGTTGAACTCCGGTACACTAGAGGCATATTCCCATATACTCTTTTTATGAGCAATATGAAAAGGAGTATCATCATCACTTTGAAACCAAGTAGCAAAGTTATAAGACGATTCAACCAAGATTGGATCAAGTTCCATAAGCACAAAAGGAGCTAGGGTGAGAGGGTGATCCTTAAACAGAAGTTGGGAGTTTATGGTGAGATCAAAGGCTTCTTCACCACTCGATAATTCTTGCTTGGAAAAAAAGTTGGAATGAACAAGAAGGCGCATTAACCTACCTAGAGAATGAGCCTTGCTTGGATGGAGACACAATGAAATAGCTAGCTCCCCAAGAGTCATAGGCTTTCCATGATTTCGAATGCCATCTGGAATGCCTAGTTGAAGTGCACACTTTAAAGCCATAGGGGTTAGATAAGAGAAAGTATGATTCCATACATGAGTTTGTGCACCCAGCAGCTCTTTTGCTGGTTCATTGGCAACACTCATGAGATCCATATTTGCAAAACAATACACATTTTTTTTTTCTATCAAAACATATATGTAACAAAGGTTCTTTGTTAAATGATTTATTGCTGTAGATAAAGTGACAGACTTCCAGGCTTGGTCATAACATCAACTACAAAACTCTTATGTGGTGTTCATTAATGTTCAAATCAATTCAAATAGTTTTGTGTTTTGATTGTCAAATGGTTTGATGAAATTATGGCCATATGTATGTTAATGATAACATATAGTGACAAAAGATTATGACTTATAGTGAGTTTGTATAGTTGCACTCAGACTTCTAGAAATAGAGACAAAAATCTTGTTGGACATCAGTGATACAGTTCAAGTGTGAAAATGACTTCTAACAAAGAAAGCATGCTCAAGTAAAAGTTTTATGAGATATACATATAACAGGTAAATTCTTATTGGATTAACCTACAACTTCATGTTACCTCACTAGTCAATTATGAACTTTCAAAGACAAGAGCATCATAATGATGAAGGAGATAGTATGTGGTCTTGTTCTTAAGTCTTTCAAGTTATAACCAATTCAAAAAAGTTCTTTAACAGATCGAGACAATACCAATATTAGCTTAGACTTCAGTTACAGTTATAGTCAGGTCACATATAAATCAACTAGAGCTAGGAATGGGTGTCATAAAGAGTTATTTAGTGCGTCTGATCCATTACATGATTCGAAGAAAGAAAATAAAATGTGGTAAATTTGTTTAAGCATCATAGTGATCATACCATTCCATCAGCTGAATGTCTATCAGAAGGTTCTTACTTGGGACTGGAATGCTCAATAGGGGACTCTCGATCTACATGTTCATCCTTTATTGTGGAACCAAAAAGAGGCTCTTCTAACTTTACTTGTAAGGTAATAAAGAATAAGAGAATAACTCGATAGAAAGTGTATACAAAATCATGTACAATTGTACATAAAAAAACTCATATGGATACCGCGGTGAATGTGTAAGACGTCTTCATAGGACACATACACATGTATATCTTCATTAATATTCATTATCACTCAGAAAGCATATGGTTTGCTGGTTCAAAAGCAATATATTAGAAATTCACATGGGACAACTTGTCTCAAAATACACATAAACATACTTCTACTCAGTAGATTTACCTTAATTATAACAAAGTACAAGTACCAAAACAATAGGTAGTTATGTCTACTAGTGTATTATTACCATACATTATAATTCATAGTGATCTGATAGTGAAATACAACCACATTGACTATGCTTTTGGTACTAAAAACTCTTGACTATTATTATAGTTTGAAGGTTCAAAGCGATCAGTATTCAGTGTCATATTGGCTTGCATTATTGAAAGGCTTTAGGCATTTAATGAGCAATAATTAGGCATTTAATCACCATACTCCAACTTCAGAAGCAAACTCACCCTATTGATATGTAACAGCACTAGTCTAGTAGTCTAGTTGTCAACACGATTTATTCTTGTAATCTTCCATCCTACAATCACCCATTTCCTGAACTGTCAACTCCCACCCTCCATCTGAAAGAGTAACTGCACAAAAATGTTTAGCATGCCAGTCATTCCACTTGTCTTGAACATAACAAAAATTACCATAAAATTAAGCACAATTCACACTAATTGGTTCAAAATTCAAACCAGAACTATAAATCCAAGAAATATATTATGGGTATCCAGAAAAAACTACTTTTTAACCATAAAATGTTTTATAGGACTATTTTTGCTCTTGGATTTTTGTTAAGTTATGGGAGCTTTTGTGGTTCACCAACCTTTATTTCAATTATGTGAGGGGTATTCGTAATAGTGTAAAACTTGTTTGATTTGCATCTATATGACTATATATATGCTTTCAAAGTTTTAAAAATCATAATTTAACTTATAGCTAAATAGAGATGAACATGAAAAATGATCAAAGGTGTACAGCACGCGCGGGCAAACATAAGTGAGTTAAATTGAGGTCAGACTCTAGTACAAACAAAGTTCTTCGAAAAGTTTCAAACAAAATAACTATGTTTCCAAACAAATACAAATAAAATAAGTTATACAAGAATTGTACAAGTTTGTACTGTAAAAATAAAATAAAACAGAGCCTTATGTCAATGACCAGTAACCTTATTCGCAAAAGGTCACTTCCATTATTACATGCACACACAAAACCTTACACCTTAATAATTTGATTATCTCGATTATACAAGCATAACAACATAATTACACAAAACATTACAGCTTAACAATCAAGTAAGTTTGATTGTCTTAACACTCTTAATTATATAAACCAAACAGCATAAGTACACATAACATTACAACGTAATAATGAAATAATTTGGATTATTTTAGCTAAACAAATTGAACAACATAATTAACCACTGCACCTTAAGAATGAAATAATTTTACGGCCATCATCCGCGTATAAAAACTTGTAAGGGATAGACCTCAATAACAGACCTTGACCCTAAATTACGAAATATCTTATAGTCATTCAAACCAGCACTGATGAACAACTTTCTCCATTCCTCTTCAGTTCTTTCCTTACCTCCAGTATTCATCATCTGCAAGTCCAACAATAACTGGGAATTCAAGTAATTGGGAATGCTATTGTCATTATTGTTCTCCACCACTATATCAATGATAATTATCTTGCCTCCTTCACCTTTGCTAGGAATTGCCTCTTTGCACCGCTCAAGTATTTTTATGCAATGTTCATCACTCCAATTATGCAAAATGAACTGCAAAAGTTGTTTCGATAATTAGTGCATCGACATGATGACAACTATAATCATTTCTCTATTCCAAATAAAAGTTTCATTTGCTCAATATACGTTTATTCAAAAGTAATTAGCAAAAGATGAAAATTGAGTTCTATTAACTAAAGGAAAATATAATAAATATAGTAGAGCTTGGTAAATTAAACTGACTTTAGAAAACAAACATAACAGAAATAAATATTTTTAAAAAATAATAATAATTAAAAAAAAAAACACTAAAACATAACAGAATAAAACTTTTGAGTTAAGACAAGATTTAATAATGAAATGAAACTTTTATCTTAGAAAAAAAAAAAGAATAGTCAGTTTATACAATGAGCTCTTCTCTAATCATAGGCATTTATAACTCCTACATAAAATAAAATAATAATTAATAATAAAAATAAATAAATAAATAAAAGGACAAACATAAAGAACAATGCACGACTCTTTATATACAAATTATATTATTCCACCATACTCCCTCTGTCACAATAGTTGTAAGTTTGCAACACTTGGACTTTCTACTCATACAATAACTTTGAATACAGTGCCTCATATCAGATGATATTGAATAATACTCCCTCTGTTTCACGTAATTTTTCTCATTTCTAAAGTAATTTAAGTTTTTTTATTATTATTTTTTTATTTAAAAAAGTAGTGTTAGTTAATAGATGTGATCAATTCATGATGTTAAATAACACAAATAACATTATTTCCCTGAAAAATGAATAAAGTAATATTGGGGAAATAAAAACATGGAATAACCCAACATAAACAAAAAGTAGAAAGAACCTCGTGAAACAGAAAAAGTATGTTGTTATTTAGTCTCATTGTATATTTTTTAAATATCAATTTATATTGTTTTACAAATTAAATCATAATTTCAATAATTATGGAGGTGCATTGGCAGGTCGCAGGTGTTTCAATCAATAATCTAAAACAAGAGTATAACATATCACTTGAAGTTAGAAAAATTAGACCACATGTATCATATACAAAAGTAAGATAATATAACATGTAGTTGAGTATATGTTAACATATATAACCTATTATTTGTATAATAAAGTATAATTGAGTTATCTAACAAGGAAAGGAAAACTTGGAAATGACAATTAGTAATTTTACCTTGAGTAAGGCAACTTGAGCAGGAGGAACAGCTTCAAACATATCACCTCCAACATATACTGGGTTTTTGCCGTACCATGTTGATCCCTGAACCACATGTGGTAGATCAAACACGACACACATCAACTCAGGGAAGAGGTTAGCAATGGCCTTAGCCATGGCTCCATTGCCGTCACCAACATCAACTAACGACTTAACCCCCTCCAATAAGCCCTTGAACTCATCTTTGGACATCAACAAACTCACTACAAATTGAGTATCACTGGCCATAGCATCACTGAAAAGCTTGTTAAACTCGGGTGCACAAGAGATATATTCCCATATGCTCTTTCTATGAGCAGTATGAAAAGGATTGTCATCTTCATTTTGAAACCAACGAGAGAAATTATGTGACAATTCAAAAAAGATTGGATCAAGTACCATAAGCGCAAAAGGAGCGAGGGTGAGAGGGTGATCCTTCAATAAAAGTTTGGAGTTTACGGTGAGATCAAAGGCTTCTTCACTACTTGATAATATTTGCTTAGAAAAGAAGTTGGAATGAACAAGAAGGCGCATCAACCGGCCTAGAGAAAGAGCCTTGTTTGGATGGAGTGACAATGAAGTAGCTAGCTCCGTAAGAGTCATAGGCTTGCCATGTTTTTGAATGGCATCCGGGATGCCTAGCTGAATTGCACACTTCAACGCCATTGGGCTTAGGTAAGAGAAAATATGATTCCATACATGAGTTTGTGCACTCAGTAGCTCTTTTGCTGGTTCAATGGGAATGCCCATGGGATCCATTTGCGCTTCACACACACAATAAAAAAATTCTATCTAGCTAATGTAACATAAAGTTTTTTAGTAAAATGCCAAAGATAAAGTGACAGGCTGCCAGGATTGGTTGATTCATCAACCAATAACAAAACTATTACAAGGTGTGCATTAATGGTCAATACAATTCCCATTATTTGGAGGGTAGATTGTCAATTTATGCTACAATGAAAAGATGACAACTGAAGGAAATATGTCCTATGTGTAACATACTAACATGTATGCTAATGAGTAACATATAGTGATACAAAATGGTGGGACAAAAGACTAAGACAATAGTGAGGTTGTACGATAGTCACATATTTATTTCTTTCTCCCTGAAATTTACAGATATGCAAGTGTCCAAAGAAGCGTAATTATGAATCCACCTTAGCATACAAAGACACAAGATTCTTGAGCGATCAGTATCAGGCATCATATGAGGTTGCATTATTGAAGGGCTCTAGGCCTCTAATTAGCATTTCACCAACAATAACATTTGTAAAATGAGCAACAAAAAATCTTCAGTTTTCAGAAGCAAACTCACCCTATGACGTCGATAACACTACGTCAACACGATTATTGTAAATTTCCAACTCACAAGTCACAACCACCCATGTCCTGCCTCGTCTTTAAATCATCTTCCACCCTCCATGGGCTCCATCTGAAATAGCAATTGCACAAAAAACGTGCAGCATATAGCAATTCATTGCACAAAACATTACAGCTTAATAATGTAACCATTAATTTGGATTATCTGAACAGTAAAATATTTACGGATATCATGCGCATCTAGAAAATTATAAGGGATAGACCTCAATAACAGACCTTGACCCTAGATTACGAAATATCTTATAGTCATTCAAACCAGCACTGATAAACAACTTTCTCCATTCCTCTTCAGTTCTTTCCTTACCCGGTTACCCCATTGGTAATATTAATCATCTGCAAGTCCAACAATAACTGGGAATACAAGTAATCGGGAATGTTATTCTCGTTGTTGTTCTCCACCACCATGTCAATAATAATTATCTTGCCTCCGTTTTCTTTGCTAGGAATTGCCTCGTTGCATCGCTCAAGTATTTTTATGCAATCTTCCTCACTCCAATTATGCAATATCCACTGCGAAAGTTATTTCTAATAGTGCATAAACATGACGACAGCTATATTACTCCCTCTATTCCTAGATAAAAATTTCATTTGCTCAATGTAAATTTATTCAAAAATAATTAACAAAAGATGAAAATTGGGCATTAATTGATTGAAGGAAAATAAGAAATATAGTAGAGCTTGGTATAAACTTGGAAATGACAATTAGGGATTTTACCTTGAGTAAGACAGCTTGAGCAGGAGGAATAGCCTCAAACATATCACTTCCAACATATATTAAGTTCTTGCCATACCCTGTTAATCCCTGAACCACATGCGGGAGATCAAACACGGCACACCTTAACTCAGGGAAGAGCTTAGCAATGGCCTTAGCTAAGGTTCCATTGCCACCACCAACATTAACAAACGATTCAACCCCCTCCCATAAGCCCTTGAACTTATCGCTAGACATCAACAAGTTCACAACAAATTGAGTATCACTGGCCATAGCACATTCAAAAGCTTGTTAAACTCGGGTACAGAAGAGATATATTCCTATAAACTCTTTCTGTGAACAGTATGAAAAGGAATGACATCATCATTTTGAAACCAACTAGAGAGATTATGTGAGGATTCAACAAAGATTGGATAAAGTACCATCAACACCAAAGGAACTAGAGAGAAAGGGTGATCCTTCAATAAAAGTTGGGATTTTAAGTGAGCTCAAAGGCTTCTTCACTGCTTGATAATAATTGCATGGAAAAGAAGTTGGTATGAACATGAAGGCGCATTAACCAGCCTAGAGAAAGAGCCTTATTTGGATGGAGAGACAGTGATGTACCTAGCTCCGCAAGAGTCATAGGCCTATCATGCTTTTGAATGGCATCTGGTATGCCCAGCTGAATTGCACACTTTAACGCCATGAGGCTTATATAAGAGTTAATATGATTCCGTACATGAGTTTGTGCATCCAGTAGCTCTTTCACTGGTTCAATGGCAATGTTCATGGGATCCATTTTTGCTACTCAACACAAATAAAATATTCTATCAAGCTAATGTAACATAAATGCAAAAGATAAAGTGACAAACTGCCAGGATTGGTTGATTCATCAACCAATACAGTCAATACAACTCACATTGTTTTGTGGGTAGATTGTCTGTTTATGGTAACACTGAAGAAATGGTAACATATAGTGATACAAAATGGTGGGACAAAAGATTAAGACTCAATAGTGATGTTACAATTGCACTCTAAGACTCAGAGTCACATATTTAATTTGTTCTTTCAGAAACATGCAGGTATGGAAGTGTCTTCATTATCTCAGTTATGAATACCCCTTTGCGAATTTCAACTTTCAAAAATTATGTACGGAAACTATTTCAATAAGTACATTTTAATTGTAAGTGGACAACAAAATCTTTAAGAGTCCCTTATATAAAAGAGATGAGAGGAGTTATTAATTGAGAAGTTTGAAAGAGCTATTGACAATATAGATTGAGAAAGCAAAATATACAATTATAAAAAAAAGATCAGTGGAGAAGATAAGACTAGTTAGAAAGCTTATAAAGGCTCTATTTGAGAACTTAGGTCCAATCTAAGTGTAGGATCCATGAGAGAAATTTGTCATGACAAAATATTTATGTTAGGTATAACTAAGCAAACTTCTAGAAATTTCAATGTTAAACAAACCAAAAAAGGAAGAGGTCCTAAAGTTAAAGAAGCAGCTTAAAATCATCAACATTGCAGTAGAAAAAGTAACAAGAATCACCAAGACTTATCAAAACTCAAAAATAACAAATTTATTCAACCATTCTTTCAGCAGCTAGGAGAATGCATTAGAGTGTTTTTGGAGAAATTACTAATCTCAATAAACTGAATGTTACATGCTGAATTGCAGGCTTACCAAGCATCAAGATGCATTGGAATCTGTTTTCGATGATCCTAGAGTCAGCAACTCCAAACTAATACCTGTGTGTTGGGAATAAACTCCATGGACTTCCTTATATGGTAGCACGAACTTCTTCAAGAACTGAGACTCGGTCAGTGAAATGTAAGTTTGAAGGTTGTAGTCTGCCTTAATAAATCCTTTCTCCTTCAAGACAGTGAGTGTCTTATGTCTAGGCAAAATTCTCTTCTCCAGGCTACAAGTTAACAGGTTACACCTCTTTGACAAGTAACTAGGCTCGTAACCCAGCTCGTTCATAAGAAAATCCAACTTTTTCTTGATGGTAGCTTCAGAGAGTGCCAAAAGAAAAGGGCTTGATGATGAAAGAGTTGTAATATCAGACTCAGTCCACCCAAAACTTTTAAACATTTCTCGTTTCGATTCAATAGTCTTCTCGCTAACAGAGGTCAGTAACACAATACCGGACAAGAACTGCGGAGACCCTCGAGAAATCCCCAATTTCTCTTCAACCTTAATCACTGCATTCTCAAAAAAATCGAGTTTTCGAAGGAACGGGGATGCATCCCTAAGTAGGCATTTCTGGATTGATTCAATGGAAATTCCATAACTCCTTAACAAAGCTACATTAGGCACCAACACTTTGGGTATACAAGAAAGCCTCAAACCATTGGATTTTTTCAGAATTCTAATCACTAGGTGTTCACATCCCATAATTTCTCTCAAAGCTTGGATTGCAGGAACAATATTGGAATCTAAACCCATAAAATATATAGAAGGATTCACCCTTATAAGCCCAGCAAAATCAGACACAGAAAACCCCAAATCACGAAGAACTTGGGTCTTCGGAGCTAGGGTTTTATCAACATTACACAACAAAATTTGGGGATCAGAAATTACAGCATTTCGAATATGAGATTGTTCCAATCCAATTTGTTTGAAGAATGTAATCACAGAATTAGCATTTTCAATGAAATAGAATTCACTGACCTTTTTTGCACCTCGACCTAAGCGATGGTGAATGAGCTTAGTAGAAGTCGAAAGAGCTTGTTGCTTGGAAAACCCTAGAAAATCAACCAAGTAATCTGTGAAACCAGAGTTGACTTGGGTAGGTATTGAAGATGAAGTAGAATAGAGTAGAAGATGGTGGAATCCATGGATGAAGTTGAGAGCTTGGATGCCATTGAAGTTGCTGCGAATTTTAAGCATCTCTTCCAAACTTTCTGTTTATGTTCTTAGTTTGCTCGTTCTATTATTACACTCTTACTGATACAGAGTTTGGGACTAAGGGTTGGGTTCTGGCCGTCAGGGGTGCCTAAGAAGTGTGAACCGCGTCACTCGCGATTAGGGGCGTTCAAAATTTGGTTTTGACTACCGGATCGAACCAAATTATTTGGCCCGATCTCCGAGTCAAGAATTTTATTTTCCGTTTCCTAGTGGATTCCGTTAAGTGATAGTGAAATTTAAATTATGTGATTTGAGATGGTAGCAAAATAAAATAAAAGTTAAGATGAGTAATAAAAGTGAACTAACGTGTTTAAATGACAGCAAAAGTGAAATTTTACTTAAAATTACCCTTAACAGATTTGGTAAACTTTAGTCGTATGAGCTTTTATTTATACTAAACATACAATAAAAAAACGCTAAAATAATATTATTTCTTTATTTTTTTTGGACCATTTTTCCGATTCAGTCTTAGCTTAATCGGTTCATTCTCCAATTCTTGAAATTTAATTTTCCGATCCAGTCTGGTCTTGGACTGATGAACAGCCCTGTTGTCGTGATTAGATGCGTCAATTTGGATACTCAAATCGGCTTTATCCTAAATTATTGGGTCTATAAGAGTTGAAATCTTAAATAGGTATTTTTCGAATTGGATCAATCATGTACTTTTTAATACCTCCACTCATGAGTAGTTTGGATTTCAATCCAGTAAATGTTTTGTTGGGTTTGAATTATTTCAAATTAACAAGCTTGTACTCTTTAAATTATACTTTCAAGTTTCAAGCTTTAAATGAGTTTGAATCTACCTCAATCAGTCATTAATTCAAGAAAAACAATACAAATCTTTTAAAATTTTATTGAGATATGTATTTATTTTTAATCACATGGACTAAATGTCGTACGAGTAGTTGCTAAGAGAAGCAATTCTTATTTTTCATAACACGGCTTTACAATGTTTTTTACAGTATAAACTACAGTATAAACTGAATTAAACTTATTAGAGTGGAACTAAACTGAAATGAATATTTTATAAGAGAAGAAAATAATGTTTTGAACTGAAGTGAAATGAAGTGAAAATAATCGTATCAGAACAAGCCCTAGTGTATGACTATTGACTATTGACTACCTATAGTTCAAGTGGAGTAAAATTAGTTAAACAAGATGAGACATGTTAGCAATCAACCTTAATTATAGTACTTCCTATCCCAATTGGATACCCCCACCCTAAACATTAGGGTTGAAATTATAAACAACAATGTTCAAGAAAGCTTTGCAAGTATGACACCAAGGTTGAGAAACAAAAATTACTACATCTTCCTCACAAAAACACCACGTAGCTAAATATGGCAACACACCTTGCCCATAAGAAATTTCAAGCATGAAGAAAGGAACACTAAGAGGAAGTAGAAACTCTCTCTTGGTAATGAGACTTTGGTTCCTACTTACGGTTAAAACCAAAATACCTACAATGATTGTATGTTTAAGACGTGGCTGAACCATTCAAAGACCTTGAGTGAGCAAGAATGCTCAGGCCACCAACAAGCAAGCTAGGTGGTGAGCAAGTGATGAAGTTAGAGCTCGAGCTTGGGAGAGTTAACAGGAGAATAATCCTTTAAAAATTACATGCATTTTATATGACTTGGAATCAATTTGATAATTATAACTCTACCAAGTACCAACAAAACTTGGAATGAAATTACTTAAATACACCAGTTATTGACCCTAGAATAAGAAAAAAAATCTTAGTCACAGAAACCAACACTTATAAACAAGTTTTTCCATTCCGCTTCAGCTCTTTCCATACCCCCCAGGGTAAGATTCGTCATCTCACATGGGGATAATCTTGCCATCTTCATCTTTGCTAGGAATTGCCTCTTTGATAATCTTTTTTTAAAACCCGACGAAAGAAGCTTATATTATATGGGGATGATTAACAAAACATCCTGTAAACCAATGTTTGGAGCAAAAACAAACAGACCAGACGCCATGGAGCATAGAAATGAAAATTTTGCTCTCATGACATCCAAAAGTGGATTAACCCGCATCAAAGACTGAAAATAAAGCTGAAAATAAAACCTGAAAGTAACAAGGAAGGCAGCAGCCACTGTAGTAGACATAAGGGAGTCAGCATGCGACTCAAGAGGTGCAGCAGAAATTATTTCAATTGTAAGACTCAAGAGGGCCTCTTTGATCATCCCTGCAATCATACTATATTCACTGCAAAAGTTATTTCAATTAGTGCATGGATACGACTACATACTCCATCTCTTTTTAAAATAAATGTCTTTCATATGCTCGGGTTAGCGGGCTAGACACTTTGGAAGTGAGGGGGGAAGGGTAAGGGAATCCCAACCCCAAAGGTGCCTCTAGTAGGGTTTGATCCCACAACCTCTTAGTTGTGAGAAACAAACTTGACCACTAGACCAAGCTATGCTTGGTGCCTCAATTTCATATTGACCATCCTACTTTGACCAATTTTGTTTCACAAAAAGTTTCCAAGTAGGAAAAACAATAAGAAATACAGGAAGTAGCAGAGAAATTAAACTAGTCTAACCTATAATAGATAAGTTTAGACAATGAGCTCTTCTTTCATTATTACTACTCCGGAGTACTACATAGAAATAGGTTAAGCAGAAACTATAACGCATAGTTACAGAAAACTTGAGCAATTGGACTTTTCTATTCATACTATAACTTCAATAACATTTTTTTTCTCAGGGAAGTTTAACTTCAATAACGTTGTCTTACAATTACTATATAAAAATCAAATGTTATTGTGCAATACACAGTATGTTGTTAATTGGTCTCACCGTAATCTTACAAAAGTTACAATATATAACATATGATTATGGTTAAACTTATGCAGTAATAGGTGTGTCGATGAAACTAATATAAGTATTCTAAAACAAGAGTATAACACATCAGTTTAGGTTAGAAAATTATACTATAACATACAAAACATAATACGGAGTATCATATAGGATAAAGTTGAGTATAAAACCAACTTATAAAACCTATCATTTATATAAAGAAGTACTTCGGAATTATCAAACAAGGAAAGGAAAACTAAATGACAATTAGTGATTTTAACTTGAGTAAGACGTTTTGTGCAGGAGGAACAGCCTCAAACAGATCTCTCCAACATATATTAAGTTCTTGCCAAGCCCTATTAATTCCTGAACCACATGTGGGAGACTAAGCACAACATACCTTAACTCACGAAAGAGCTGGGCAATGGCCATATCCTTGGACCATGGTTCCACTGCCGCCACCAACATTAACTAATGCCGCAACCCCTCCAGTAAGCCCTTGAACTCATCGTTAGAAATAAAAATAAAACTAGAGATTTTACCTTGAGTAAGACGGCTTGAGCAGGAGGAACAGCCTCATGCATATCACCTCCAACATATATTAAGTTCTTGCAAACGCTAGTAATCCCTGAACCACATGTGGGAGACCAAGCACAACACACCTTAACTCAGAGAAGAGCTGAGCAATGGCCATAGCCATGGTTCCACTACCGCCACCAACATCAACTAATTACTCAACCCCTCCAATAAGCCCTTGAACTCATCGTTACACATCAACAAACCCATAACAAATTGAGTATCACTGGCCATAAAAGCGTAGAAAATCTTGTTAAACTCAAGAACACAAGAGGTTTATTCCCATAGTCTTTCTATTAGCAACAAGAAAAGGAGTATCATCTTCATTTTGAAACCAATTAGAGAAGTTATGTGACAAATCAGCCTATATTGGGACAAGAACCATAAACGCGAAAGGAGCTAGAGGGTGAGGGTGATCCTTTAATAAAAGTTAAGAGTGGGGAGTTTATGGTAAGATCAAAGGCTTCTTCACTACTCGATAATATTTGCTTGGAAAGAAGTTGGAATGAACAAGAAGGCACGTTAATCGACCTAGAGAAAGAACCTTGTTTGGATGGAGAGACAATGAAACAACTAGCTCCCTAAGAGTCATAGGCTTGCCCTGCTTTCGAATGGCACCTAGGAAGCCAAGCTGAATTGCACATTTTAATGACATGGGGCTTAGATAAGACAAAAAATGATTCCATATATGAATTTGAGCACCAAATAGCTCTTTTGCTGGTTCATTGGCAATTTTCATGGATCCATTTGTTCTACGCTACACAACTTTCTAACTAACTTAAAATACACTTTTTTTATATATATATTAAATGCTAAAGATAGAGTAATAGGCTGCCAGGCTCACAAAACTTTTATGTGGTGTGCATTAATGGTCAGATTAATTCACATTGTTTCATGGGTTGATTATCTTGTATCCACGTATGAAAAAATGAAAATATGGCCATATTTTTGTTTAGGAAAAAATATAGTGATACAAAATGGTGGGAAAAAAGATTAAGGCTCAAAGGCGAGGTTATACACTTATACTTAGAACCCAATATTTATTTCTTTCTGAAATTTGCGGGTATGCAAGTGTATACACAATCTCAATAATGAATCCACCTTTACATACAAAGAAATAGATCTAAATGCACAGGATGCGTATTTCAAATTTCAAAAAATATATATGACAACCATTTTAGAAGAGTACATAATATATACTTCGTATTAATCATAGGTGGAGACGCTAAAGAAGTTTTGGGTTTTAGCACATGCAAGTATGCAACACAACCTTATCTTTTGTGTCTGTTAGATTCATACACAATACAATGACACAACAACAAGAAACAGGATTACTGATAACTAAAGTAACAGAAGTCGCCCATAGGAAAAGCTATTGACAAAATACTTTGAGAGAGAAAAATATAAAAAAACAAAATGAGTGGAGAATATAAGACTAATTAGAGTATGGGAGTTTAGGTCCAATCTAATTCTGATAACCTGTGCAATTTGGAGGGAAATGTGTGTCATGAGTTGATATATATTTTATGTATCACAAAGCAAGCTTTCAGAAATTCAGACATTAGAGAGCAAAGTTAATATAACCAAAAAAAAAGCTGAGGTCCAAAAGTTAAGTACGGGTACATTGAGGAAACCATAGCATAAGGATGAAGCTCTAAATCCTATCATAGCAATTGTAAACACGATACATTACCAAGAATCACCTAGATGAGTAAGAAAAAAAACAAAGTTATTCCATCGATCTTTCAGCAGCTAGGAGGATGTATTAGAGTGTTTTTGGTGAATTACTGAAATCAATAATTTAAATGTTACATGCTAAATTGCAGGCTTACCAAGCATCAAGCAGCTTTGGAATTTGTTTTTGATGATCCTAGAGTCAGCAACTCCAAACTAATACCTGCGTGTTGGGAATAAACTCCATGGACTTCCTTATATGGTAGCACGAACTTCTTCAAGAACTGAGACTCGGTCAGTGAAACGGAAGATTCAAGAAGGTAATCCATCTTAATAAAACCTTTCTCCTTCAATACAATGAGAGTCTTATGTCTAGGCAATATCCTCTTCTCCAGGCTACAAGTTAACAGGTTATACCTCTTTGACAAGTAACTCGGCTCATAACCCAGCTGATTCATAAGAAAATCCAGCTTTTTCTTGATGGTAGCTTCAGAGAGTCCAAAAGCAAAAGGACTTGATGCTAAAAGAGTTGAAATATCAGACTCAGTCCACCCAAAACTTCTAAACATTTCTCGTTTCAACTCCATAGTGTTCTCGTTAACAGAGGACAGTAACATGACAACGGACAAGAACTGTGGAGACTGTGGAGAAATCCCCAATTCCTCTTTAACCTTAATCACCGCATTCTCCAAAAACTCGATATTCCGAAAAAACGGGGCTGGTGCCCTAACAAGGAATTTCCGGATTGATTCCATGGAAATTCCATAACTTCTCAACAAATTTATATTAGGCACCAACACATTGGGAACACTAGAAGGCCTCCAATGACACTTTTTCTTCAGAAACCTAATCACTAGCTGTTCACAACCCATAATTTCCCTCAAAGTTTGAATTGCCGGAACAATATGGGAATGTAAACCCACAAAATATGCAGTAGGATTCATCCTTAAAAACTCAGCAAAATCAGACCCAGAAAACCCTATATTATGAAAAGCTTGAATCTTAGGAATTAGGGTTTTATCAACATTACACAACAAAATTTGGGGTTCAGAAACTACGATATTTCGAATATGTGATTGTTCCAATCCAATTTGTTTGAAGAATTTAATAACAGAATTAGCATTTTCATTGAAATAGAATTCACTGACATTTTTCCTACCTCGACGTAAGCGATTTTGAGCGAGCTTAGTGGAAGTGGAAATAGCTTGTTGGTTGGAAAACCCTAGAAAATCAACCAAGTAATCGGTGAAACCAGAGAAGACATCTGTTGTGATTGAAGATGAAGATGATGTTGAAGTTGAGAAGAGTAGAAGATGACGGAATCCATGGATGAAGTTGAGAGCTTGAACGCCATTGAAGTTGCTTCGAATTTTGAGCATCCCTTCCAAACTCCCTGTTTTTTTTGTTTTGTTTTTTTTTTTTTTTTTTTTTTTCTTGAAAGGAAACTCCTTGTTTTGTTCTACTAACTGTCGTATGGAGTGTTTTGTGTTTACTAGGGTCTAGGGGCTCTAAATTGCCCGGAAAGTCGAATTCGAGCTGCTCGTGAATGGTTTTAGTGATTAAGTAGCATTTTATGAGTTCAAGTGTGAGTGAGATTGAGATTAAATGTGAAATATTGCCATCTAGAGAGTTAGGTTTGGGGAATTATTCGATTTGAAAAGACAAATGCCTTAACACGTATGATACGTCTGTATAAAGGACCTTGTAATAGAACTATAGAAGTATGTAGTATTTAATTTGATCTCATTTGAGTTGCTTCAAGCCATCAAATAGACAAGATCAAACTCTATACTAACTATTCTTTCGAACACTGAATGAGTTTGAACCTAGCTCATAAAGATGTAATCATGTAATTATTGAAAAACAATACAATCTGTAAAAATAAAAAATAAATCACAATCATTGAACCCTTCAAAACACAGCCTGCAATAAGTGTTTCAATCTAGTGCATTAGTAGCTAGTAATCCCAACCTCATAACTCTGCCCAATAAAGCTCTCCTTATTACTTATTACTTATTAGGCAACCCATCTGCTGTCAAGCTTCTCAACCGGAACCAGTTCGCCAACCCGACTTCCTGTAGTACGTAGTAAAAGTAATACTACGGCATTAGAATGGGGCACAAACATCTCCTTGTCTTCTAGCTGCAAACCCAAAACAAAACCCATCAGAAACCCTAGATCTTAATATACCCTAAACCCAAAAAATCTAAATCACACAAAACCTACAGATGTACTGCTATTTGACAATTTAAATGGATTAATGGGATTCTGTTCTTCTTTCACCCCCAAAAAAAATAAAATAAAAAAAATAAAAAAATAAAATAAAAAAATAAAATAAAATAAAAATAATAAAAAAAAAAAAACAATGATGATATGTATGAAAAAAAATAAAAGAATGATTATGCTTAAAACTGTGTTCATTAGCTAGACAGTGTGCAAGGCTTTCAGAACCAGAACACATCCAATGTTCTTTCTACTTTTGAAGCTTCTCAATGTTGTTCTCATCAAGCTCATCATCCTTCAGTGTCTTCTTCTGTCTCAATATTAATAAGTGGATTCCGGTAAACACTTTGCAGAATTTATGTTGCTTGGCAAGGGAGAACAACAGGGAAATTCCAGCAAGAGGAGGCTCAAAATAGTGTGATGATCGAGCCTAACAAAACTTGGTTTGCCAACAAAAGAACAGGCAACTACTGCAATTAAGATTAGCGTAATAGTGTGTTGAGATTGATGGTACTATACACTCATTCTCATCAATTTACTGCCAAAATTAGGCCTAGTATAGTTTGATTTATTCAGTTTGTTTAATATCAAGTAACAACATTGGAATCAATCTCACAACTACACAAAGAAAGAATATACCAGCATTGAGAATACAATCTGTAAGGTGCTGCAAATGGTCATATTCTAAGAATTGGCATCAGTAACAGAACAATATTGATTCATACCATGAGCTTAGACTTTGGTCCCTTAGAAGGTGTGGTCTTGATAGTATCACGAATGGCTGAAACACCTTAGGCGTAGAAGGATTTGTACGAATGGGCGACAGCTTTGCCCCGTGCTTAACATTCTTCAAATTCAGAGAAATAGGGATACTATCTGCTCCATCATCTCTCCTGAAACATGCACAATTGAAGCATCAGTCTCTTGGGTGTATAACATAAAAGAATCTAGTCCACTCAAAATTCAACCCAAAAATAAAATAGAAAACATATTCAAAGTGAAAAAAAGTCTTTTCATTAAAAAAAATAATAATAAATAAAGAATTTTATCTCTGTCTATAAATAACTACCCGAGTACTACGTAAATAATTACCCGGCACTCTTAAACATATCAAATTAGCAGACCCATTTGTCAAAGAAAAAAAAAACGAAAAAAAAAAATTTAGCAGACCCACAAAAATAAAACCCCTTATTCATGCACCAAACAATCAAACATGAACATTAACCATTTAATAATACTTAACAAATAAAATTATAATCAAAGAAATGGATAGTCTACAAATTAAAAATAACTCCGTAATTATCAACTTTAGAAGTCTACCGGCCGGAAGCTGAGTGACCGACCGAGTTGGAGGGGAATTGTTCTGAGATAAAGTAGCCGCAATCTAACTCATCTTCAAGAATCCATTAGACCTAACTGAGATACTCCTAGGCAGAATAACACGAGCTTTCTCCTCCTCTTGATTCTTCTCGGTCACACTTGCTCGATTCTGATAAGTACTACACAATCCTTCACCCCAGTTCCCACTCTCTCTCTCTCCCTTTTTCAAAGCCACCACCATTGTCGCCTATCTACTCAGTAGCTGCGTAGAGAGATGAAGAGACTAATTGCTCCTGCAGACCACAAACAAAACTCATCAGAACCCCTAAATCAATTAAATTTGAGAAAATAAAAATAAAATTAAACAAATTAAGAATAGGCAAGTAAAATTAACTATAACTGCCAAGAAAATTCAAATATATGTTAGGTTGTGTCCCTTTCATATCTAACTTCTTAATACTTCACTTGTAAAATTGTGAGAGAAATCACTCCCATTTGTGCTCTTTTATATATATATATATATATATATATATATATATATATATATATATATATATATATATATATATATATATCAAAGGTGATTCTTGGGTTCAGTTTGATTTTGATATGAAAGTTGGAAGTTTAAACAATAAATAACAAAATTGTTGATTTCTGCTACTCAGATTTGGTAATTTAAGTGTTTCATCACAACGCTCTAATCTTATTGGTTATTTTGCTTAGTTATCTACTTCTGTTTCTAGGTGCAAAAACATTCAATCAATCTGATATATTAAGTTATGCATCTTTCCTTTAAAAAAAATTATTAAAAAAAAAGAAAAAAAAAAAAAAAAAAAGTTATGCATCTCTTTCAACTTAGTCTAAGATGGACATGTATTTTGAATTCCCATTTTCGCACAAGTCGGTAGAAGACAAAAAAAAATAAAAAAATAAAAAAGGAAGCTCATACACCGCTATGAAATCGGACTTAAAGAGACAAAATATAAAACAGACAAAAAGAATTTTGTTGCACAATGATATAAGGAGAATTTTACCTGGTCCTGTAGTTTTTCCAGGTAGAATCCTGCAATTAGTGTACCACCAGTTACAATAACTTCTAAATTTGACACTGCTCCCAGCTTTTAGTTGCAATAATTCCCTATTTTCAGTGACACAAAATATACTCAAATGAATCCACCAATCTACCAAAATTTCTTGGTAACTGAATTAATGAAATTGCAAATTCATAACAATAATTCTCAACTTCTAAAGGGTAGAAAGCCCTATCCCTCCCATCCCTATCACCCCCTCTAACCCCTCTCCTTTCTCACTCTTTCTTCCCTCCCCTCTGTCCCTCATTCTTATACACTATGCTACAAAGTCTAATCCACAACAACAGATTCAAGTTTCCCAAGTTCGCTACTAGAGACCATAAACAAAGTATGATCCGATAAAAATTGAGTATAGGCAAGCAATTTAGAAGGAATAAGCAATTATTATCTCATCACTCATAGGGTTACTTTTTCAGATGGAATAAAAGAGGCATTCAAGACAGCAAGAGTAAAAATGCAAACAGTTCTTGGAATCACAATTTTTTGTCATATCAAATATAAGAGAGCAGCATGGAAAGTAAAATGCCATTTCAATTCAGAATGAAACAAACCTTAACCAAGAGCTTAAGCTTTCGATGAAAAGATTTAAATAATTAACCTGAATCATCATGCCAAACAAGAACTGTTGCTATTTTTAGTTCTTTCTCTTTAATTATGTCTCTACATTATCCCCTCTAAAGTCTAAACAAACACATGTACAATCTGTTTCCCTAATGTGACTGAAAATCGCACAAAATTGAAGAGCAAACGGGAAAGCAAGAACGGGAGATTAATATTATAAACATATAGAATCTTTTTAGAATGATAAGGGATTTTAAATAACCTAAATGTATATATTACATTATTTTTCAAACCAAAAGTAAATTTAAAGAGAAAACTATTGTTGTAGAAAAAGTACAATTTAAGAAAAGGACATGTTGTAAGTACATTGTATAGCTAAAACACACACACACACACATATAGCAATTAAATTTAGAAACTCCATATCTAATATAGTCTAAATAGTCAACTTTTGTACTTGTAGGCTTGTAGCTCTTTAGTTGACTTCCAATATATCTTAGGAACTACTCGTGGTTGTTTGACCGGCATAACAACAAAGTACAGGACATGTGCAATACACCCTCACCCACCACCCGTGACCTTGGTGTACAGCAGGAGACCAAAGAAGAGACAAGGGCAGCAAGAGCAGCAGACACAGCAGGACACCCCTCCACTACCAATACAAGCAACGGTTCACTGATATTGCAGGGGGTTTGGTTTTGGTTTATTAGCCCTTCACTGTGGTAACTTAAGCTTAATGACAAACAATAGTAAAAGTAGCAATTAAGGCTTTTGGCCATTCTTGTAGTGCTTGTAGTAGTATAAATAGAGTAGCCTAAGACAAAGGAAGGTATCCAGAAAATTATTGTAGAGTGTTCTTGGAGAGTAATGGTCTAAAGCCATTTACGATGTACGCAAGCTTTAAGCTTTATCAATCGAATTAACCTTCCGACAATTTATTTAACCACTACATTCGTTGCAAAATGTAGATTCAAGGACTCAAACCAAACAACCACTTGACTTTGGTGGTCAAGACTCACTAATTTTGACAAAAAAAGATTGTAGAGAAATGTGACAGTCTTTGGGAAGATACTCTAATTTTAACAAACTAATTCATAACCTAAGACCCAATTTAACCAACTCTCATAGGAAGACAACCTTACGATACCTAGTTTGTTTGTTTGTCCAACTTCTAATATTGCTGAGCCTATGCAATCCACAGTACGTACATCTTAACTATTAGCGAACAATAAATATACAAATTTCAATATTTAAGTAATTGCTCTTAAGGGGAATTTGAATGAACATAACTCAAAGAGAACTGTTAATAAAGATACAAATTCTACCTCAATTATCAAAAGAGAACAATGGAAATAAAAAATAATATGTTCAAAATCATCAACATCTCCAATCCCAAATGTTAGAGCACACACTCAAATGAAACCATTAGGGCTATAGGGGTAAATAAAGTTAAGGACTTGAGCTAGAACATAACCTGTATGTCACACACACTCATGCACAAGCAAAGAGAGTTTTTCATCATATGATCACTGTGGAGAACATTGGCTGCTAAACAAAAAAATTACATCCTGCACACACAAACACACATACTTGTCCTCCCAAATCTAAATTTCAGAAAAGGTAATATAATCAGATCTATAGCCAAAGAAAAGAATTAACAAAAAAAAAAAAAAAAAAAAAACTTAGCCTTGAAGAACTGATTCAAGTTGCAAAGTTCAATATACACACCAAATAGTTCTGCAAAGAGAAAACTACTGAAGTGCTAAAGTTTTTACCAGGAAAATAATAAGCATGCATATCATAATTTACTTTTCTATCCACATTTATCCAACAAATTACATGTTCAAACCAGGAAACTCATCTATTCTTTTAAATATAGATAAAAAAAAAATCTGGAAAAGAGTCCATACAGTCCAATTTACAGTAGAGGGAAAAGAAGAGAAAGAAACTAGCATGGGTGTCATATGTAAGTGGCCAACAATAGAAGAGTCTAAATGCAATCGTCTATATCACAGCTATGTGACGAATGGAGAAACACCAATACCCATTTTTAAATGAATTAATTAGATCTGTCCATCTATAAAGGGGGAATTCACCATCTTTTGCATATTGTAGAACCACTAAGGCTAAAATCCTAAGGACAAGATTATGCTTTTGTCAAGGTAACAATATCAAAGACCCACATTGAAACCAAATTCCTAAATCCCACAACAGTGATGAGATTCAAATTACATGAAAGAAGAATATAAAAGTATAAACATATAGTTAATATGAACAAACAAATATACAAAACTCAAAAATTAAAACTATATCATACAATTGTTAGTTATCATCTATAACACCAAATGTGAGCTCAAACAGATCTGCAAGCTCATAATAGCCAACCATCCAAACAACCTCTACAATACTAAAAGTTCATAATAGCTGTCTGGCATAACTATAGTCATACTTAGCGAAATAGTAAAGTTGTGAGCTTGAAGAATGCGTCTTCAGGTTTTTCAGAATGAATGACATGCTGCATAATACTACTCCTATGAATTAACATTATTTTTTCCCCTGTGTACGAAAATCTAATGTTTCTCTTAATATGAAATGGTCAAAGCGTCATCGCATTATTGATCTTGAGCAACTACAAGTACTCTTCATATATGATTTACTTATATCTCTCATTTCTACAAGTACTCTTCATATATGATTTACTTATATCTCTCATTTCCTATAATGTAGGTATATAAAAAATTCCCACAACTCTCAGTCAACTACAACATAATTCCAATTTCCCAAACCCGCAAGTCAACAATTTCACAGAAGATTCCCTAACATATTTCAGTCAAAGGATCAATTGAAAACCATAAACCATGTCTCTTGTTTTCCTTCTCATAGAACACCACTCGATTCTTGAAAACAGAATCCTGAAGTATCAAAGAACATCAATAACTGCAAAAGGTTTTACCAGCAAGGGTATCAATGATTATAGTTTATAACACTCCATAAGAGTGCCAAAACACAGTTCACAATCTTAACGATTCGGTAAAACCAAACAAGCATTCAGAAACTCTTTAGTTAGCAGCACCTCGACTCTGAAAAATGGTCACACAAAAAATCTAGTCAATCCAGCACTGAGCATTATACATATGATTCCTGAAATTTTAGCATTTCAGATTTCAAAAGCACCTTAATTATACTTCAGAGCTCAGGATGGGGTTGGCACATATTCTTGTAGCCAAGTGGGTCTTTCTATTATACATACAAAGGATCCAAATCTTAAAATGGCAAGTAACAAACAGAAATGTGAGAGCAACTCCAACATAAGCTTATCGATATAGGAGTAAAAAGTAAAGTGTCGGAAAAGGAGTAATTTATACATCAACCATGCGTCCATGCACATAAATCAGAATATGCTTGTAAAGATCAGATATCATACACTTGAAGCAAATGCAAGCAAAAATAAGGAAAAACTAAAATACCAACTGCATAGGTGTTCAGTTGATACCTCTTTAGTGCCAATCAAGAGTTGTTCTGATTATAAATTGTTTGCATAAAAAAAGGTATTCACAACCATGTGTATTATCACAAGGGGGAAAAAAGAAAGAAAGAAGAAAAATGGGAGATTAAGCTATATAGCTTTAAAGCTCCCTTAAATAGCACATAGCTCTACCAACAACATGAATTTGATAAATTTCAAAAAAAAAACAACAAAAAAAAAAAAAAAAAAAATCAAACCTGAAATAGGGCTTTGCATAAAGAAATCTTCCTCAAGATCTAGTGGATCATAACAATGAAATTATCGGTACCACGGCCCATCATTGAGATAGGAACCTCCAAATAAAGGTCACATTATGCCTATACTCTGTAGAAATTTTTCAGCTTCTTTTCTAAAGGCTGGTTTCTAAAGCTTAGCTTCATATCCCCAAAAATATTCAAATAAATCAGTTCACTCAATTTATAACACAATCAGGCGGTTCTGGTGCCTGACAAATTTTCACATAATACTTTGTTTGTCACTATTTGTAAAGGGGAGTCAAGAAGTCACCTCACTCATCCAAGAGCAGGTGATCTAAGCTGAAAATTTTGTCAACGAAATTCTTAAAGCAAGCAAAACTTACAAGGAATACACCCAAATTTGCAAATAATATTCAGAAGTCACTATTACAATTCTAAATCATCATAACACGTCACATCAACCACCGGAAAAACCGTATGCATCACCAATTTATAATCTATCACTATTACAATTATCAATCACTGAACATCAAATCAAGCAGAAAAATGAATTACCTTGTCATTACCCAGACAGTCACAGTACTTGAGCTTCTACACATAGATGTAATCCCCATTACTCACCTTAAATTGACGCAGTCTCACCTACATCCCACAACAAATTAAATACACCAATTAAACCTTAAAATCAAAACACACCTAATCTCAAACAAAAGGTACAAAATCATCAAAAGAGACCCAAAAACCACAAAATAATCTAAGGAGACCTAAAAACCACACTAAATTCTTGTTGCCTCAAAATATCAAAGTAAATTATACATATCACAATTACAGCATCAAAATTGACCTTTAAAATTTCTAATAGCTTCACTAATTGTAGCCATAGTTCAATGATCTAGCATAGAACAACCAAAAGTTGACTTACCTCACAATTAACTTAACGATAAACCCAAAACAGAAATTGATATTCGATGGTTTTGAAAAAAGTATGAGCATACCTCAGAAGCTGCCTCAATATAATGGAGGAAAGAGAGCTTCAAGCTAATGGAGAATTAATTCTCTGCCTTCTCATATCAAAAGTCCCAAAAAAGAGGAAATTGACACCAAAATAAGCAAAAAATCAAACCCTTCTCCCCAAAAAACATAAAACCCTAAAACAATTGCATCAAAATTAACTCTTCCTTCCAATTCAAATAATTTAAAAAAAAAAAAAAAAAAAAAAAAAACAAATGAAAAAAGCAAGGTGAAAGATGGAGAGGAGAGAGAAAGAGAGTAGGAAGAGAGAGCCAAATGAGTGATGGTGAGGGAAAACGGGAGAGCAAGAACAGCAAAAGGTAATGGATGGCAGAACCGTAAAACAAACCTAGATGGAGGGTAGTATAGTCCACGCACTGTCCTACTATTCATAAGGAACAGTGCCGGTGAACTTTTCACTTATTAAAGAGTGTAGATTCTCCACCAAAGTCCACATCTACTTAAGCAAGTTCTAAAACATAAACAGTTAGAAGCATCACTTGGGTCAGATGAGATTGCATTAGTATAGATGTTAATTACACTTAAATAGTAAAAACCATTTCCATTACAAAACAAGATTCTATAAAGTTCAAGAAAAGACTAATAAGAGACAATTTCCACTCCTATACAGTTCACTCCTTACAACGGCAAGACTCATCATACCCAGAGGAGTGATATACTAACTCTTGTCTCCATATACAACAAATATGGAAATGTTGTCCTCACTATGGGTCTCCAATGTTGTCTTCGCTATTGGTCTCCATCATCATATCTAAAATAATTATCTTGCCTCTTAGCCTCTTAGGTCGTTGCAAGGAATTGCATCGTTGCACCATTGAAGTATATTTAATCAAGAAATCAATTATCATGACTCAAATCATGCAATGTACATCCTTACAGCCTTCTCAAAAAATTTCTACCATACTATGATCTATTCCCACAGTCTGACCCCTGACAAAATTTGGATCAGAACTGGTCAGTTAGATTATATGTATCAGTTTAATCTGTATAAAAGAGATTCAAGAGAAATCTAACTTTACTACAGGAGCAATATACAGTATCACAACGAAACAAAAGAGAAAAGGTTCACAAAACCGCAAGTGTAGAAGCAGCAACATTCACAAAAATACTAAGTAGTATTTGCTATGACAATAACAATAAAGCTTAAAAAGAGAAAGCTAACAAAGTCAGGGAAGTCCGGCTTGACTGTATCAGCAATACAGCACCAGGCCTTAAGGATTCAAACAAAATCTTCAAGTTCTTGATAATAGTTAAATAGTAAATTGAAATCTAAATGCAACAAAATCCTCAGCTAAAAAATATTAAAATACAGATAGTAAAAGGACAGATATAACAGTACATTAGAAGTTTAGAACAACACAGCCTGCAAGTAGCAATTCATAGATATCTAGCTTAGGTTGGAATAAGGTCTCAAATAAGAAGAGACATAAAAATAGGTTCAAATTGCCTATTTATAATCATAAATGAGAATGCTAAAAGGAGCAATTCACAAATGAACCTTCTAACAGGAGCAATTCCAAACAAACTAATATTTCCTCAATAAATCCGGAAATGGCTTTGAATTCTCACTTGACTATGATTTAGCTTATTCTAGTAAAATTTCTTACGAAGTGTACATAATTGATCCTTTTAAAACTGCTAGGGAAACCCAGAAAAGGCTCACTCTTTATAAGAGAAATAGGACAGTGATTCCTCATTCTAATAAGGAAATATAGGCAAGAAAAGCCCAAGAAAGCAATCACGGATTAAAGTAACCAACATCTGAAAAATTAGGGCAAGATCAACCACAGTTCCACAGTTATTCCCAAATCTTTACCAAAGTTTCTCTAAATTGCAGACATTTCTTTTCCAGGAAACCAGGACAAACGAAATATGATGTCTTTGCAGTTATCAAAAAAAAAAAAAAAAAAAAAATATATATATATATGATGTCTTTGCAAAAACACAATTGAATCACAGCCACCTTACTGACGAGGCAACTGACTAACAGAAAGAATAGAAATTTAATTATTCCCTCCATCCCTCTTAAAAATGGTCCCATTATTTCCATACATGAGATTGAGCACTCAGTAGCTCTTTTGCTAGTTCATTGGCAATGCTCATGGCTTCATGGATCCATGTGTTCGTTCTACACTACACAAAATTTCTACTTTGTACCTAAATAACGTAAAATAAACTTTTTTATTTTTTGTTAAATTTTAAAGATAAGAGTGATAGGCTGCTAGGCTTGGTTCAATCATCAACCACAAAACTTTTATGCAGTGTGCAATGGTCATAAACTCATAATGTTTCATGGGTTGATTTTCTGCATATGGTAAAATGAAAACATAACCATATGTTTGACCATGAAATCATATAATGATACAAAATGGTTGGACAAAAGATTAAAACTCAATGGTGAGGTAGTGCACTTGTACTCAGATCCACATATTTATTTCTTTCGGAAATTTCCAGATATGCAAGTGTCTATACAATCTCAACAACAAATCCACCTTGACATACAAAATATACTAGATCTAAATGCACAAGATCCGTGTTTCAAAATTCAAAAAATATATATGAAAACCATAACATAAATCCCCATGATGAATAAAAAATAACTAAATTATTTCCATCATTCATTAAGTAGATTGGAGGATGCATTGGAGTGTTTTTGGTAAGTAAACTGAATTCAATAAATTAAATTTTATATGCTACATTGAAGGCTTACCAAGCGTCAAGCAGCTTTGGAATTTGTTTTCGATGATCCTAGGGTCAGCAACTCCAAACTAATACCTGCGTGTTGGGAATAAACTCCATGGACTTCCTTAAATGGTAGTACAAACTTCTTCAAGAACCGAGACTCGGCCATTGAAAGGGAAGATTCAAGAAGGTAATCCATCTTAATAAAACCTTTCTCCTTCAATACAATGAGAGTCTTATGTCTAGGCAAAATCCTCTTTTCCAGGCTACAAGTTAACAGGTTACACCTCTTTGACAAGTAACTAGGCTCGTAACCAAGCTCGTTCATAAGAAAATCCAACTTTTTCTTTATGGTAGCTCCAGAGAGTGCCAAAAGAATAGGACTTGATGATGAAAGAGTTGCAATATCAGACTCAGTCCACCCAAAACTTCTAAACACTTTTCGTTTCGACTCAATAGTCTTCTCAGTAATATGGGTCAATAAATAGACACCGGAAAAGAACTGTGGAGAGTGTCGAGAAATCCCTAATTTCTCTTCAACCTTATTCACTGCATCCTCAAAAAAATCGATATTCCGAAGAAACGGGGATACATCCGTCAGTAGGTATTTCCGGATTGATTCAATGGTAATTCCATAACTTCGCAACAAAGCTACATTAGGCGCCAACATTCTGGGCACACGCGAAAGCCTCAATCGACGCGGTTTCGTCAGAATTCTAATCACTAGGTGTTCACAACCCATAATTTCTCTCAAAGCTTAGATTGCAGGAATAATATTGGATTTTAAACTCGTCGAAAATATACGAGGATTAACCTTTATAAGCTGAGCAAAATCAGACACAGAAAACCCCATACTACGAAGAAATTGGGTCTTAGGAATTAGGTTTTAATCAACATTACACAACAAAATTAGGGGTTGAGAAATAACGGCATTTCGAATATGAGATTGTTCCAATCCAATTTGTTTGAAGAATGTAATCACAGAATTAGCATTTTCAATGAAATAGAATTCACTGACCTTTTTTGCACCTCGACGTAAGCGATTTTGAGCGAGCTTAGTGGAAGTGGAAAGAGCTTGTTGGTTGGAAAACCCTAGAAAATCAACCAAGTAATTCGCGAAACCAGAGTTGACTACTTTTGTGACTGAAGAAGAAGATGATGTTCAAGTTGAGTAAAGTAGAAGATGAGGAAATCCATGGATGAAGTTGAGAAATCGGACGCCATTGAAGTTGCTCCGAATTCTGAGCATCCTTTCCAAACTCCCTGTTTTTTTTTTTTTTTTTTTTTTTTTTTTTTTTGCCAAGTACGAATCTGTTTATTTTTTCATATGGAATGTTGACTACGGGTTTGTTTTCATTGACTGAACTCAGCTAAACTGAATTAAATTGAGCTGAACTGAATTGAAATGAATATTTTATAAGAGAAGGAAATTAGGAACTGAACTGAAGTAAACTCAGCTGAACTGAACTGAATTTCAACGTATGAAAACAGGCCCTACGTCCTAAGGGCGGGTCTAGGGACTCTAGATCGCCCGGAAAGTTGAAACCGAGCTGCTCGTAAATGGTTCGAATTTAAATCAACTACAAGACTAGTGATCGAGTAGCATTTTATAAGCAGTTCAAGTGCGAGTGTTTGTGAGATTAGCCTTATAAGGAGTTCAAGTGCAAGTGTTTGTGATATTAAGGGCTTGTTCATATTTACTGAATTGAACTGAATTAATTGGAGTATGGATGTCAATGGGGCGGGTCGGATGTTGGTCATTCTATCCTCATCCCTACCTAACATTTTCATACCCATCCTCATCTCCATCTTCACCCCCGCGGTGGGTCCAATACTTATCCCCATCCCCGCCCCAGCGGATACAACTCCAAAACCATCCCCGCCCAACCCCTCTACTTGGATATCCGTCCCCACCTTATTCCCACCAAAGACCCGCCTAATCCCCACCTAATCTCCGTCTCTCAAATACACAATCCTACATAATTAATACGGATTATGATAATAATTAAAAAAAAAATTCTTAAAATTGCATACATTTTTGTTTATAATATAAGCATAGTACAAAGTATTATAATTAATATTTTTTTCACGTAATTATTTTATAAAATAGTATAAAAGTATATAATTTTGCTTTTAAAGATATATATATGTGGGTATGAGGTGGCGATGGGGCGGGTACGGGGCGGGGAGGAGGCGGGTACAACTTCAAATCTACCCACACGGCCCGGCCCCATCACCCATGGCAAGTATGGTTTTTATCCCCATCCCCGCCCCACCACCCGCCAAACCAAGACCCAGCCCCGCCCCAATATGAGGCGGGTCTCCCACTTGACCTGCTCCACTAACATCCCTAAATTGGAGCAGAACTAAAGTGAACTGAAATTAAACTGAAGTGACAAGCCCTAAATCAGCTAAATGTGAAATATTGCATGTAGAGTTATGTTTGAGATTTGTTTGACTCGAAAAAATAAATGCCTTAATATATACTTTACTGAGTGTTTCATTTTTACCCGTTTAGAGCGATTTTGGGCCAGTAGTGATGGGGAAAGGGAGTGGGATGGGGTCGCCGGCGTCAGGAGATCGTTTGGGCGCCGTCGTGCCGGCACAGGGAAGGGGTGGCTATGAGGTTTCGGAGCAGCGTAGATTGGGGAAAGGGAGGTTGGGCGATGGCTAAAGATGGAGCGGTGGGTAGTGAGGTGGTTGTACTGTGGGTGGGCCCCACCAACAAAAATAGTAACAACATAAGACAACATGTAGTGATATCTATAATTTTGGAATTTGGGTAGTAGTAAGATAAATTTAAAAATTAAATAGGTAGCAAATGTTAAATTTTCCTTGTTGCCATGTGTTAATTACTTCATATAAGGTTAGTTTTACACTTTCCGGCTTAATGAGCATGTGAAACAAAACAAATTGCTCAGGGTTAGGGTTTTAAGATCGTTTACAATAGATAAGAAATATTGGATAGTTAGGTGGGTGGAGAAATCCAATCATGTTAAGGAAGAAATTAGCTAGATAAGTTTTAGATAATTTCAACACCAAAGTCCACCTCTACTTTACCAAATTATAAAACATAAAAATTTAGGAGCATCACTTGGGTCAGATGAGATTGCATTAATATAGATGTTAATTACACTTAAATAGTTAAAACCATTTACATTACAGAACAAGACTAATAAGACATTCTATAAAGTTCAAAACAAGGCTAATAAGAGACAATTTCCTCTTCTATACAGTTCACTCCTTACAATGGTATGATTCATCATCTCCATGAGGAATGATATACTAACTGTCATCTCCATCTCCAACAAAAACGGAAATGTTGTCCTCTCCTCACTATTGGTCTCCATCATCATATCTAAAACAATTATCTTGCCTCTTAAGGCGTTGCTACGAATTGCATTGTTGCACCATTGAAGTATCTTTAATCAAGGAATCAATTACCATGACTCAAATCATGCAATCCTTAGCAGCCTTCTCAAAAATCTTCTTCCATATTATGATATACTTCCACAGTCTGACCCCTGACAAAATTTGGATCATAACTGATCATATGTATCAGTTTAATCTGAATACAAGAGATTAAAGAGAAATCTAACTTTATTAAAGGAGTAATATACAGCATCACAAACCGCAAGTGTAGAAGAAGCAACAGTCACAAAAACACTAAGCAGTATCTGCTATGACAATAACAATAAAGCTTAAAAAGAGAAAGCTAACTAAGTCAGGGAAATCCAGCTTGACTGTATCAGCAATTCAGCACCAGGCCTTAAGGACTCAAACAAAATCTTCAAGTTCTTGATAATAGTAAATTGAAATCCAAATGCAATAAAATCTTCAGCTAAAAAATATTAAAATACAGATGGTAAAAGGGCAGATATAACAGTACATTAGAAGTTTAGAACAACACAGCCTGCAAGTAGCAATTCATAGATATCTAGCTTAGGTTGGAATAGGGTCTCAAATACGAAGAGACATAAAATCAGGTTCAATTTGCCAATTTATAATCATAAGCTAAAAGGAGCAATTCACAATTGAAGCTTTTAACAGGAGCAATTCACAAACGCACCAATATTTCCTCCTCAATAAATCCAGATAAGGCTTTGAATTCTCACTTGACTATGATTTAGCTTATTCTAGTAAAAACAAACTTAGTATACATAACATAATTGAGCCTTTTAAAACTGCTATGGAAAACCAGCAAAGGCTTACTCTTTCTAACAGAAATAGGACAGTGATTCCTCATTCCAATACGGAAAAATAGGCACGAAAAGCCCAACATCACAGATTACAGTAACCAACATCTGCAAAAATAGGGCAAGATCAACCATAGTTCCACAGTTATTTCCAAACCTTTAAGCAAATATCTCTAAATTGCAGACATTTATTTTCCAGGAAAGCAAAACAAACGAAATATGACGAGTTTGCAAATTACAATTGAATCACAGCCACCTTACAGACTAGGCAACTGACTAACATAATGAATAGAAACTTAATAATTCCCTACATCCTTCCTAAATAGGGCACATTTGGTTAAGGAATTGGGATGTAAGATACTACAATTATCCTTGATTATTTAAGAACTGAGAATAAGCATATATTGTAATAGTCCTGGTACAAGGAGCAACACTAGGAGACAAAACAAATTAAGACTAGGGACTTAGGGAGTGTGGCTACATAGGACTGAATTTTGATACCTTTGAGCAGTAGAGGACAACCATTACTAATATTAGGTTATTTTGCAGTTTTGCTTGACTAAAAAATAAAAGTAGCAAAGCAGTAGAAAGGTATGAGATTTGTATTGTGGTCCGTGGAATGAGCTCTTCTTTCAGTATTACTACTACGTAGAAATAGGTTAAACATAAACTACAACGCATAATTAAGGGGTTAAGCTCTAAACTACAATGCATAATGAGGTCCAAAAGTTAATACAATTACATTTAGGAAACCATAGCATAAGCATTAAGCTCTAAGTCCCATCATAGCAGTTTTCAACATGATACATTAACAAGAATCACCAAGATGAGTTAAAATACAAAGTTATTCCATCAATTTTTCAGCAGCTAGTTGGATGCATTAGCGTGTTTTTGGTGAGATTACTGAACTCAATAAATTAAATGCCACATGCTAAATTGCAGGCTTACCAAGCATCAAGCAGCTTTGGAATTTGTTTCTGATGATCCTAAAGTCAGCAACTCCAAACTAATACCCGCGTGTTGGGAATAAACTCCATGGACTTCCTTAAATGGTAGTACAAACTTCTTCAAGAATCGAGACTCGGTCATTGAAACGGAAGATTCAAGCAGGTAATCCATCTTAATAAAACCTTTCTCCTTCAATACAATGAGAGTCTTATGTCTAGGCAAAATCCTCTTCTCCAGGCTATAAGTTAACAGGTTATACCTCTTTGACAAGAAACTAGGCTTATAACCCAGCTTGTTCATAAAAAAATCCAGCTTTTTCTTGATGGTAGCTTCAGTGAGTCCAAAAACAGGAGGAAATGATGATGAAAGAGTTGCAATATCAGACTCAGTCCATCCAAAACTTCTAAACACTTTTCGTTTCGACTCAATAGTCTTCTCACTAATACGAGTCAATAAATTAGATACCTGAATAGAACTGTGGAGACTCGAGAGAAATCCCCAATACCTTTTCAACCTTATTCACTGTATTCTCAAAAAATTTGATATTCTGAATAAACGGGTAAGGTGTGCTAAGTAGGTATTTCCGGATTGATTCAATAAAAACTCCATAACTCCGCAACAAAGCTACATTAGGCACCAACATTTTGGGTACATACGAAAGCCTTAATCGACGCGATTTCGCCAGAATTCTAATCACTAGGTGTTCACAACCCATAATAACTCTCAAAGCTTGGATTGCAGGAACAATATTGGAATATAATCCCATAAAATATATAGAAGGATTCACCCTTATAAGCTCAGCAAAATCAGACACAGTAAACCCTAAATTACGAAGAAATTGGGTCTTAGGAATTAGGTTTTTATCAACATTACACAACAAAATTTGGGGTTGAGAAATAACGGCATTTCGAATATGAGATTGTTGCAATCCAATTTGTTTGAAGAATGTAATAACAGAATTGGCAGTTTCAACAAAATAGAATTCACTGACCTTTTTCCTACCTTGACGTAAGCGAAATTTAGCGAGCTTAGTGGAAGTGGAAAGAGCTTGTTGCTTGGAAAACCCTAGAAAATCAACCAAGTAAATGGCGAAATCAGAGTTGACTTCTGTTGAGATTGAAGATGAAGATGATGTTGAAGTTGAGTAGAGTAGAAGATGACGGAATCCATGGATGAAGTTGAGAGCTTGGTAGCCATTGAAGTTGCTGCGAATTTTGAGCATCCCTTCCTGTGTTTGTTGTAACTGGAGTACTGACTGAGCATTGACTAAGGAGTAGTTCATAGGGGCTGGGGTTTGGGCTTTGGGACTCTGGAAGTCTGGATCGCTCCGAGTAGACGAGTACATCCGTTATGTTACGTGTAACTTTTAGGCGGTATGTATAGGTAATAAAAGTAGTATGTTATTATATATACTTTTTGACTTTTTTTTTTAAAAAAAAAAATACTACTTAGGTTTTGTGTAGAATTTAAGTAAAAGCGTAAAAGATGGAGTATGTTAAAAGCGTTTAAGTAAAAAAAAAAAAGACAAATGGGAGATAGAAATGGTGGGATAAAACTGCAAGAGTGGTTGTTATAACAGGTGAACAAGGGTAAGTAGGGAATTTCGTGTGTTAACACGACCAAAAAGTGAAAAATAAATAAATAAATAAAATACTCCGTTTGTCCGTCATAAGGAAATGGTGTAATTAATATGCAATTTTCCACAGTGAAAAATGGTACAAATAATATGCAACTTCTAAAAAGGAAAATGGTACAATTTGAAAAACTAAGAAAGTATAATTATAAAAATGAGTGTTAAAAAATTTGCGATTATTACGAAACAAATTGCATAGTGTTTTACACATCTCCCTAACCAATAAGCATGCCAAACTTAGGAAGTTTATGACAGATGTAGTTTTAGCCTTAACCTTGGGAATCTTTTGCTTATGCATCAATTTTCCTTAAAAATAACAATGGCATTAGCCTTTTAATATATTCTATCTTCTCTTTGTATAGAAACATAAGCATGTCAAACAAAACAAATTGCTAGAGATGTGGTGTTGAGATCATTTACAAGAGATAAGTAATTGTTTTGAAATAGTTATGATTTCCCCTAACCAATAGGTATAGTTTTCAAAGAGTCGAAAGTGCAATTAATAAAAATAAAATAAAATAAATAAATAAAATTAAACAAAAAAGGAAGTACTTATAATTTTGCAATACTCATAGTTTAGGCAAAGAAAATAAGAAATCTAATCAAGTTTTAGACAATTCTCAGCCAAAGCCCATATGGCCATATCTACTTTACCAAATTCTTCAACATAAATTTTTAGGAGCATCACTTGTGCATTACCGTAGATGTTAATTACACTTAAATAGTTAAATCCATTTCCTTTACCATTACTTACAACTGATAACTAAAGGACGGCCAATATAAAGTTCAAAACCAAGACTAAGAAGAGAATTTCCACTCCTATACAACTATACAGTTCTATCCCTTACAATGGTAAGATTCTTCATCTCGATATCCAAAATGGTCTCCAATATTGTCCTCACTATCGGTCTCCACCCACCTTATCCAGCCTCCTAGGTCGTTGCTACGAAATGCATCGTTGCACCATTGAAGTACAACTCATGCAATGTACATCCTTGGCAGCCTTCTTAAAAAAATTCTTACATATCATGATCTTCTCCCACAGTTTTGACCCCTGACAAAATTTGGATTGTAACTGGTCAGTTAGATCATATGCATCAGTTTAATCTGTATGCAAGAGATTAAAGAGAAATCTAAGTTAATTGAAGGAGCAACATACAGCATCACACAGAAACAAAAAGAGGAAAGGTTAATAAAACTGAAAGTGCAGAAGAGGCAACAGTCACAAAAACAATAAAGCTTAAAAAGAGAAAGGTAACACAGTCAGAGAAGCCCAGCTTACTTTATAGCTGTATCAGCAATTCAGCGCCACGCCTTAATCAAACAAAATCTTCAAGTTCTTGATAATTAAAACTTGAATTCTAAATGCAACAAAAAAATAAACCCTCAGCTTTAAAATATCAAAATACAGATGGTAAATAGGCAGATCCAGCAGTACATTAAGTTTAGAACTACACAGGAACACAGCCTGCAAGAAGCAATTAGGCCATTTATAGATAGCTTAGGTTGGAATAGTTTTGCAGATAAGGAGAGAGAAAAATAGGTTCAATTTGCCAATTTCTTATCATAAATGAGATTGCAAACAGGAGCATTTCACAAATGAATTTTCTAACTCACAAACGAAACAATAGTTCCTCGGTACATTCTAATAAGACTTTGAATCCTCCCTTGACTATGATTTATTGCTAGCTAGCTTCTTTTTCATTTTATTTTTTTGAAAGGTTGGTAGTTAGCTTATACGTAATTGGTCCTTTTACAAACAACTAGGGAAAACCAGCAAAGGCTCACACTTTCTAACAGAAACAGGACAGTGATACTACATTCCAAAAAGGAAAAATAGGCAAGAAGAGCCCAGCAAAACAGTCAAAGATTATAGAAACCAATATCTGCAAAAATAGGCGAGATCAGCCACAGGTCCACAGTGATTTCGGAATCTTTAAGCAAATATCACTAAATTGCAGACATTTCTTTTCCAGGAAAGCAAAACAAACAAAATATGGTGTCGTTGCAAAACGCAATTGAATCACAGCCACCTTGCTGATGAGGCAACTGACTGACAGAATGAATAGAAAGTTAAAACATTCCTTCCATCCCTCTATAATAGGGCTCATTTGGTTAGTGGAATTATTCAGGAATTGGGTTGTAAGATACTACATATCCTTGATTATTCAAGAAGATTTGAGAATAAGCATATATCTAATTATATATTGTAATAGACCCAGTACAAGGAGCAGCACTATGAGACAAAACTAATTAAGGAAGCACTAGGGACTTAAGGAGTGTGGCAACATAGGACTGAATTTTGATACTCTTGAACAGTAGCGGACAAACATTATTAATATTAAGTTATTTTGTAGTTTTGCTTGAATATGAAAGGGAATTAGCATAGCAGTAGAAAGGTATGAGCTTTGTATTGTGGTCTGTGGAATGAGAGAGAATGGTAACCTCGGGTAACTAAGAGAGTGATAACCTTAAGTTATCAAAGAGAGTAATAATAGCCTAAAGCTATTAACCTATCATTTGACCCTCTTGCTATTATCAATCAAAACTTCAAGCTTTCATCTATATTTATTTGCCTTGTTAAATCAGAAATACAAAGTCAGATAAGCAGTGTATTACATATATCATGCACAGGAGCACAAGAACAGATCTCAGCACTAACACACAAACAGTTTCTGATTATCTTGTAAGCAGACTCAACGTACATTTTCTCAAAACACTAACTGATCATGCCTCTCTTCCATGCTGAAATTTCCTAAAACACAGACATACTAAGAATCAGCCATACCTCTACTAGTATACAACAATCGTATCTTGCCTCTTTTCAAGTAGTTAAGCAATACAGCACAAAAAACCTTAAAGCAATCACGTCAGCACACCAAGTAATTTGTTGGGCACTGATCATATGTGAATAGAGTGACGAGAGCCTAGTAGTAAGGATAATATGGGAAAGATCATAGTTTAATCTGCTTAGTATGGAAATTTGGCCTATTACTTTGAGAGTTGAGGCATACCAAACTGGAAAAGTGGCCAGTTAGAAGATAAAGAGAGTAAGTCAGGTACAATAAAGCAAGCTTCTTTAACTATCCAATTTTCAATTGCATGCAACAGAATATACTTCATGTACCCAGCCAGCTAATACTTAACCCCTCCTACCCCCCCCCCCCCCCCCCACCTCCCAGCCTCATTTGCATCAGGTTTGAATATGGGTTACCAAATTAATTGATCAAAATGCTATACATAACTACATACATCTGCCAAAACTTTCCAAGTAAACACCCCTCCCCATAGAAAAGAAATTATGAAATCAGTAGATAGGCATGTCAATAAAAAACGAACTATTATAATAACCCCGAATCCGGATTAGCCCAAAGGGTAAACCGTGTGAAACACCAAAAAAGAAATGAAGCACAGGAGAATGTAGCAATTGTAGGTATGTAGCCAAGACAATGCTATAAGAGATTGTAATTTGAAAGTTCGAGTTCTTTTAAGAGTACCAACAATAACATCCATATTCAAGAAACACTAGTAATCAGCTATTACAGAGAAATCTAGCATTTGACAACAAAGACTCTTCAACAGAAAAAATCACTTCCAAGAGCAACCAATTCTATCATCTATTTTTGTAATATCATTTGCGATAATAAAAAGAAGGTATGGCCCAAATGAAAAATCAATCATACTTCATATATTGTACAATGCACTTTACCTATCAACCAACAGCAATTGATAGCTGATATCATCTTCAGGGCTTGTCGTCACCCGCTCTTCCTTCATTTGAAGGTTTCATAGAAGAACGATCTGTAAGTTTAGCTAATTCTTTAGCATAAACTTCACGGATTTCCTCAAATGGAAGCACATACCTGTTCAAGAAGTGTGGCTCTGACCGGTTTAAAATAGTATATGGAGCGTGATCCTTTTTAATCAAACCTTTCTCTTTCAGAGCCAAGAGGACTCTAATTCGTGGTATTATTCTTTTTTCCAGACTATAACTTAACAATGCACCATGAGACATCACATAATCAGGGCTAAAACCCAGTTCCTTCATCAGATATTCCAATGACCTCTTGATCCTAGCTTCAGACAACCCCAACAACATTGGATTTTTCCTACCGAGGGCTAAAACATCTGATCTCATACACCCAAAGTTCTCAAACATTCTAATCTTTGATTCAATATTCTTTTCACCAAAGGAAGCCATCAAATGAACTCCATCCAAGAACCTCGACGAATCACAAAGGAATACCCAAATATTTTTCAGCTCTAATCAAGAAACCCTTAAACTTTTCAATTTTCCTCAATAAAGGGGAATGTGATTGATATGAAAAGCGTTTACGAATTAAGTCAATGGAGACTCCATAACTCCGCAACAAAGCAACATTGGATATCAGATTGTTACTCATACCACTAATTGATGTCCAATGTGATTTCTTCATAATAGAAATTACATATTCATAATTACCCATAACATCCTTCAAAGCTTCAGTTGCCCTAACAAATTGAGGGTGACAATTGAATAATACATAAGGATTAACAGAAACAACCTCAAAGAAATCGGGTTTCGAAAACCCAATTTTCAAAAAATGATCAATGTTAGGTTTTAGGGTTTTATCAACTCTACAGAGCAACACCCTAGGCTGAACAGATACAACAATTCGAATCTGGGAAACGTCAAATCCATTTTGCCTAAAAAATTGAACAACTAAATCAAAATTAGAGACGAATTTCGAGCTACTCACCTCATGTTTGCGTTTATTGACTACATGATGTTGTTCGAATTTGGCGGAAGTGTAGCGAGCTTGTTGCTTGGAAAACCCTAGATAATCAACCAAGTAATTCGCCAAAAAGGGGAATTTTTTAATGGAGGTTGACGAAGAAGTTGAATAGAATAGTGGATTATGAAAATTATAGATGATGAAATTGAGAGCTTTGACGCCATTGTTGTTGCAGCAAAGCTTGAGCATCTTGCTAGCCGTAAAGAATGATTTTTTATGGAGGGAAACACAAATATGGAGTACTCGTATATGAGATGGGACTAACTAATTAGTTATGTGGGGGCTAAAGAACCCAAGTACTCCGTACATGGGTCCAACACGAGACACGACCCACGACTATAACTAGCTTTTTTTTTTTTACTTCTTTCATAATGGTTACAAGTTAATTTCTGAAATTCACAAAATTTGTTTATCACATGGCAATTTTGTAAATAAATTAACAACTTTTTTCATAAAAGTGGGTCCTACATTAATGATGACTAGATAAAGTTGTTCATTTATGTACCAAAATGTCATGTGATAAACAAATTTTGTTTATCCTAGAGATTAAATGGGGCTTCCTCTTTCATAATTATGTTCATTATTTAATTTCTTTTTATTGAACATTGGATATAAAATGACATCCCTAAACTCCGGAATTGTTGTCCAACCACCTGCATGATCAGATTCAGTGTTTTACTTTCATAGGGCCTTTGTTCTGCTACAATTTTGTGGAATATCATCATCTACAAACATATTTATCAAGGCAGTTCAAGGTGCTTGACAACATTGATCTTGATCTAACCATTGTTGAATCTCATCTCACACCCATTGTATTCAAGGCTAATTGAGGCCCAAATGCCATAGAATTCAAGAAAGATTATCAAAAAGGAGTTGAGACAGTGGCGGGAGATTAATAGTCAGTTAGCACAAAGCTAACGAAGTAGGAACTAGGAAGAGATGACGTATTTTTTTCATTTTTTATTTTTTAAATTTTTTTAGACCAATCACGTGTTGACACATGTCTTTGGTAACTTGTAATAAAAGGTTGTTAGAGGCAAAGTAACCTTCTAGTTGGGACTTGGGATTATTAGATAATAAATTGGGATTATTAGAAATAAATCACAAATAGTTAAAAACATTAACGTATATTTTTCCTAAAAGTATCGACTTAGAAAACAAAAATAAGTACTCATAGATCAATTCAAGAAATATGTTTGATTTAAATCATCTGAAAATCCAAAAATTTGTCATCCTCTACTTTATGTACTTCGTATGAAACAACTATTTACCATATGAAATTTGCTAAATGAAGTAAAGGACTTAAAATTGGAAGTGAGTATAACATTTGCAGTGTGATTATTGAGGCCGACTTGACTGACTCAAGAGTCAAGAGTTCAGGGTGATCAAGCTAGAAGCAAGCGAGGGCGAGGGCAAAAAAATCGTAAGAAACCACATTTCTCTCATAAACTGCAGCATATTCTAGAGGGGTTACACTCGAACAGGATATCTACAAAACCACTATCCTCCACAGGCTATTTCATGAGGCATGTGGTAAAGGGGAGGAACACCATATTTATACTGTATAATAAATCATGTATAACTCGAAAAAAGATAAAAACCCAAAAAAAAAAAAACATATGGGGACGAAGAAAATGGGGGGAAAATTCAAGATATTAACAATCAGAACCCTTCAACACTAGATCTTCGGAATCCCACTGATGATGATGATTTTCGGGCCTCTTGGCGTTCAATGTCATCCAATGAAAGAAGTGAAGAACAAGCACGAGGAGGAAGTGACAAGGGCAAAGTGAGAGGCCTTGTTGGAGAGATGGAAGAGGTGTTGGCCCTAGATGGTGAGGGGTGAGAATAACTTTGGCGAGGTGGTAGACTGGGTGATCGAAACATCTGCTTTCCAGCAACAGTTCCTGGTTCTTGAAGAGGAAACCGGCAGGAATGTTTCATATCTTGTATGGATTTGAGGTTCTCCACAACTGTTCTCATTGTGGGTCTCTCTGAAGGGTCTTTCTGAAGACATTTTTGAGCTATATCAGCAACTGTTTTTGCTGCTTTTATGGGGAATCGCCCTTTCAGCTGAGGGTCCATTATTAAGGAGAGCCTACATTCATCGGCAAGGAATGGCCAGCTCCATTTGACTAAGTTCCTCTCCTCTTTGGATCGTCGACTATCCATATTCTTCCGTCCAGTGAGAACTTCTAGGAGAACTATTCCGAAGCTGTAAACATTGCTTTTAGGCGTGAGTAACCCTTTCTCCACAGTCTCCACAGAAAGATTCCCTAGTGCCTGAAAATCAGGTAGCAAAACTTGTTTACAATCTTAGATAAATGGTTTCGTGAAACAAAAGCCACATTCCACTACACGGGGATGGTTCAACCAAACGCAAGGATAATATTTGTGTTCATCCTCAGTACACAGGGTTATTGAGGGCAATCAGAATATAATAGGTGAAAGCATCAGTATAAAGTCTAGAATCTATATCCTTAGAAAAAACACCCAATATAGAGATCCAAGAGCAGTCAGTTAGGAAATGAATGATTAGTGTATTTAGTATTTTCTCAACTCAATCTCATGGTTCTAAAGACTATTTCAAAATGGTATGTGTAAAATTATGAGACAAAAATAAGTTATATTTATGTTTATCACTTCTAACACAAATCTGCAAACATCAGGAACAAGATTATGACCTATTATACCAAGAGCAATCGCAGTATTACTCACCGAAGAGGTATTGGAAATATCTGTTTCTGGGAGGAGGCCAACGCAACCATATCCTGAAAGCTTTGCACTAAAATCCTTGTCAATCTGAATATTTACTGCAGTAAATTCGTTGTACATTGCCTGCAGAAGTAAGAAGATAGCTTCCATCAGACATGCAAGCTTGTACCCTCTTTAACAACTGAGATCAATCGATTTGTCAACAATGAGACAATTATACATATAGCGACGTACCCAAAGACTGTACTATACAAAACTTGATTGCTACACGGTATCTAAAGATTTTTCTTTGGAAGTTTCAAAGCATAATTATCACAGTTATATAATAAGCTCCAATAGACAGCAAACATTAAATGTATTCATCGCCAGAAAGGCATGGATATAGATCGCAATTACCTGGAATGGACCTTGTTCATGTAAGAAGGTAAGTCCTTGAGCGGCACATAAAGCTACTTTTACTCTCGTATTCCAATCAATTGGAGGACCATCTGATCTACCGTATAATAACCGATCTAAGCTTCCATGATGTAGCCTTTCATAGACCAATATCCTCTGGTCAGAGCCATCTCGTGCATGATAACCAAGCAACTTACATAGGTTGGGATGTTGAAGAGATGCAAGTGTGTTCACCTCATTCACAAAATCCCTTAAACCCTATAAGACCCAAACAACAGCATGTGTGTTAGTATTAATCCTCAAAATGAACTTGCTGTGTAAAATTTCTCAAAAAACATTGACGGTTATAGTCTCATTGCATTCACATAATACAATGCAAAAACAAGTTACCTGAGCTGTAGGATAAAACCGGGTAACAGTGGCTTCAATCTTTCTCACACTAGAAGAAGCATCACAGAAGGAAGCCTTAAACATAGTTGAAGAAAGACTCTCGGATGTACAAGTTTCTGATGAAATACTGTGGCAGGCAGATGTAATTTCTTCATAGGAAAAATTTCGAAGTGTTCCTGATGGAGGTAGAGGCAGTGGACCTGAAGTACATAAGGGGCCACTGGAATTTCTCACTTTAAAGCTTCCTGTACTTTTCAGGGAGCCAGATACATGAGGCGAAGGAAGAGGGAGAGGCTGTGGACTAGGCGATCTTTGTTCTTGTGGTAATAGTACATGGGATCTCGGCTCTTCTCTCTCTTCACATTCAGTTGATGACAACTCTCTTTCTCCATGAAAACTTGATGGCGCAGAAAGTGCACGCATCCTATTACTAGTCAATTTTTCTGTGGGTTGAGCAGGCTGCCCTCTGGTGCGAAAACTTGGAGGGGCTGATTGCAGGGCATGACTGCGGATTTGTGGTTCAGGAAGGGTTGTTGGTGTACTTTCCTGGGGGAGTACACGTTTGATATGTACACTATGATCAGTCTTCTTCTTTTTACCTTTTAAGACCGTGAAACAACCCATTTTATTCACAACTCTTCAAGCATGTAACTCAATCTAAAATCCTGTGACACATGTGAAAACAGAAAATGAGCATCGACCAAAAAAACACGGTTTGCTGTATCAATTACTGAAATCTCACCACACCAAAATAACAGCATAATTGAAAACATTTTACAGCATACAGGTACAAACAACAATAATGTGAAAGCCTTAATCCCAATAGGATGGACCGATGGAGTCGGCTACACATATGTAAAATAAGAAGTCAAACTGATAATGATGCCTTATCTAATAACCAAAGCTCCTAAACTACAGCCAAGGAACCTAAAGCTTGTGGCATTGCCTCTCACAACTCGATAGACTACTAACATCCAATCAATAACATCACCTATCCTTAAAAGACAACAAATTAGAACCAATTAAACATTCCTATGCCTCCATATGAACATAAAAATCGATTAACTCGATCAACCTCATTCATACCAGCCGCTCAACCAGATTAAAATTCCATATAAGTTCGAATTTATAGTGCTAAACTACAACAGAATCCAGAAATATAAGTAAGAAGCTTAACATCAAATTATTCTATTATTTCTTAACACCATACTGCCCCACTCACCTCTGATTTAAAGAAGAACTGAATGTTTAAAAAAAAAAAAAACATCCATGAATAGATATTGAAAAGTATAACAAGCAAACAAGTACTATTTCAAAAAAAGCATATTAATTCCAAATTAGAATTGTCAAAGTTTTTATCCATTCAACTGTAAGTCCCCCTGAAAATCCGCCAGCAAAAAGTTAAAACGAATCTGAATCACCTGTAGATTATTACAGCAAGTACACTATCAATATTCATCATTAACACATAACCCGATACTCGAGATCGAATCCCGTCTACATCACTAACTTTGCAACTCTATGTACAACCAAAAAAGGGGGAAAACTAAGAATACCCAGATCCAAAATACACCCATAAATCATCCTGGCAAACAAGATTAATGACAAAAACCCAAAATTGAACTAATCTACAACAAAACCCCAAATTCAAAAAAAAAAAAAAAAGAAAAAACATAAACTCCAAATAAAAAATAAAACCCCCAATAAGTATAATGGATCAAACTAGCAGCTCAATTAAATTTAATTAAATGTAAACAAATTGCACAACTTTAATTGAACAAATTAGCCCAAAAAAATACAAGGAAAATTAGAAGAAAAATACCTGAAATTAGCTAACTTTATACAATCAAAGCTATGATCTTTATTGGTGAGGAAGTAGGAAATGCAATGAAAAATTAAAAACCCAGCAAGTCAAATGAAAGCTGAAGAAGAAATGAGGAAAGGTCATAAAGATTTTTCCAAATGCCAAAAAAAAAAAAGGGAAAATATACAAGTACTAGTAATACTATGAATTGAACAAGTTTCGGAGTGGAGGAAAGATAGAGAGAGAAAGTAGAGAAAGAAAGGCGGACCCAATGAGGCAGTGGTCAAACCTACCATAAGAACTTGGATTTTTAAATACCTTTTTTAAAATTAATTTAATGTTTTTTATAAAATTGTTTTTTTTTTTCTTTTTTTTGAAGGATTTGTATTCTGTATAACTGTATTTAATAAAATTAGTGTGATGGCATCATTAAATTTGATGAAGTAAAAAGAGGTTGTGTAATCAAAATATTGAAATGAAGCCCAACAGATTTTTGTACTAGTACTTCCCTTTTAGAAATTAAGGTTTTAGACGATTTTACCCCTATGTGAAATGACGGTTTTGCTCTTATATTATTGGATTTTGGACTCTACTCTTAGGGCTTGTTCTCATTGACTGAACTCAGCTGAACTAAACTGAATTGAGCTGAAGTGAACTGAATATTTTATAAGAGAAGAAAATTAGGAGCTGAGCTGAATTGAACTGAACTGAATATTTTATAAGAGAACAAAATTAGGAGCTGAGCTGAACTGAATTGAACTGAATTGAGCTGAACTTAACTGAACTTAACTTAATTTCAACGTATGAGAACGGGTCCTTAGTAACCTTCCTAGATCGGTAATAACAAACTAAAACATGGAAAATTATTTTGGATCACTTGTTGTGAGAGCATGGTTTACATCTAGCTTCTTTCAAATAGGTGTGCCAAAAAATCAATTTTCCTAACTTATCAATCTTGAGCTTTTGTGTAATGGCTAACGTATGAGACAAATTGGGTAAAATTGAGAGCAGCATAAGCGAATTTGGATCGTAGTAGTGCACATGAATAACATTGTGACGATAAATTCCTAATACCCTAACGTTGCTTCTTTGAATAGTTGTTGTATTTTATGGTATTATCATTAGTAAAATTGATGCATGATAAATTGATAATAACTAGCAAGTTCCTTTGACTATATTTTGATAGTGTCATTCCTCTTTTATGGGTTTTATGCACTCGTCTCTAGTGTTATTAATGATCTGGTTCATTCAATTCATTATACTTGGTATTGAATTTAAGTTGGATTCGAAAAGCTAAGATCAATATATGTATGGGATTCTTTATTTATCTATACAAAAACTAAAATAGATTGTGAAAGTCACATTCCCTATTTTGACAGATTGTGTTAAGCTATAAAGTGTTACAAGCAACAAGATTGAAGTTGAAGATTTAAGTTATGTTCAAATATAACATATTTAGTTGTTTATATAACATATTACATAACTTTTTTTTAAGTGATCTTTGTACTTGAGTAACATCCCCATCATCATTTAAGGAATTCTAAGGAGTTTAAAGGGTTAAATGGATTTACACCGAGTTGAATATGTTTCGTTTTGAATGGTCTAAAGACGTGATTAACATTTGAATTTTAAGATCTATTAGTTCTATTTATTTAAGTTGCTTTCATTGTCAAATATTTTTGTTGTCTAGTAATTAATATAGTCATTTGAAGCATAAATATTATTGTTATAATTGGAATGATCAACTCAAACCTTCTCTTCCATTTTTTGGGTATGTAGTTACAAAATCGATTAATCCAAAAACTTCCCGGTGTTATAAATTATAATACTTTTGATGTTGACTGTTCATCACCTTCCATTTGAATCCGTATAGTTATCAAATATAATAACCAGTGTAAATATTATCTAGTCATATTCGGAGTATTTATCAATCATGGAGCACATCAACTTATAATTTCATAATTTGAATAATAAAAGATGACAAGTGTAACAATTAGTTTTTACTAGTCTAAATTATTAAATTTTTTTGGTACGTGCTCTTAATTCTTAGATCATATACAAACTTATAAAGTATGTATCATGCCATTATTACATGACATACACCTTACAAGTAGTTTTTACTAGTCTAAATTTATACAAAATCATGTATTCATTTTTGTCAAAAAAAAATCATGTATTCATGCATGAATAATGTCACTCTCACCTTTCACGTATTGTTGAATTCAACATAATTGTATTTAATTATTACCTCAGCTCATTGTTTTTTCCTTACTTGTTACACAAATGACATTCACAAAATTTTCCAAGATTTCATAAAAATTCTAATCAAAGATATATTCCATACAATTAGAGCGTTACTAATAAAAATGTAGAGTAAGACATAAAAAGTACTTCATATTACATTTAAAAAGTTTAATAAAAAAAAGTTACGGAATACTTTATATGATTAAAACGGTTACTAATAAAATTAAGATAGGACGGAAGGAGTATTACGGTATGAATTACCGATGACAATCTAGTAATCCTCATAAGGACACGAAGCTCATTTTAGACAATCAAAGAAATTGGATGAAATTAGAATAAAAATAGTGAGATCGATGGCCAATTATGTCAATTAAGTAGGTGTCTAAATTTTTCAAAGAAAAGCACCTTGATTGAAGTGACAATCCAGTCAAAGGTCGGAGATATAAACTTAATTAAAATAATTAAATAAAATATAAATAAATAAATAAATAAACTATAGTATGTGAAAAGGCAAATCCAAAAAATAAAGAAAAAAATTATAAAAAGCATATGTTTTTTTATTTCTATTTTCATCACTCATTATCAGTATATTTAGTCAAAGAAACCCATCGAAGAGGTCTTTGACTCTTAATATCAGCCGTTGGATGAAGAAGAAAGATAATCAATCGACGGTCCAAAATAAGTATGGTAGACCCCACATTTTACTAAATTAATGTTTTTATAATGATATTATATGTACCCTCACGCGCGGTAGCACGCGTGCAAAGGTATATTCTGATTGTAGACGAAAGTGTTAGTGGGCCCCAGTTGAAGTAGTATGATCCTGTTCTAATAAGTGGGACCCACTTCGTGCTAAATTTCAAAAATTGTTTTAAGATGTTTTTACATAGTCTTTGGATTTTATGTACAACTCACTTGAGCTTGACGCCATTCGGAATTTGAGACGGCTTTTAGCTTTTCAAATCTTTAGGTACCTTCGGCATTAAAATTAATACTCCTTCCGTTTCTTTATATTGTGCGTTTTTTTTTTTTTAGTTTGATTTTCTTTTTAGATATCAGTTTACATGACTATGAATTTATAATCTATTTCATTTAGAAATAGAGGTAGCATGTTTTATCATTTGCTCTTGTAAGCTTAGACCGACGACATTCACTCTCATCAATATTATTATGTTGTCATATTATAACGAAGTGAATATGCTATTATGGCAATGAGTGTATGTTAAAATTTTCACTATTATATGGGGCAAATAAAAAGGAATTAAGAGAGTATCATCTGATTTCCTCCACCTCTTAAGGTTTATTTTATATAGGACTATTGCTGTTTACTCCACATAGACCGCATTAATTTGTACTCAGCATAAAATTGTGAAGACTGACTCTTGATTTTATTTTATTTTTCTTAAAAAAAAAAGAGGAAATGAGACAATTTTAAAGAGAAAAATTTACAAAATTATTTTTGCTAGATTCATTTCAATACTTCATTTGTTGCAGAATATTAGTCTCATTTAAGATCGAACACTAAACCTCATGGATATAAATCATATAATATATCACACTTCTTTCCATCTTAGCATTCTTAGCCAATATCGATTAATATTATTTATATGCACCTTAATAATATATATTTAGTACGACTATGTTATCTTCACCTTATTTTTGTTGAATTGAAATTAATTTTATTAAACTGATATTATTTTACGTATAATTTTACATTATATTTCTTTTTTAAACTTATAAATTTTATAGTGAGCAGAAAAGGCTTGAACTAGGCTGTTTTTTTTTAATTGAAAATTATTTCTTAAAGATGAAGAGAACATATTTATTTCATATCTCTATTGTTTTTCTAAATAAATCTAATAACTCTAACAATTTTGTGAGTATATACATAAAAAAAGTGATTAAACTACATAAACTAAGCATAAGCTTGAATTCTGAATTCCTACTAGCCTAGTAGACAATGTAAGTTGTTCATGAACTATCTCAAACACATTCCAAAACAAAATGAGGTACTTCATAAGAAATAAATAATTTTAAAATACAACTTTTATCAAGAAGTCGCTTTGGTCGAGTGGTTAAGGCGTGTGCCTGCTGAGTATATGGGGTTTCCCCGCGAGAGTTCGAATCTCTCAGGCGACGTTTTTTTAAAGACCTTTTTCTCTTTTTCTGCTTTTACCAACTTTTGCAAATACAGTTGGGCCTTTCCAGTTTACTTGTATAATCCAACTTTTTTTTTGGGATTGTAGGTGCACACTGCACACACAACTTGTTAAGATTCTTAAGAGTAGGCCTAGTAAGATTGATCACTACTTGAAATATCCAACCCGACAAGAAATCATTTGACTAGAGATCTGACCTACTTTTAATTGACTCGACAATCATAGTGTATACTATAATAGTAATCATTTTTTGATCCTAAAAGCCAGATTGACACTAGAGCCGACTTGAAACCAAAATCAATCTAAACTTGACTAGACGTGATTCAATCCTTTTGGACATAGCTCAAAACTCAATATGTGATGACTCGGAACCAATATAAATGACCTAATTGCCACCTCTACGTTGGGAGTCATGATTATCTGTCCCTACTTGCATTAAATATATTCCGTCTTGTATCCCTTCAAATTACTACGTATGAGACATAGTCAAGACACAAACCTAGGAGTCTAGGACCCAGAGTATAATATTATTGGTGAACATAGATGATGCTGTTGAGGGTAAGATCAGAGATAATGAGACATAGTATGAGACAGGTGATCAACTGATTGATTACAGTATGCTTCAATAGTTCATTTGCTTCAAATCTGACTGATTATAGCACTCAAAAAGGGTCAAAACATCATCACTTAACACATTAAGGTTCTCAAATAAGTGGTCCATATGCTTGTTACTTTCAACCAAAGGGTGCTGCAATAGTTTAGTCATTCTTCAAACTTTCTCCACAAATCCAATGTAATCAAGCTCATAATAACTCTTTTTCTTGTCTGATGACCCCATTCATATAATGCAGTTACAAACTCTTACAAGTCAAGACACCGATGTACTACTTTGGCTGAACCTTTCACAATGAAAAATGTGGTCACTGTAACCTTGGTAGGATACTAAAGTATAGGCAGAAGAACTCGACGTGTATGTGGCTTGATATTTAAAGATTTAAACCCATAGGGAGAAGATCTCAGCCATCCTTCAAACAATTCACTTTGCTTGGCCTCGTTGATATGATTAAAAGGGTGATTAGCAACAGGATCAACACGAATACATCAGTAAATATGTGATACATTAGCATACATATGTTGGCGTTAGACTACTGAACCTAGCCCAAAAATAACTTAGCCAATCAATTTGAAATTATAAAATCAAAACTATTATTGGCTTAAGCTCAGAGGGGGAGTGAGGGTTGGCAATCCACTACAAAAACTTGCAAGCATAATCGGAAACCAAAAAAAAAAAAAATAAAAAAAAAAAATAAAAGCCTTGAATAAAAGAGAATTGAACCTTAATTATATTATGTCTTGACATTTGGCTGCAGATAAAAACCTCAACTTTGCTTACACAAGCATATGGGAGTTTAGTATGCAAAAGTTTTCAATGGTGGTCATTGTAGGTTTGGAAGACACATAAGGTCACTGCTTTCTATCATGCTGGATGAGTATCATAATGTTTGCTCGCAAAAGCATCCTAATGGTCAGAAAATCATAGTTAATTTTCCAACATACACGACTATTCAAAGTACACTTCGAAGCTGCAAATGAGAAAAGTTTTGGCTTTTGGGAAGAAGGGAAGCCGCGTGGTAGGCCAAAATGAAGGTAGAGGAGAAAGGCAGTCACAAACCATGCTAGCATGCGGAGGCAAAGATGGAGTAAGTGGCGCTGTGGTGGTACTATTGGTGAAGAACCAACGGCGCAAAAGGCAACTCCTGAGTTTTGAGGAAGATCCTAAGCTATTTGGCTTGTAGTATCATAATTTCCATGTTGTTCTCAGCAATGCAGGCAGGTTCATATAGATATTGTGTCATATATCTCAATGTATTCTCGCCTATGTCCCATTTTTGAAGAAAGCAATGTCTAACCCAAAACTTAACTAACTGGGCAGTGGCCAATTTCTATGATAGGTCACTAACTGAGTATAGGACGTGGCTCACCGGTATCGAAATTCGATCTCGGATACTCGGAATTTAACCATCAAACACCAACCCTACCCAAAGGTGATGCAAGGGAATACTCTATATCAATAATTTTGCAATATCCATCAACCTAAGTCAAATGCAATGTCAATCTTTTCCAGAAAACATGCCTCCTCAATCTTCCATTAATTAGCAAACAACAATTATCAATGGGATACAAATCATACAATCAATGCAAAAACCATAGTTTATAAATCATGTCTAACATTTCATTTCAGATTAACAAAAAAAATCAACAGTCTATAAGAAACTAAAGAATTGATCTTAAACCCAACTCAGAAAATGTTACATTGAAACTTCTCATATATATCACACTACTCCAAATTCGCCAACAACTTAAAGAACAACATTAAATCATTATCAAACATTAATAAGGGTACTACATTGAATTTACAACTAAATTGCAAAAATAATCAAGAAACTCAGAAATCCCAGATTCATCAAAATCTAAAAACTTGAGCAAAGGATAACGAAATAAAGATACCAACATTGCAGCAAGCAAAGCGACCCGCAAACTTTTGACTGGTTGCAATTTGACGGCATTTTTCTGGGAAGAAATTGACGGAATTTTGAACTTCTTTGGCACTAATTTACTGAAAAATCGGAGGAATTTGGATTTAATAGAGGATTTCTGGGAATAATTTTGGGTATTTTTGAACTTCTTTGGTAGTAATTTACTGAAAAATCGGAGAAATTTGGGTTTTAATTTAGGGTTTGATGACGAAAAAGATTGATAATCTGAGCAAAGAAAGAGATGAAAATTTGGGAATTTAAGATTGAGGAGGAGAGAGAATGGTGAATTGTGTGAGTTACAATTAAGGTTGAAATTGAGAAGAAAATTTTTGGTTTTGATTTTTAATTTCCATGGAATTTTTTGTTGATGAATTTGGTTTTGAGTTTGCAGTTGCTGTTGCATTGTTGCAGTTTCAACAGTTGAGTGAGGTGTATTGCATTCCTATGGCAACATTCTTATGGTAACGTTCAGTAGATGGGTAAAATTGTTTTTTTTTTTAAAAAAAAAACTATATTTTTATTTTATTTTGTGAATTGACAAATATGGTGCTCTGCATACAAATGGGTGTGAGAGTAAGAGCAAAAAAAAAAACCCATTTTTGATTACTCCGTGAGGGAGCCCCAGTTAATCTCCGTGACAAATAAAATTTGTTTATCACATGCCCTTTTGGTAAATAAATCAACAACTTCATCCAGTTATCATCAATGTAGGATCCACTTTTTATTGATAACTAGGGTGGCTAACGCGTGCGTTGCGCGCTATAGTTAGTCTTGTTCGGAAAGCTTTTTTTTTTTTTTTTGTTACATTGATATAATATATGTAAACAAATTTTTTTTAGAGGCAAAAATGTCTGCATTAGAAGCAAAATTACCCGCATATTTTTCTAAATATTTTTTTTATATAAACAACTAACATTAATAAAAGCCAAATTTCTTTAAAAAAAAAAACAATTAACATTAATGGAGGCAAAATAAAAAAGGATATAATTAGCATACCTTATGCATATTTGCACGATATTTTATTATATTAATTTGCATAGTAATAATTATATACTCCCTCCGTCCCAAAAAGAACGACCCATTTGGGTTGATTACGTGAGTATTAAGGAACTTAAGTAAAAAGAAGTAAAAGTATATTGGAAAGATAAATTTACATGAGGTTTGTAAAAAAAATAGAGAGAGAAAGTAATAAAATAACATGAAAAATCAAATTTTTATATAGGGAAGCTAATTTTGCACAAATATTGTTGCAAATTGGTGGTGTTTTAATGCAAATGGGTCATTCTTTTTGGGACAAAATTTTGGCCAAATGGGTCGTTCTTTTTGGGACGGAGGGAATACTTTGTAAAAAAATGGCGAGTCTAAAATTGCTTTAAACATTTAAATAAACACAATCAATTAATCAATTTTGGTGATTCAAGAGACAATTTTAAGGCTTTTGAATTCAATGAACATAAATATGTAAAATAACATTTTTAAGGATATAAATGTTAATGCACTATTCATAAGAGTATTCTCCCACTTTTTATAAGGAAGGGAAGTAGTTGATTTATTATTTACAAAATTGCCATGTGATAAACAAATTTTGTTTATCCCAGAGATTAACTTGTATTTACCCTTACTCCGTAAATCCGTAACAATAACAGTTAAGTATTTTATGCTGACATTGAAACACTTACAAAAAATACATCATATTATGAACATTTTCCTAAATTATCAAAAACAACAACCTAAATCATACAAACACCCTAAATCATACCATCATCAGAATCATCGTCACTTCGTCACCAGAATTCTTCAGAATCATCATCATCAGAATCATCATTAACGTCATCAAAATCATCATCAAAATCATTATTAACGTCATCAAAATCATCATCACTATCATCATCAGAATCATCATTAATGTCATCAAAATCATCATCACTATCATCATCAGAATCATCACTAGCGTCAAGCTGAGACAAGTCAAACCGGCAAAATGGGCAAACATGTTTTTTTTTTGTATGAAACCATCTAAGCACACAAGTCTCATGAAACACATGTTTGCAAGGCAACTTCACAAGAGACTTTGTTATAGCACCACTATCAATAGCCCTAGCAACATTATCATCAACCTTTAGACTTTGTAGACATATACCACACTCCCTTTCCAAGAGCTCACCATTATTACCATCCCCATGATCAATATCAACCCTTTCCAACCCCTTGATTAATGATACTTCCTCCTCCACAACATCACCATCGTTTCCATCTTTAGTCCACTCGTCGAACTCCTCTTCATTACAAACTCGCTCATGACCAAAACGAACAATCCCATGATCCAGAAGTTCAATAACACGACCATCAATTAGCTCCATGCTCGTAGCCATGTTCCATATCTTATCGCGTAATTCATTCAATTTTTTCATCAATGGGCTCTTAGGTATGTATTTACTAGTGACATACATACTATAACATAGAGATGCCCTACATGAAGAGCAAAAAGGGTTAAAAGGATGATCGTAATTAGGTGGTATATGTATCTTTCTTTTACTCAACAATCGTCGACCGTTTGTACGATAACAAATTATGGGTTCATAATAAATATCAAAGATGAGAATAACTTTGACGATAATTTTTGGGGGTATAGTATCATTACTATCATTGTCATGGTCACAAGAAATCTTGATGCCATATTTTTGGAGCAATTCGAACGACTTATCGACTATGACTCCTTCCATTGTTGTATGATGATCAAGAACGAACTAACCTTCGAACAACAACTTATTTTAAAAAAAATAATTTGAGAGTTGTACGTACTTCTATTGTGTATATTGTAAAGGGGATTAGAGGAGACCTATATATATATATATGTATAGAAGAATTTAGGAGGAAGCTTATCTTAATAAATAAATTACTTACCAAATTTATGATCTTAGTTCCTAAATTGCGTTGGATAACATATGATATGATGTTAAAGATAAAATTTTTGTGAATTTCTTGAACCAAAAGGCAAGGCAAGGCAGGGCAGGGCAAGGCAAGAGTGTAATTACTTTAAATTTCCTGTAAAAAAAAAAGAGAATAATTAACTGATCATATCTGCCTTTTGTTTCTCCCTTACATTTTATGTTGTGTTTTTGTTAAAATATATCGACTATGAAATTTCTGCTATTTTTCTGATAAACTTAGCTTGATTGTTTCTTTGTTTATATACTTACCAATGGATAAAAAAAAAAAAAAAAAACTTCAAAAGTTTATAATAAACCTTTTTCTTAACAAAATTTATTTTTTACAACCTACCTAATTTTGCATATCACTCGTTTATTAAGACTAAAAAATAACTCAAATATGTAATGGGTTTGAGAGGTAATTTTGTATTGATTTCAAAAGTAAAATCCATACAAAGATTTTAAACAATTACTTTTACTACCTTCGTTTTTTTAGAGTATTAAACTTTTATTTTACAACATTTTTGTAAGTGTAACAATTCTTTTTTTAGGAAAGCTATTTCATTTAAATATTAATATCCTATCTCTTATACTCGCCACTCAAACCCACAATTACTTTTATTATTTATTTTCACCTTACATTTTTACTTTTTATATACGGAGTAACTTCACACAATATCATTTCATATAATAATATCCCAAGTATCCCACTTACAACGTTTTATACTCCGTATTTAGTTAATTAATTAGTTCAAAATATGTCACAATTATCTGTAAAAATAAATGTAATGATTAAAGTGTACAGTGTACTCCGTAACACTTTATTTTTAAAAAAACGAAGGTATTTTTTCTCTCGTGACACAGATAATATGTTGTCAATTCGGGTGTTCAAATCGGGTTCGATAAGATCAGGTCTACTCATAAACTTGAGTCATGATAGCTTGTGATCACCCTTTGATCATTATGCTATATAATTTGTCGGAGAGTTCATATCATATGCCAAATTGGTATTTAAGTGTGATAGCTTGTGATCACCCTTTGATCATTATGCTATTAGAATATGTAATCAAGTGAGTACAAACCATAATCTTCATTGATTAATTACATTAATAAACTTGAGAAATTACAAGTAGTATTAAAGATTTCCCACTGCCAAAAGGGGAAAAAAAGAAAGAAATAGGTTTGGTAATTCACACTTGGTAAAAAGAAAAAGATCCTTTATAATTTATCACCAAGTATCAACATCTTGACTCTGTACTAGACGATCTCAATTGTATTGTTAGGCTTTCATAAGGAGAAGTGAATTGCTATTCACAGCAAAGACATCCACCCTACCACTAGCAAGTAGCAACCCATTTGATCATAGCTGCTAACTTGTCGCCACCATTCCATGCATCTGACCACAACTGCAAGCCACCACCAACACTCCACACATCACTGCTTTCAGCCTGCCATCACCATGCCGCCTCGCCACCCCCACTAGATCTCTCCTCTCCGCAGCCACCACTACAGCGCCCAAACCAAACCACTAACACAGCTCAACCAAAACCTAAAAACTATCACTGAATGACAGAGATGCTTGTGGATTCCACCCAGGCTTCTGCAATACATTATAAAAAAAAAGGGAAATTTTTTGAGATCACAAAATTAATGCAAAAAAGTCTTTGTCCATTCCCTGTACCTTGTGCTTAGAAACTATAATTCATGCAATCACGATAAGACAGGAAGCTCCATTTTGTCAAAGGAGAACAAACTAACTCGTCCATCATCTACATGACCAATTTTGAAAGGAAATCCATTGCTTTGTCTCTCCAGTTCTTTGATATCAGATAGTGAAGGTGGATGGCCACTGAACGACACAATATCAAATTAATTTACATGCATACATTTGGAAAAAAAACACCCTACTATATTTATCTAAAATACAGAGCAGTGCTTCAAATGAGATATTGACTAGGAGACTGGAGCGTAACATATTTATCATTTATAAGTTTATAACACTATTTCTTGGTTTTTCGTACATCAAACACGCTCTATAATACCACAGTTAGATTACTTAATGTCATGCAATCATGCCATGTCAGTTCCTAGCAGAAACTTACATCATAATAGCATGTCAAAAAATAATTATGCTCCTCTGATATGATGATATCCCAAATTCTCTGACTGACTTGACCACATGCAATATTTCCTCACGATCCTCACAAATTTGAGATATTGCATGCTTTCTATGTTCTATAACACTCAGGATATAAGTCTCATCTGTTATTTTAGACAAGTGTGTGCTAGGATTTTGCAAAGCTTGACACTTTCTGAAATTTCATTCGACTCGATGATAAAATTTGCAAAATTTCCAGCTATGAAAAGAAAATAGGATTATTTTCCAGAAGCATTTACCTGGAAGGATAGACAACAAAATTTGGATCTCCAGGACATGTCTTCTTGAACTGGCTGTTTGGAAGATAAACTTCATAAACAGGTAAATGGACAACAAATCTTGATTTTTCAGAAAATGTCATCTTAACACTATTTAGAAGATCATCTTCAGAATAAGGACCTGCTTCCTTAAGTTGCAAATTTTTCAATGATTGAACAATGGAAGTCCCAGCAACTAGAATTTGTGTTGAATTATCATTTTCGGATGTATTATCAGGAACCAGTGTGCAACTCTTTACGCTCTTCAGGCTCCATGGAGTGCCAAGCCTCCCTAAAATGTAGCCAAGAGACTTAAGATGCTGATATATTTTGAAACCTTCCCAACTGCAACCACTCTTGTCTTCTTCAACTTTCGGATAGATCTCTCTTAAAGAAAGTGCAGTATTTTGATCATCAACAAGAAGCAATGCCCCTATTTGTACTAAAAACCTATCATATTGAACACTTAATCAGAGACTAAAACAGATAAAGGTAAACATCTTTAATGTGGACAATTCCATAAATATCTGATGTGTCGATAGCTTTTCCAAAACATCGGCTGGATAAAATTTATCAGGGAAAAAAAAAGAAAAAAAAGAAAAAAGACTCGTCCAAAAAGTAGTTTCATTATGTTTCAGTGACTGCAAAAGAGCTCCTTTTAGTGCAACTAAAGGCATTCTAATAAAAGAAGCTTCCAACGTTGATCTAAACAAATCATTGATTAACATTAAGATTCGATAATAAACAGTTAGCAGAGTACACATGGTACTCAGTCTCAGACCCGAAAAGTATACCTTAAATCATTGACAAACTTCAGTTGTCAGAGGGTCTAAGATTATTTAGCAAAACAATCTCATAGAATAGAAGGCAACAAATCAAAAGGCATGCACAAAATCCACTTGGCATTTGGCAAAGCAGTGAAAAAAAAAAGAAAAAAGAAAAAAAGGTATGCATCATATTGATTCCTTGCAGCATCATTGTTAAGGTAAGGGAAATACAACGATAAAAAAGACAGGGCCAAAAAAGGTCACCAGATAACTTACAGAGTCTCTTCAATTGAAAGATATATCTTGCCATTACGATTAATCCCCATTGATTTCAACAAATTGCCCTTGTGTTTCATGATCTCAGCCACACCCATTTCATCATTCCAACAAGCCTTAAAGACAACACTCCTGCAATAGAAAGATCACATGCTGTTTAGTCATTGTGAGTTTATTCAAAATTCCCCAACTTTTGCATATTGGAATACATAACCTGAATTGCAATTTGGTTTGGGAGCCTGCTTCACTGTAAAATTCATCATCCGCAGAATCCTGTGAAGAGAACTCAGAATCACTCAATCCATCTATAGAAGTTGACAGCTCCTCTGCCTCCAATATACCATCCATAGAAGTGTTCATCACTGATGTTGCAGGTAATAGCAATCTACTTCATATCAGAAGGGTCTTCCAAATCAGATCATAGATTTTTTTCCTCCTACAGATTAGCATGTTAAGATAGAAATGAGCACAACAAAATGAGAACATATTCATGTTTAAAGTTATAAACCTTAAACTTCAGTTGTAACTGACCTAGAAAATCTTATGGGAGATCAACAATGAACACAAAATTAATTCACAAGGTAACATTCAGGCAAACGACTTTACGTAGCAGTTATCCATAAAGACATCTCATATTTGAAATCAATTTTAACTCATAATCTTTTGAACATGAGAACCACCAAATTTTTTGAATAATATGTTATAATTCACATTTCACAAATTTTTAACAACTACTACAGCAATAGGCTGAATTCACAGCTAATAAACCAAGCATACAGATGCGATCACTATAAGCACAAGAGCACAGTGATACCACATAATGTTCCATCCTAAAATCAAACCAATTATTGGCTTAAGGCCTTAAGCACAGAGTGGAAATGAGGGTTAGGGATTACAGTAAATTCTGAGGCAATCCTCACCCAAAACTTGACTGCATCATCGAAAAACCAAAAGGAAACTGAAACAAAAAAACACTAGCATTAGTAGTTTGGATGTTTTCGTTGGCTCTACCAATTTCAACCATGAAGTAAGATTACCGACAATTTGTCGACCATAAATAGGCAGTGAGATGAAACAGAAATATAGGGTCAAAAACCTTGAATAAAAGAGCATTGAGCCTTAATAAAATTAAGTCTGGACATTTGGCTGCAGATAAAACCTCAACTTTGCTTACACAAGAATATAGAAGTTTAGTATGCAAAAGTTTTCAATGGTGGCCTTGTATGTTTGGAAGACACAAAAGTCATAAGGTGACATAACGATAAACTCATAATAATCTGCAGAGATTCCTTTTTCTGCCTTCTATCATGCTGGAAGAGTATCATAATGTTTGCTCCCAAACTCATCATAATGGTCAGAAAAGACGAACATCAAAACAGATAATTTCTCCAATATACACGACTACTAAAGGTACAGTTTGAAGCTGCAAACGCAAAAATTCTTGGCTATTAGGAAGAATGGAAGCTGTGTGGTAGGCCAAAATGAAGGGAGAGGAGATAGGCAATCACAAACCACGCTAGCATACGGGAGGTAGAGATGGTTTAAGTGTCACTGTGGTGGTACAATTGGTGAAGAAGCATTGGCGCAAAAGGCAACTCTTGAGTTTTGAGGAAGATCTCAGCTATTCGACTTGTAGTATCATACAAAGTAGTTTCCATATTGTACTCAGTAATGCAGGCTGATTCATACAGATATTGTGTCATAGTATATTTTAATGTATTCTCGACTAAGTCCTAATTTTGAAGAAAGCAATGTCTAACCCAATGCCTAACTAACTGGGCAGTGGCCAATTTCTATGATTGGATGTGGCTCACTGGTATCAAAACTCGATCATGTAAATTCGGAATTAAACCATCAAACACTATAAGTTCATGTTTCCAGTTAAATTGCAACAACAATTAAACCATCAAACACTACCCCTACTCAAAGGTGATGCAAAGGAATACTCCATCATATCAATAATTTTAGCAATATTCATCAACCTAAGAAGTCAAAATATCGATCTTTTTCAGAAAACCTGCCTCAATCTTCCATTAAAATCCTCACTTTAAGTTCATGATTCCAGTTAAATTGCAACAACAATTGTCAATGGATACAAATCATACAATCAATGCAAAAACCAAAGTTTAAAAATCATGTATAACATTTCATATCAAATTAACAAAAAAAAATCAACAGTCTTTAAGAAATTGAACTTAAATCCTACTCGAAAATGTTACATTGAAACTTCTCGCAATTAAAGAATAGCATCAAATCATAATTAAACTGGGTTTACAACATAATTCCAAAAATCATCAAGAAACTCAGAAATCCCAGATTCATCAAAATTTAAAAACTTGAGCAAAGGATAACGAAATAAAGATACCAACATTGCAGCAAGCAAAGCGACCCACAAACTTCTAACTGGTTGCGATTTGACGGCACTTTTCTGGGAAGAAATCGACGGTATTTTGAACTTCTTCGGCACCATTTTACTGAAAATTTCGGACGAATTTGGAATTAATTTAGGATTTCTGGGAATAATTTTGGGTAATTCTGAACTTCTTTTGTTGATGAATTTGGTTTTGAGTTTGTAGTTGTTGTTGCATGGTTGCACTTTCAAGTTTCAACAGTTGAGCGAAGTATGTTGCATTATCGTGATTCGTGAACGTTCAATAGACTTATAGATGGGTAAAGAACTAAAAATGTAAAAAAAATACTTGTTGCAAGAAAATATGGGTCATTTAGGGTTTGTTTTTTTCGACTTAATTTCATTTCAGTTCATTCAGTTTCAATTACACTAGTTCAATTTAGTTTTTATTTTTCTTCTTTCATAAACAATTCAATTTAATAAATTAGAACACGCCTTTAATAATAATATGGACATTATACTTTGTAATAAGGGTTTGTTCTGATTTACTGAACTGAGCTGAACTGAATATATTGGAACTGAACTGAACTGAACTAATTGGAGCTGAACTGAATATTTTATGAAAGAAGGAAATTAGGAACTAAGCTGAACTTAACTGAATTGAAATTAAGCTAAACATGCCCTAACTCTAGTTTAATTCTTATTCTTTCAGATGCATTAGGAATTCTCCTCATGTGGAAGGTTTCCTATTTTTTTTTTTTTTTTTGTCATTTTTCTTACCTAAAAAAAAAAGGTACTTCGTATTCTGTATAAAAATTGGTGTAAGATTAAGGGCGGAAAAAAAACATTCACGATGTTGATTTTATTTTTTTATCACCTCTAATCCGTAATAATTGAGCATTTTTTTTTAAAAAAAAACAATGAAACACTTAACAAAATAAGCTCATCCACTATTATGAATTGTTTCTAAATTAACACCATAAATGATACAAATATAACACCTATTTTGTAAATAAATCAACACCCTAAATCATACTAGTTTCATTCATCAAAATTATCAATCACTAATGACATCAGGATCATCATCACTATCGTCATCAGAATCATCACTACCGTCATGTTGAGACAGCTCAAGTCGACAAAATGGACAAACATGATTTGTATAGAGCCATCTAAGCACACAAGTCTCATGAAACACATGTCCGCTAGGCAACTTCACAAGAGACTTTATTATAGCACCAACATCATTAGCCCTAGCAACATTATTATCGACCTTTAGACTTTGTAGACATATACCACACTCCCTTTCTAAGAGCTCACCATTATTACCATCTTCATGATCAACATCAACCCTTTCCAACCCCTTGATTAATGGTACTTGCTCCTCCACAGCATCACCATCGTCTCTATCTTTAGTCCACTCGTCGAACTCCTCTTCATCACAAACTCGCTCATGACCAAAACGAACAATCCCATGATTAAGAAGTTCAAATATATAGTGTATACCATCGGTTAGTTCCATGCTCGTAGCTACGTTCCATATCTTATCGCGTATGTTATTCAACTTTTTCATCACTTGGCTCTTAGGCAATTGTTTGTTAGAGACAAACAAATCGTAAGAGAGAGTTGCTCTACATGAAGAGCAAAAAGGGTTATATGTATGATCGTGTATTATAGGTATTTTTCTTTTACTCACCAATCTTCGACCGTTTGTACGATAACAAATTATGGGTTCATAATAATATTCAAAGATGAGAATAGCTTCGATGATGATTTTTGAGGGTTTGGTATCATTATTATCATCGATATTATGGTCACAAGAAATCTTGATGCCATACTTATGGAGCAATTCGAACGACTTATCGGCTACTTCTTCCATTATTGTTGAATTATGATCAACAATGTTCGTTTTTTTTTTTTTTTTTTTGGCTTTTTGGAATTTGAGAGTTGAAAAGGGGATTATAGGAGAGAGCTTATTTATATAGAAAAGGTGAGAATATTGGCTAGCAAATTAATTAAGAGGAAGCTTATCTACCAAAAAAAAATAATTATTACCAGGTCAAATTTATGATCTTGGTTTCCTAATTTGTGTTGGATAAGATATGATATGATGCATGATATTGTTTACTAGTCGGTTGCAAAATAATACGATTCAGTATAGGAGTTAGTTGTTATAAGCCTCGATCAACTTATTTTTGTAAATTTCTTGAACCAAAAGCTAGCCTCAGTTTTATTTTGTGAATTTCTTGAACCAAAAGGCAAGAGAGTAATTAAGTTTCCCATTAATAAAAAAGAGGAGTAATTAAGTTTATCTTACCTTTTTTTTTTTAGGTAATTAAGTTTGTCTTAGGGCCTGTTTTGATCTACTGAAATGAGTTGAATTGAACTGAATATTTTATAACGAAGGAAAGTAGGATATGAATTGAACTCATTGAAGCTGAAGTGAAATTAAGCTGGAGAGAACAGACCATTACCCTTAAAAGTTAAAATAAAACGAAGTTTATAATAAACCCTCTTTCTTAACAAAGTTTTTCCATATTTATTACAACTTATCTAATTTAGGCTTTTTAGCATATCACTCTTTAGTTTAGACTTAAAATTAATTCAAATATGTAACTGAGATTGAGAGATAATCTTGCATTGATTTAAAAACTGAAATCGAGACTAATCTAACAAGATTTCAGTTAATTACTTTTACCCTTTTGGTTATGTTAGTATTACACTTTTATTTTAAGAACTTTTTTTAAAGTGTTATACGTCTTTTTTTTTTAACCTCCTTCATCAAATATTAATTTTCTATATCCTCTCATAGTCATCACTCAAATCCACTACTATTTCTTGTTAGTTTATTTTCCTTTCACGTTTCTTATTTTATAATAAAATATTAACATCACTATCTTTTCATATAATATCCAATGTATTCTCAAGTACCCTACTTACATTATTCTCAAATCTCAAGTACCCTTCATAGTCATCTTTTCATATAATGTTTGGACCTAACCAATTAGCTATTGGTGCAATGGTGATTGGGGCTACACTTAACATAGCGAACCGCATGTTTGATCCCATATTCCCATGCAACAACAATTGAGGGAAGACTAAAACCTAACCACCCATAATTAAACCTTGAATCCAGATTAGTCCAAAGAGTGAACCGACTTGAATACCGAAAAAAAAAAAAAAAAAAAAAAACTTTGGACCCAAATATTAGACTACAAGCACAAAACAACCAGGCCCAGCCCAATCCTAAAAGGCCCTGAATAATTTTGGCATAATAAAACCGCAATCAAAATTAGGGTTTTGAAGGTGATCCTTTTACACTGCTGCTTGAGTCTTATTACGCCTCTGTTTCTTCTTCTTCGCTTCTTCAATCTCAAGCGCAGCCATGGTTTGTTCTTTGTTCTTCATCTCTTTCTCTCTCCTCACCTTAATTTTTCTGCAAATTTCTATCATCTTATCATTTTCCAATTTCTGTTATATTGATTTTCTGCTTTTGATTTTGTTTTTTTTTCCAGATTATCCCAGAGAAGAATCGTAAGGAGATCTGCAAGTACCTCTTCCAAGGTCTGTCTTTTTATCCTTCTTAATTAATTTTTGAATGGATTTAATCTAAATTATTTTGTGAATTTGGGTTAATTTTAGTTCTGTTATTGTTTAATTTTCTATCAATTTGTATGCTTGTATGTGTTAATAGCTTAATTTTACTTGATTATTTTGTAGATAATTATTGTTTCTTTGAAATTTTGATGAGTATATTTGTAAGTGGAATTTGGTTATAATGAACATTGTTCTGGAAATGTGTATATAATTTGTTAATTGGCTATAGAATGCTTATACGGCAGTTAGAAATTATTATCCTTTGGTTTGATTTGTGAATTGAGCTTAATTGGATTAATTAATAGCAGTTTCAAGATTGAATTTTGTTGCTAATTTTGTATATACTTGCTAATTGATTTTCTTGGCGGTGTGAATTTTGGATACATTTAGGTTAATTTCACTATATTCCTAATTGATTTCTGATGCCAATTATACGTAACGTCAGAGTTAGATTGGTGATTTTGTTTCAGAATTAGTGTTATATTTATGTTGTTTAGTTTTGGGTGTGTGAAAATGATGCTTGATGTTATACATGCCTTGTTGAATTTGCCGCCTTGTAAATGCAGAGGGTGTATGCTTTGCTAAGAAGGACTACAATCTTGCAAAGCACCCCGACATCGATGTCCCAAATCTGCAAGTGATTAAGCTCATGCAGAGCTTTAAGTCAAAGGAGTATGTCCGTGAGACCTTTGCCTGGATGCACTACTATTGGTACTTGACGAATGATGGTATTGAGTTTTTGAGGACTTACCTCAACTTGCCATCAGAAATTGTTCCTGCTACCTTGAAGAAGCAGACAAAGCCTGCTGGTCGTCCCATGGGTCCTGGTGGTGATCGCCCACGGTATGATATTACTTGTTGCTTATCTGTAATATGCCCTTTGCAGCAAAGGGTTTTCATGTTAGGTGTGATAGTTTTTTTAATGTTGAATGGTTTGCTGTCTGTTGTACAGTGGCCCACCCAGGTTTGAAGGAGACCGACCAAGATTTGGTGACCGTGAGGGATACCGTTCAGGTCCCCGTGGTCCACCTGGTGAATTTGGTGGTGAGAAGGGTGGAGCTCCAGCCGATTACCAGCCTTCATTTAGTGTAAGTGATTTGAAGCACACCACTATCTATATTGAACACATAATAAAATTGCGTAGCTTTTGGTTGTACTAGACCTTTTAGGTTAATTGCTTTCTCTGCATTTATATTCTTTATTTTGTGTGACTGAATATTATGCTCTTCTTGGAATATTACTCACTTTGATGGTTTCTTTGTGCTTCAGAATGAATCAAATAATGAATTAGTTTTTCTATCTTTATTTTTTGGACCATATTTGTTTAATTGAATTGAGTTTAAAATGAAGTGTGTATGGTCAGTTTTTACCTCAATGCTTTGACTTGCTGAAATGTCCCTTGTGTCAACTACAAGGAAAATGAGCTCTTTAAATGAAAGAAGCGTGAAATGTTGTGAAATGAACTATTGTCCATTAGCAGTTTTAGCACCTTAACGGTATACTGTGTGTGTGTGTATGATGGATTGAAAGTATATGCTTGCTTTAAGCTCAACGTATTTTGTAGTCCAGAGAATAGTGGTGCAAGTCATCTATTTATATCGTTATACTTGAATCCTTCATGAAACTATAAATCCCATTCTTTATACTGTTAGGAAGTTATCTCTCTAGATTTAGTTCCATTTTTTTTAATCATCTACTATCATTGTATATTGACTTGCTTGTTTCTGAATATGCAGGGTGGCAGGAGGTCTGGCTTTGGTCGTGGAGCTGGAGGATTTGGTGGCGGTGCACCTGGTGCTCCCGGTGCTTCAGGTTCTTTTGCTTAGGATCAGGACTAGGCTTACGTATGGCACCCAGGCTGGATTGTTTTAGTGGTTTCTTTATTAGGCTATAAGAGTACAATTTCAAGCGCTTTTAGTGGGCGTGGCCTTTGTTTTGTATCCTTGTCTTTATTTTCAGTGTAACTACAACAAGAGCTAGTAGTAATATTGACTATTGGCATTTGTTTTTTGATTGAAATACCCAAACCCTTCTTCCTACTAAAACAGACTCGATTGTTCTTGTTCAGATCACTGGCTTAAATATGTTCTAATGCATTACCTTGTGTTGCGCTCTTACCAAAGAAGTTACTAGTGAACTGGCATACTGGACTAATAGAAAGTAGGTTATGCAATGAACTGGATTGAAAGAAAATAAGGTACGCAATGAGCAATGTGTTGCATAAATGTGTGCTTAAGTAGTTGAGTTCAAGCTTAGAAGTTGTGTCTAGCTAATTTGTTGCCATCCCTAATCTCGATGGTACGCAATGAGCAAAGTAAGTGTTGCATAAATGTGTGCTTTGTGCATATGTAATAGAGTTCAAGCTATGAAGGCGTTTTTAACTAATCTGCTGTTATCCCTAGTCTTTATACATTTATAAGCTCTTGGTGAAATGAATGTTTTATTTGGAATGCATTGGTTGTGTATTTAACCCACAACCTAAACATGGACCTTGAGATTGAGCATTAGACCACCCTTTACCAGTCAGCAGTCACCCATGCTTTAGCACCTGATGAACTAGCTTGTTGGACGAACTTGTAAACAAAATGAAGATTCTAGGAAATCAGAAACACTTTGTAGCATCTTCCACATGTTTTATACAGGTCTTAAATTTCGAACATAGACGATTATGGCCAATCTCAACTTCATTGTACTTTGAAACTAAAAAATTATGGCAATTGATAGTATTCACTACTATGTTGAAAATACAGTACAGTATAAAGAAAAGTGAAATGACTTAAATGATAGAGAATTCATTAGATTAGCACAAGCCAAGGCTTCTAAACATAATTTAAACACTATCTCAGAAAGTCAGCGAAATCGAACAATTTAGCTACTAATAAAGAGCAGGATCCGCATTGATTATAACCAGAATGACAGATTGGAGGCAAATCAAAACAACATATGTAACCAAAAGATTTTTACTTACTACTCCGTATTGATTGTTGAACTCGACCAAGTTACAGACACTGCAACACAACCAAGGTCGACATTGACACCAAAAGGCTAAGAGAGGACACTCAAGACTCTCAAGGAAGTACTTAATACAGGAAAGGGTCTCTTAATATCAGCTGCTGCTGTTATGGATGTTGCACATCTGCTGCAAATGAAATCTTGAAACATTTCGGAATGCGCCACATTCCAAGGGACCAGAACAATCTTATTGCACATAAGCTAGCAGAGTAGCAGCAAAGGTGTTCGGGCGGTCCTTAAGTCTAAAGCCATAGGTAAGCAGCATGACAAGGTCCTTGACTCGCTTGTTATTCCTATCAGCCTCAGATCAGCTCTCTTCCTGAACTCCATAGTCCCGTTTATTCAGAGGAGACCTTCCACGGAGCCCTTTGGGTCCCGACCCCTAGTAAATTATTGTTATTAATTAGTTAATGAATTTAAATAAACTTATTTTACTCTTAACATATCAGAACATAGTGATTAGTTTTGAGCGAGAGGTAAAATATTTAAATCCCGACCCCTCTAGTATTTTTGGCAAAGATCCACCATTGCATTTATAACGCAATTACCTTTTATTTGCTATGTCCTAATTAAGAAATACACTATAAACTTGCTAAAATGCTAAATGATCTAGTTAAATAGCAAATAACGCTCTTATTTTGTGTAGTGATTGTTAAATTAAATTGATGTTATTATTAAGAAAGAGTAGGTATAACTATAAGGTACACATAATGCATTGATGACTAAAATGACCTTCACGTAGTCTCACGGTTGAGTATAAATGTTAAGATCATTGAAATTAAAGGAAATTTTAAATTTTAACACCATACAAATCAATGAGAATTGATATTAACACCCCACAAAAAAAAAAAAAAAAAAAAAAAAAAAAAACAGTTTATTTTAACACCACATAAAAAATTGAAAATTTGAAGTTACCACCAAAATCTTGCTTCTGTTAACGGAACTGTTACTGGACCCCACTCCAACGGTCACTTTTTACAATTCTCTCTTTAAAAGCACGATTCTCTTCATTTCTGTTCTTTTGTGAGCAAATTTGTGGATTACATAGGTTGATCCTGGTATCAATTCATTCAAAAAAGTGATTTCATATCAAGAATTCTAGGGTTTGCTGGGAAAGAGGAAGGAATTGAAGGTGGTAACAGGTATGTTTGTTCATATATCAAAATCGCACTTTCTCTCCAATGTAATGGCAAATTGAGCTTGTTTGGTATGTATTTATTGCTTAAATTACCTTAGTTTAGCAATTCAGTTATGTATTATGCTGGATTTGGTGGTTGGATTAGCATTGTCGCAGTTAATTGGTCAATTTCGAAAATTAGGGTTTATGTGAAACTGAAATTGGGGCTTTTTATGGTAGACGGGTTTAATTGAAAGTTTTTGTTGAGAATTTGAATTCGTATGTGTACAGAGCAGTAATTGTTATATTCATCTTAAATTGATGCAGATTATGTCTTCTTTGAGCTATTCTCCTTCAAAGGAGAAAAAATGCAATTGTGGAAACCCAATGGCAAGGCTAACTAGCTGGACTAGGGAGAATCCAAGAAGGAAGTTCAGAGCTTGCAAGTTTTATGATCCAGTCACTGAATCAAGGGGGTGCAAGGTCTTTGAATGGGTTGACCAACGTGATGGGACAGACTGGCAAACAGGGGTTATCAATAACCTCTTGCTGGATAAGAAGCTACTTAAGGGTGAAGTGAATGAGTTGAAAAGGGAAGTTGATGATATCAGTGGGCAGAGGAGGTGTCTACTTAATGAAGTTGACAATTTGAAGATTAGGTGCAAGGCTTTGAATGGTGAAAGAAAGAGAATGAACAGGGACTGCAAGGCGGGGGGGGGGGGGGGGGGGGGGGGGGGGGGGGGGGGGGGGGGGGGCTCTTTAGTGCATTGTATGTGGGTGGGCATGGCTATCTGTATTAGTTTGTCAATTGGTGTAGTTTTCCTAATGGTTAGGGGTGTTTAGTTGTAATAGAAGTAGGTGTTTGAATTGTTATTTTGTGACTTGTAGTGTTGGGAGCCTTTGTGTAATGAAATTCTAAATATTTTAGTGAATGAATTCCAATTATTTATAATCATGTGGTTGATGTTTAGTTATGATGGTTTTTGAAAAAAAATTGAAAGCACATGCATGCAGTAAAATAGGGAATTATTGCCAAATTAGTTAACAGAACATATATATTCATAAATAGTTGCCAAAAGGTGTTTACTTGAACCTGTCTTCATGGCAATTACAACCATACAAAATGTACACCATCCTAATATCTCTGGTTGTTCAAATGCTAATGACAAACAAACAAAATGATGACATAAATATGAATTCAAACATAATATTGTTTTCTAGCTATTACATCACTGAGTGAGGTTAACATCCTTGAAATTTTGCAGCTTGGCCCTAGTTATCACACCTGTGTGTGATGCTTGTTGAACTGTTGTTGTTGCAGGGTGACTTGAGGAACACTTAGAAGTTTTGTGTGGATGCTGAGTAGTGGTTGTTGCAGGTTGGCTGGAGGAAGGATTTGCCTTTGACTTAGACTGATGCTTTGGCTTTGGTTGACTTGAGCTTGGCTTTGGTTGAATTAAGCTTGGCTGACTTAAGCTCTGTTTTAGGGAAATCACAACATAATCAGCTTACAGGATCAAATTCATAAAGTTACAGAAACATAAGGTTCAAGGTTTATACCTTTTTGGAAGCTCTGAGTTCTTTCTTCTTCCTCTCCTCCACCATCCAAGGAGTGTTGGAGGGTGGTCTCCCTGGTTGCCTTGGCTTCTCAGTTGCTAGTGCAGGAGTGTTTTTGCAGGTCTTGGCATAATGACCAAAACCTGCACACTTACTGCATTGTTTCTGCCTCTTTGCTGTCTGTGGTTGTGCAGTTGCAGTAGAACATTCCCCTGGTTCCAGCTTCCTTTTTTTGCTCTTTGGTCTTCCAGGCTGTACCTTAAATGCTGGAGACTGTGGTTCCCTCATACTCACTCTCTCCTAGTGTTTAGGACCAGGCATGGGTTGGATAGGGGGTTCATAAGCCTTCCTGTATGAGTCCATGGTGTAGTAAGGGTCCACATAAGCCTCTATGTCACCCCTAATGTCCATCATGCATTCATAAGCATGGACACAGGGAATCCCAGTAAGTTCCCAATGGTAACAAGTACAAGTTTCCTTCTCCAAATCCACACACTCTTGATCATCCATCAACTGCACTTCAAATGTTTGCCCTCTACATGGTTGCACAACACACTTCCTAGCCACAAATTCTATCCTAGCCAACAAATGTCTCACATAGGGGGTAAGGTTGCTGGAAATCTTTTGTGAATCCTCCCACTTTTCATTGTTCCTATTCATTACATACCTCCTCATCGATTCCATTTGGGTGAGGATAGGCTTATCTCTGGCAGGCCTGATGACTGCATTGAAAGTCTCACACATGTTGTTTAACAACATGTTGGACTTGCAGTTAGATGAAAATGCATGTCTTGACCAAGACTGGGGGGGGGGAATGTTCACTAAATACTGATATGCATCCTCTGATAACTCTTTGATAGAGTCCATGGCAAATTTGAAGTTAAACTAACAAAATGCAATAATGTAAACAACTTAAGACAAGCACATTCCCACACATATGCATACAAACATTAAATAAGTATTGGAATGGGATGACTTACTGCAGTTGTTGATCTGGCTGCTGCCCAAAACAATTCTTTGAATGTTGACCCAGTGAATTTGAGCTTGAAATTTGCTCAAATGTGCCTTACACAGAATATTTTTTCAGCTTTTGGTACTATATCAGCCATTGCTTCCAGAAGCCCCTACCATATTCATTCACAATATCAATAACTCATCCTAATTACTTACACAAAGAAAAAAAAACAAGTACAAATGAAAATGAAAATGTGCAAAAAAAAGGCAAAAACTGTTACCTTTTGCCTGTCTGACATTATTGTCAGCCCTGCTCCTTGATCATGTGTGAAAATTGCCATTAGAGACTCTAGGAACCAACCCCAGCTATCTTTATTCTCTGCCTCCACTATTGCCCAAGCTAGGGGGGACAGGTTGTTATTCCCAT